CAATACTAATTCCGATAGCGCAGTCAAGTAAACTGCCTGCATGGCCGCCTGCCAGCCGCTTAATACTACGTTGAGTGTTGGGTTCAATCCCTTTATGGGAAAACACTTTGTGTGATCCACATGTTCTGAGTCTAGGTGTTCTTTGAGTCCATTTCATGTATGTTTGTGAACCACTGGCGATACAGGATATATTACTAGTGCAGGAGATGTCTTTTTAAAAAGAAAAATAATTCTAATAGCGAATTTGCCATTAAGTGTTAATGCAGAGCAGCAGAGATCTTAAAACTAGCCCATGTGTCAAACATTTGATCAAACAATTTAATATATTAATATCTTTGGTGCGGTCATCTGAGCATAAAGGAAAAGAAACAAAAAGTGAATATACTCGTAGTTTGCTATCTATATTTATCTATCTTGGCATCATTTTTTTGTAAACACGCAAATAATTTCCAATATATGTATAATAATTTAATAATGTAATGACAGAGAGGGCGCAAATAAAAATCTAAATGTGGGTAGTACTCGTTACTTAATATGGAGGCATCCCTAAAATTGTTTTCTTTAACTTTGTTTACGGACTAAAAAATAAAGACACATCTGCGGTTTGTTTCGGCGTTTCTACCCAGAGTGAGTCTTAGGAAATGCCGACTCCTTCTAGCAGTAATGTCCAACTTGTAAATATATCTGAGAAGATTTACTTTCAGAAACAAATATAATTTATCATTTAAGACGTTAAATACTGCAGTTTACATTTAAAAAAAACAGTCAGCTACTGCTTTTCAATATTCTATTTATTTTGTCTATAGCAAACATAGACAGTTTTAATATAGATATGTAGACACATCCGAATTTTAAAATAAACTGTCGTACATTAGGTACTTCTAGGCACTTCCTACTTGATAATAACTCCTATTATCGTGATTGCAATGTCAGCGGTTCAATGCAACACTGAGTATGGTATGTGTACCATAGTTACAGTATTGCTTTAGACATTTGTGTACGTACAGTCGTACACTGCGTGAGGACATAATAAATAAAATTTTAAAAATATACATTGGACTGTGATCAAAGTAAATGCAGTTAAAGCGATAAATGTTCGCCAACAAATAACGGTAAGTTTCTTTTCATATAATAAGACTTTTGTGATTCATAGATATTAAAAAAAATAACAATTTACTTACTTGAAAAAGTGCAGTGTTCAACTTGTTTTTTTTTGCTTTTTAATGTATATAAGGGTTAATGTATAAAAGGATTACAGATTACCTATTGTGTCATAAAACTTTTATTTTATGATTTAGTGATTGAGTGATGAATTTAGTGAATTCGATCATTAATCTGAAAGTTTAATTATAGACCTATTTCGGGTAAAATTGAACATAAGTAGCAGTAGTAGTGTTACCCTCATTTATTGTTAACAACACAAATGGATACTTAATAACCTTGTACAGTTATGTACATTATTATTTTGTGATTTACAGTAAAATTATAATAATTACTGTTATAACAATAAAAAAAAAATCTTTAATCTTTTTTAATCAAAAATAATATGCAATCAAACTTAAACTCGTATATTTAAATAGATCATGGAGTAAATAATAATAATAAAAATATCTTAATTTTGGTTATTAACACGCTTTTATTACTTTGGTATGTATGTATATATCTATGCATGTATGTAACGGAATCTTCGAACGTTATTTTGAAGCACTTTAAAACGTCACAAAGCACGAAGCTACAATTAGAAAACAACAATGTTATGTATTCTTTAAGGATACCTTCAACTAGTTTGTATTTTGAAAAAAAATGTTTTTTTGTGAACAGGAAAAATAACGTATTTCTTTTTTTAATTTTCATTAATGTATTTTTTATTAAATTGTATGAATTCTATATTAATAATTAATTTCTATACTATTAGGTTCGTTATTCTCGGATCGTAGCTAGCTATCCCCGCGTTCTCTTTGGTTTATCTTTGGTAGCATCAATTCGGAATACGATTCTGAGCTCACATGACGAATCCATATGGGTTCCGCTTTTGCCATTTTGGCTACGGAACACTAAAAATAGTGTAGTGTTCCGAAGTAACTTTTTTTTTTCACATCTCACACGGCAGGATGATCCCAAACTAGGCTGTACTTATAGTAGCCAGCCTGATGATAAAGATACCTATATATTTCTAAATACCCAGATATTATAGATAAATTACACCCAGACACAGAACAAATCGACATGAGCATAGAATAATGTCGATTTTGAAAAAAAAAAACAAATTCAGTTTTTACCATATTAAAATTAATATTATTACTATATTCAAGAAAAAAATATATTTATTTTAGATTTTAAATTATTATAATTTTTATTATAAATAATTAACCGACTGTAATATTGATAGGCGCTCAAATTAAAATGAAGCATATAATTTTTCTAGAAAATTTTGTAATTATTCGTTGTTATTATTACAGCATTTACAAAAATTCCTTTTTTTTACCATATCGTTGTATGCCAATTTTCATAATTTATTAATTTTTAATTATTTTATTTTATTATAAAATATTCTTATTTATTTTTTTATTTTAGATTTAGAATTAAAAAAGTTATGTCAAAAAAACTAACATGGTTATTTGAAATGGCTGCCCTGTAAAGTTCAGTATATGTCCGATCCGACACTATTTTACGACTATGACAAAATGATCGTGTTCATCACACAATATTTGTTCTTGGTGGGAATTGAACCCACGACTAACTACAGAGTTGCTAACCACTAGACCGGCAGGCCCGCCCAAATGCTTTTTTAAATAAAAAATATATTGTAATTATATGTTAGATATTGATCATACTTTACTTAACATATTTAATTGTTCAAAACAACATCATTTGAACACAAATTAAAACTAAATTAATCTATTCAATTTTTTTATGAGAATTTTAGGTTGTTGTTTACTACAAAGAATACAACATAAATTAATGGTTTCGCACGGGAACAAAAAAAGGTGTTATTATGGCCTCATTATGGGTCTAATTGACTATACTCCATACATTTTTGTTATTTCTTTCTCACAATTCGAAAAGTCGTCAATTAGTGATGATCTAACACATTGCCGCTTCGTTTAAAAATAATAACTGATTTATTTCAAGAGAAACTTTTAATGAATTTGAAATGTTTAGGAAATATTTAATGTGTAACTGAAATTTATTGTACAATTTAATTTATTATACGTAAAATAGTTTAGAGTTTAGAGAATTCAGTAAGTATCAAATTTTATTTCCCTTGTGTAATTTAATCTAAAACCAATTATTACATACAACTACATATATTACATAGTTATAGACGAAAAGCTTTTTTTTATGGTATAAGGGGGCAAACGAGCAGACGGGTCACCTGATGGTAAGCAACTACCGCCACCATGGACACCTGCAACTCAAAAGTCACAAGTGCGTTGCCGCCCTTGAAGTCTCTCAGCTTTTTTTTCTGCCTTAGTATATAACGATAAATAAGTATGCAGTCGAAATATTTGTTCTTATCGACATGTACACGTAACTCTTTTATAACACGTACCTTTGAAATGACGTTTGGACCAGCTTGGAACAGGTTTCACTGACCGTGGGTCCGGGTGTCTTAATGAAGCTGTTCCCGGTGCCCTTCAATGTCAGGCGCAGAGTAGCACACCGTGTGTGATTCCAACACAATGCCCACCACGAACCCCGGTGGGGTGACGGCATAAGGGCGTTTCATCTCGTAAATAAAGGTTTTAGTGACCGTGGTGGTCACAGGCTTACTGACAGATATTAACCACGTTAATTTCCGTTTGTTAGTAATAAGTATAATAGATCATAAACATTTGCCATTTTAATTTTAAACTGTACAAATAAGTATTTGTGTAAGTGTTGTTATGCATGCCTATTATACCTATTTTGTTGAAAAATATATTATACCTAATATTTAAGTTTAAAATTAAATTTAACTACTAGGCTAGCGTATGTTCTTGAGGCATGCCCTCAGAGGATATTGGCGGTTAGAGCCATACGCGGTTACCGAACCGTTTCAACGGAGGCGGCGTGCGTATTGGCCGGTACTCCCCCGTGGGATTTGGAGGCGGAAGTGCTCGCCGAAGTATATCTTCGGACGGCTGAGTTACAGGTGGATAGTGGCAGTCGGTCCCCGCCCGAAGAGATACGCGTGTGCCATAAAGCCGCTCGCCGAACCACAGTGATCCGTTGGTCCCGGCTGGAGGCTCCAAGTGCTGGCTTTGCCGCCGTAGAGGCGCTCCAGCCGGTTATCATCAAGTGGGCAGGGCCTGTCACTGTCACTTGTCCTGCAATTGCAGTGGTGACTCGGCTCAGCACACGCTGGCAATCTGCCCGGCTTGGGCGTCGCAGCGTCTGGTCCTCACTGCAGCTATCGGAGGATCTCTCGCTCCATGGCCGGTAGTGATAGTTGTTTTCCCGCCGTCGCATCCTTCTGCGAAGACGTCATCTCGCAGAAGGAGGCGGCGGAAAGAGATAATCTCCACTCGGACCCAATTCGCCGCCGACGAACCGGGCGGTGGAGGCGCGCTTAGCAGAAACTCATGCCGACCTGAGTGTGATCGCAGGTGGACGGGGCGGGTTTTCCCCTCCACAAGCAATAACAGCCAGCCGCGAGGAGGCGACGTTCGCGTGTGCCGGTATTATAATAATATGGATATGGATAAGTCTGATTAATTTATTTCTGTAATTTTAGTTCTAATTATATATGGTATAACGTTTAAGGTTTTGTGGTGTTACTTTTTTCGTAAAGTGATTTATTTCAAACTAGCTATTTAATTAAGATTAGAATTTAACAATTAAGAAAACTTGAATGCGTTACGCCTATGGGTACAATGTAGCGATCTATATTTTACCGACTTCAAAAAAGGAGGCGGTACTCAAGTCGTTTGTAATTTCACCGATGCATAAAATTCATTTTAAATAATACATTTTATTATTTTTTATCTATATTGACAAAAAAAATATTTCTATTTCAGACAATGGCAGCTTCACGAATTGTAGTATTATGTATTCTCTTCAGTTTCTGCTTTTGTGATGGCTTCAGGATATTGGCTGTTTTTCCATTAACAAGCGCAAGTCATGGTATTCTTGGAGATAATATGGTCAAATACCTCATTGAATCGGGACATGAAGTAAGCGCTTATTTTACATAATATATGATAGTTTTATTTACTTTAGAGATAGACCTGCAATCTAGCAGGAAAATTGTTTATAAAGTAAAATGCGTCATCTTAAAATGTTTTTACTTAAAACCGGATTATAGAAGGCACGGCAAGGCAAGGCAGGATATTTTAGTGATAAAATGACGTAGATAAGACCCATCAATTAATAGTAGATCTGCCGTAGAGGAAGACCCGGATCAAGGATCTTTTCGAATCTGAAGAAGATCCGCGATCATTTGATAAAAGGCTTTTTTTTCTTCTAAAATTAAAAATTAATTTAGAATTTTAACTCAGTTTACGTTAGTAAAAAACTCACGGCAATATGTATAGGATGGCTTGTTCAAGAGTTCCAAAAATAATAAGCAAGGCGTTCCATTTTGTAATCTATGTTTCCTACTTATTTATAATGTAGATATGTATGAAATATTACCAGTAATACTGCCAGTATTAGAACTGGCAGTATTACTGATCAAATATTTTTAAAGTGAAATTAAAAATGATAAAAAGCAAACTACCCGAACGTTCTACTAATTCCACGCTGACTAGGGCGGGCACAAGTTTTTTTTTAAAGAAAACTTGCGCACTAGGAATATATCCTGTATCGCGGGGACTTTACAAACATTATTATAACGGATACAAAGAACACCCAGACTCAAACAACAGTTTGTGAATCGCACAAAGTATTTTTCGGTGTGCGGGTCAACCCCACAACATTCAGCGCAGCAGGAATAGGCGAGGTGACCGCTTAAACAACTATGCTACCCGTGCAGTTCTAAAATAACTTTTATGTTCAAGAATTACAATCCCTTTCTATTTTCTAATACACAATAAAATAATATTCTGCAAGACGCAACTTAGTAAATATAATCAAATGACAAAGTGCTGTGTTGTGTCATTTTAGTTTTACTTAGCAGTTAACATCTAGTTTATCAACAAATATAGCCATCAGGAAAACCTTCGAACAACTTATTGTTACTGACAAGGTAAGTAAAACTGTGTGATTCTCGAATGAATACTGTAAATACCACTGTTTACAAATGGTCATTAAAATATAAACGTAAGCAGTTTTACAATAAGACTCGAACTTGAATGTCATGTCGTGTGTGACAGAAGAAGAGGCATGCTTCCGTACAAATGGGACGGCTCTACCGGATTGATACCACATCCTCACAGGAAACTGGTACTAAGTATTTCTTTCACCGAGTGAGTGAAGATACCGGAGTCCCTAACTCCAGGAAGGGTGAACCCCAGGATGAGGGGAATCAAATGGCGACAATGCGAGTGTCAATGGGCGTCAGTAGTCATTTACCATCAGGTGACCCGTCTGCTCGCTTGCTACCATACCATCGAAAGATGTTTCCTATGTAGGTAAATGTAGATAAGCTACTTATAACTTTTTTTTTGACATCTGACACACAACGCCATCTAGTTTCAAACTTTTTTTTTGTAAATCCATACATATTATTATTATTAAACACCCAAACTCGGAAACAAATATTCGTAAATCTTAAAAGCATTTGCTCCGACCCGGGAATCAAACCCGAGACCTCAGCACAGCAGTCGCAAGTCAACTACATATAACAATTGCATAGGAAATTGCCATTTATTTTCATGTAGCGATTGCCTTGAAGAGACCACAGTAATTTGGGGTGTGTTACTACTCTAATAACATATTTACAATAATTTTTTTATTTTTATTTGTAGGTTACGTACATTACTCCGTTCTTGAGAAAAGTGGTTCATCCGAGTCTACACATTGTTGATGTATCAGAAAATAGCAAACTGTTTAATGGTAAGTAAGCAGTATAAAGTAGTAGAATTATGAAATGAGATTAACTTGTTGTTCTTGAGAAATTAGATCATGAACTGCCACGGTGACCTAGTTAGCAAAAACTATAGGGGTTATGCCGGTTTCCTTAGGATATTGTCCGACTTAGATATAATATTATGGGCTCTTCCCGCTGTTTTATTTACATACTTCTATCACACATTTTTAATTTTACACAATTAATTAATTGACATCTTTCTTTTGACCGAGCATTTTGTTTCATAATTATTTTTTTCTTTGCCTACACTTTCTAAATTCGTCTCTTCTAAATTTGTGATAAATATAGAACATAGACACAAACACAAAGAATTCAATTCTAGATGGCACGAGAAACCTGCTCTCAAATAGTCCTTTGTAATGTTTATAAAATACAAAAAAAAATCCAGAGATAGTAAAAAGTCAAAAAACTTAGCATTAAATAAATTCTAAACAGAAAAATAATTATTTAAATCAAAATTCTTCTTTTTAAATTGAAAACAATGTCGATAGAAATATTATAAGTACGTCACAAGCACTTACGCCGTATATCGTTTCTTTTGTTCTTAACGTTATACCAAGTTGTGCAAATTTTCTTCCTCTCTCTTAATTTGCTGTTCTTGATTGTTCACAATGATAAGTTACAACCGACATGACACCCATGGCTTCAAAGAATAACGGTGTTAGGCCATGCTTTTTCTTTGCAGTTGCTTTCCACCCATTGAGCGAGGTAACTAACCCCCCTCCACCTGATTCTGAGCAGGATCCAAAAACTGGCAATTCACATATGTCTCTTGAGTTGCAGGTAATCATCGTCAGCGTTAGTTTCTTACCATTCAGGTGACCTGGATGGTGGTCACCTGAATGGTAAGTGACTACGCACTATACGTATCGTCCTTTGCCCTTTCACGTCTTTTGCCAATATCGTGAAAGCCAATAGTATATTGAGTGTTGTTTCCTTTTTATAGAAAACACAATGAACGTAAAGCTGATCATGGACAATGTAGTAGACTTCCAAAACACAGATTTAATGACCAGTTTGCTGGTAAACATTGCATCGCATACTCTGGAAAACTCAAATGTTCAACAACTTATTCAGGATCCGAATCAAAAGTTCGACGTTGTGATCGGAGAGTGGATGTTCAGCGAGCTTTATTCTGTGTAAGTAATACGCGACACAACAAATTTCCAACAAAGTTAAAACGAGATAAACACGAGAATGTTTATTTCAGGTTTGCAGCCATTTTTGAGTGTCCACTGATCTGGTTTTCCACAATCGAGCCTCACTATATCATATTAAACATGGTGGACGGACCTACAAACCCAGCCTACACTAATGACTATCAAAGCAAACATGTTCATCCGTTATCGTTTATAGAGAGAGGGTATGAGCTGTGGAAGCAAATAAGTGTTTTAATAAATAAGACCTAGTGAGTATCTACTACGTTAGTTCTTGATAATGTAATACGCATAAACATCACATTTAGAAGTAGTTTAAATTTTCTCTCTAATTCTTTTTCATTAAAAGAAGCGTACTGCCGCCATGTCGCGCTGATTTACGGGCACGATCGAATCGAACAGTCAAAAAGTGAATACAATAAAATCTTCAAAAAATATGAATAGCACTCACAATAGTTCTATTTGGCTTTAATAAATCATGGTATTTGTCTATTCTATGAACTTAAATTCTTTCTACTTTTAGCAAATTCTACTATAAAGAAGAAGAAGTCTACCAACGTTTAATAGCACCAATCTTAAAGAAAAGAGGTAGACCAGTACCTTCATACGAAGCGTTAAGATACAATGCATCTCTCGTACTAGGCAACACTCATGTGGCTTTGGGTGATGCCTTCGCTATGCCTCAGAACTACAAACATATTGGTGGATACCACATTGACAAAATAACTGCACCTTTGCCAGAGGTTGGTTTCTTTTGGATGATAATTCAGAATTATAGTAACATTCGTGTCATATTCAATTAAGAATAGAATTATTTTGACATTGCAAACATACACTTTAATTTTATTTATTTGTATAGACAAGAGTACATCAAAATAATGACCATGTACTAAGAATCATTAGTAATGTTGAAATAGCGTCGTGAGCATCTAACAAGTTTCGTTTTCGTCAATTCAGAAATAATATAATTACATCATTATATGTACGTGATTTGGTTATTACAAGGGAACAAAATTAGACATTTTGTAGCTTGGCATTTTATGACTAAGTCGAGGTCGCTGATATTAAATTTGTCTTTAATTTTCCTTTAACTGTTCTGGTTTTTGAGATACAGTAATAGCTGTACAGCTAATTATCTAAAAACATTTATCCATGAGGGAACAAGAGCTTTTTGTTTTGAACCTGTCCTGCCTCCAAAAGTCTTTAATATACGCGTCACTTATCACAGTATTATGATAGGACACAATAATGCTAAACCAGATTTAAAAAAATCAAACAGTAATCGTATAGTACTTTTATTTTATCGAGTTAGAACTCAAAAATATATGTTTTTCTTTATCAAATCCACAGAATTTAGAAAACTTGTTAAGCAACGCGAAACACGGAGTCATTTACTTCAGTATGGGATCAAATATTAAAAGCAAGGATATGCCCATAGAACTTAAACGAGGTATTTTAAAAGTATTTGGAAATATGAAACAGACTATTATATGGAAGTTTGAAGAAGTATTGTCCGATGTACCTGAAAACGTTCACATTTTGCGGTGGGCACCACAGCAAAGTATCTTGGGTGAGTTTTGTAAACTACTACTAACTACAATAATTAACTATATACCCTTGGAAAAATCGACAAGTAACACATCAGTATTACTTTTAAATATTTACCAACAGGCTTCCATTTGGTATTTCTTCTAAGTGAAGAATTAAGTAGAGCTACTGTTTATTATGTTTTGTTGTATAAACTGACTTAAATGTAAATATTTTATGCATGCCTTGAGGCAGAATGTGGCTGCACATCGTTACACCCTTAATTAACACCTTAATATGTATACCCATGTTTGCAAAATATTTTTTTTTTATTTGTTTGGAAAAATAGTAATATTATTCAAAGATAAATATTGAAAAAAAAAAACGGTTTTGGAGACTCATGCGTGCAGTACAAATGGCAAGACCGGAGTTGTATTTCACCGAATGAGTTAGGTTACTGAAGCACAAACCCCCTCTCTCCTGATTCTTAGAGGAAGAGGCTCAAATAGTGACAACGCACTAGTTACTCTTAAGTTGTACGTGAGTGGCGGTAGTTACTTACCATCAAGTAACCCGTCTGCTCATTCCCTATTTCATGTCCCCCTTTTTACCAAAAAAAAATATGTGAAATTCAATTCAAATTTCAAACTGGCAGTTTCTTATCCAAAACCTTATTATACAGTCACTCATTTATTCCTAAGGGGGTAAGATTAGAGGTATTATACGTCCATATTTTATCGGCTATCGTTTTTATCCCACTACTTTTATAGGTAATTGATGAGATGAGACTCTTCAGAAATCATTTTTATTACTGTATGAAGATGATGAGTGACTTTTTTGTACTACTTTAGGAAAACACTAACAAAATAATCTTCATGTTTCAGCTCATGTAAATACAGTTCTCTTCATAACCCACGGCGGTTTACTCTCATTGACGGAAGCAGTTCATTTTGGTATTCCCGTTATTGTCATACCAGTATTTGCAGACCAGTTCGCAAATGCCTTGAGGGTTGAGAGGAAAGGTTATGGTAAAAAACTTGAACTCTCTTACACAATGTATGAAGATCTAAAGATAGCCATCAAGGAAATTCTGTGCAATTCGAAGTAAGTACTCACTAGTGACATCTTATTTTGCCAAAAGTTTTGATTTCCTTTAAAGCACTTATAAGTTTCTTATTCTTAAGTTTCTATCATAGATAGATAGATAGATCGGTGCTCGTTGTTGAACACCATGATTAAGAAACGTACAATGTACAATACAAACAGTCTGCGATCTCTTCCAGGCAACTTTTAGATAGATATAGTAATATGCTCTGAATGTGATATTACTCTGAATAACCGAATATTTTTGGTGATTGCCATCCGAGAGTCATGTTGATGGTATGTAGTGACAACTATATGGTATCATCCTACATGATTGTGAAACCATCTTTAGTTTTAATTATATATTTTAACCTTTTTCTATGCTAACATTATAAAGAGATAATGTTTGTGAGGTAATGTCTGGATCTACTGATCCGATTTTGAACATTCTTTTAGCAATAAAAGCCACGTTATTTGTGAGTGTCATAGGCTATTTATAAAAATGAAAAAAAAAGCGTGGTAGTCGGATTTGCAAACTAAGTCGGCGAAAAACGGTCGAGCGAAAAGGTTTCTTACGAACGCTGTCTTAACCATGAGAGACATATGATTGAATTCTAGAGAAAAGTTATAAAGCTTGATAATGCCTACAAAAATGTCAGCGACAGCATATGTCTAACTTTTATATTTAAGTCACAAAAAGTAGTTTTTTTTATATTAAAATATAATTTAAATCATTAGGTCATGTTTATTAGTCATATTATCAACAATTATGAATTCTTATTATAATAAGTAAATTTATCATCTCAAGTGTTTAAAACAAAAGCCTTTTGCCTTTTACTGCATATAATTTAAACGATTCTTTAAAGAGATGGAACCGCGACCGTGTCGTAAACTATTGAGTGATATTTCTATTAGACATTTTTTTTCATATACAACACGTCAATCGGCAGAATTAATTTCGAAATTTTTAGTGAGGAGGAGAGAACAAGGCAGGCAAAGGTGTACTTCAAGGAGTGATGACCGTTTTCTACATCTTCAAGTTCGTCGTTAGAATGAGCGAGCGGATAGTTCGCAGAAGATTCAAAGAAGTCGGTATAGGCATATTTGTGCCCGCCGAAGCACCAAAAGTTGAGAGACACCATCGCACAACTTTGCTCGTGAACATCGTCATTGGGACTTCGACGAGTGGGTCAGGTTCTCTTCACTGATAAATGCAGAATGCTGTTAAATCAGATTGATGAAAGGCAGCGAGTATGGAGACGCAAATGAGAGCGTTATATTCAGTCTAAATTTTAAATATACAATCGCATATGGCGGCGGCTCAATTATGGTCTGGGGAGTGATACGTTTAAGAGCTCGCACAGAGTTGGTGGTAGTCGACGGCGGGAATCTGACTGCTGATCGGAATATCAGGGACATTTTAGAAGAACATGTTGTGCCATTTGCCCCCTGTATTGACAACGATTTCATTCTAATGCAGGATAATGCTCGGGCTCACAGTGTTCGCTCAGTACCTATACCTAAACCATGTCGGTGTAACGGAGACTATGCTTGCCACTCGCAAACATAGTCTCCGGATATGAATCCAATTGAACATGTTTGGGACTTACTAAAGAGGACTGTCAAATCAAGAATGCCACCTTCCAACAATCTGGGCGAGTTGCAAAACGCATTACTTGAAGAATGGCAGAGGTTGCCCCAAGAAATCATTAACATCATGCGCAGTATGCCCAGACGGATGGAAACCATAATCACAGCACGGGAGACCAACACACGATATTAAACATTCATTTAATTAATTGTAAACTGTAAACTAAAATTTTAAAATGTTTCTCTGATTTTAAAAAGAATTTTGTTCACTTTAGTTTTTTTTGATTAAACTAAGTATGGTGTTGCAAATTAATTTCAAAACATTTTAATTTAATTGCTGTTTCATGTTTATATTATTTGTTTAGAAATAAAATTAACTATTTTACATTCCCCCTTTTTTTGTGTTCCGCTGTTCCACTAATTCTGTCGGCGTGTGAAAAACGTGTGTGTGTCGAAAACGTTCCTCGCAAATTTTGTAGTGGCAAAAATAAAACCCGCTCGGGAAGGCATCTTTAATTATATGGGACGAATGTACGATGAGTCACAAGGTTGCTTATAAAAGAGTTGAGGGAGAATGTAATCGGGGCGACCATTCTCACAGAGCCAGCAGTAGGATAACTAGCTTATATTTCCACGGATACCCATGATTCTCACGAGTTTACCCATACAGCTTAAAAGACTACAATATCCCGTCAAGATTTTTTTTACCCTCACTATTAATAAGTCCCAGGGTCAAACATTCTCTCTGGTGAGCATTGACCTGAGAAAGCAATATTTTGCCCATGGGCGGTTATATGTTGGCTTATCTCGGATTGCAACTCCTGAAAGATAATATATTTTGGTACCAAGTAATAACATTACTTCTTATATAGTTTTGAGTATAGAAGTTTTGAACAATTAAAATAAGCATAATTTATTCAATCATAATCATTTCATTCACTCATTTGAAAACTAGTAATATAGGTGCTAATTCTGTTGTTCGAAAACTCTCTAAACTAAACTAAAAATCACTAAAAATTTGTTTAGTTCTGTCAAACAACGTTTCCTATGCTGAAAACGTAATATTGGATAGGACAAAATTTGTTTTTAGTGATTTTTAGTTTAGTTTAGAGAGTTTTCGAACAACAGAATTAGCACCATAGCCAAATTTGTAAGCAAATACATAAATACATTTGCAGTAAAAATATAACCCTCCTTTTGGCAGTCAGGAAATGAATCATAGCACTCAGTACTAACCGAACCACACTCATAATTGCATCACAAGTAAACATGTTTGCCGCCCAACGAAATGGGCACGGGTCAGCTAATTTTAAATATTTTAACTTTGGTTCTAGATACTCCAAAAAAGCGAAAGAAATTTCACTGGCATACCACGATCGTCCCATGAATCCAAAAGAAGAGTTAAATTTTTGGGTAAACCATGTGATACGCACTCAGGGAGCGCAGCATCTACGTTCTCCAGCGCTTGAGTTACCTCTGTACAAAAGACTATTTCTAGATGTGATTGCAGCTATTTTAGTGTCGATTTTAATTCTTAAAACTATTATTTGTTACATTATAAATCTGTTCAGTGTAAAAGCAAAGCATGAGAAAGAAAAACGTGCTTAAGTTCCTTTTTTTTATTATCATCAATACACACTTATAAATATGACTGAATTTTATTTCGTGTTTGTGTTAACTAAATGTTACCTTTTTGCTCCAACTACTTTTAAAGTTAATTTTCCCTGAAAACTAGAAAGTAATTTAGACGATAATACTCATTGTATGTCTTTGTACTATTGTATCTACCCAAACTTATCCAATTATTTTTTTTCCTAAATTAATCGGATCTAATATTATAAATGAGAAAGGGAAATGGGAAGTTTGTTCACTTGTTTGTTATCTACGTTTTCATTTCTTATGTATTGAAGAAATGTGCAAAACGAAAGTGATAAAACATTCAATAATAATATATAAATGTTTGCATGCATTCCTGCGTATACAGGAAAATATTGTTGGAGAACAATATTTTCCTTCATATAATACTTAGAAAAACGTAGTATGAAAAAACCTGTTTGCGGTTTTTGACGACGAAACATTTTCTCATTATTTTGTCATCCTATTCATATTTCCTTAATCGGTTGACGGTAATAAACTGGCTATTAATCCAGAGGTCGTGGGTTCGATCCCCATTCAGGAAATATATTTCTCTAATGAGCACGATCGTTTTTTCTATGTCTGGGTGTAGTTTATCCATAATATGTGGGTATTTAGAAATATATAAGTATGTTTATCACTAGTCTGGTTACCATAGTGTAGGCTTTGCCTAGTTTGGGAACAAACAGCCGTGTGTGTGATGTTTGAGGTTTTGGTTTGTTGAAGTCCAAAAGAAAACACTTGATTTTTATGTCTATTCCTTATAATATTAATTATTCACGATGGCGAATTTACAGACATCAATACAGTTCACTTACTAACTACGGTATCGGACGAGACATGTCTTTGTGTTCCAAACTATTTTGACCGTCTGTCCAAGAGAGCGTCCCGCGGTAGCGGAACTACGTCATCGCGTCGGAGAGTGATGTAACAGGCCATACAGGCGTAGTGATATGCAATACGCGTAGTGATGTGCAACGCCACATCACCCCCCTACGGAGAAAAATAGGCCATAGGCCACGAGCAAAAACATTTTTTTTACAAAATTTGGTAAATTAGGATGTTAAACAATATTTGGCTAGTTGCTAGAGACTACTATATAATATAGTATAGGAATAGTGTATATAAAAAAAAAACTTATAATTAATTACACCTAAATTACATCTAAAGTTAGAACTGGTCAGACATTATGAGGAAATTTAAATTTTACCGTTCGGCCTGACCTGGTGGTAAAGGGTTGTCGGACAGGAATGCCAGAAGGGTTCCCTATTTGGATATCCGGGGGAGCGCGAATAGGCTGGTTTACAAGAGGCGTCTGAGGGGACGCAGCAGCTCCTGGGACTACTGTAAGGGGTCGAGAGGTGGAAGTGCTTGGGTCGGGGTCTGAGAAGATGTATGCAGGCTTGGTGCGGTCAACACTGACCTCGACCAATTTGCCTGCGACCACAGTGACGAGAGTTTTGTCTTTATGACTGACCACTTTATGAGGACCAGTGTAGGGTGGCTGTAACGCTCTCCGTACTGTGTCATCACGCAAGAACACGTGCGTAGCCGTTGCTAGGTCCTTAAAGATAAAGGACGTTGGAGAGCAATGACGTGAAGCCGGAACTGGTCGAATGTCGGCCATCTTGCGACGTAGCTGGCCAACAAAATCTTCTGTCGGTTCTGTATGGGAAGAGCTGGGTACGAGGAGTTCCCCAGGTAATCGCAGCGACTCCCCATATAAGAGATCCGCCGACGTGCATTTAAGGTCCTCTTTGAAAGCTGACCTGATTCCTAACAGAACCATCGGTAGTGCCCGATACCAGTCCTCATCATGGCACATAAGAGCGGCCTTAAGCTGTCGATGTAACCGCTCTATCATGCCGTTGCACTGGGGATGATAGCTGGTTGTCCGTGTGCGTTTGATCGCGCAAAGCTCCAGGAGTCGTTTAAAAAGTGCGGACTCAAACTGGCGACCTTGATCAGTGGTAATAGTGCATGGGACACCGTAACGTGATACCCAGCCGCACACGAACCTGAGGGCAACCTCTTCAGCGGTTATTGTTTTCATGGGCCAGACTTCCGGCCATCTCGAAAACCTATATATTGCAGTGAGGCAGTAGCTATAGCCTTCCGAGATGGGAAGAGGTCCAATAATGTCGATATGAACGTGCCTGAGTCGCCCGGTAGGCGTGGCAAAGTTAGCGAGCGGTGCATTGACATGGCGCGTGACTTTACTGCGCTGACAGGGCAGACATTGGCGCGCCCATGCACGGCAGTCTCGTTGCACGCCGGGCCAAACATAGCGTTCAGCCACGAGACGCGCGGTAGCGTTTGCACCGGGATGACTCAGGTTATGTAGCCGGTCAAATACAAATTTTCTATACGCTCGAGTCACGTACGGGCGAGGCTTCCCCGTCGAGGTGTCACATGTCAGGCAAATGTCAGTACCTGGGACAGTGAGCTTAGTCAGTTGGAGACTAGAGTTACCTCTGGTGAGATCGGCGAGTTCCAGGTCTTTCTCCTGGTCTTCCGCGAGGGCTGAAAAGTTCTCCTCCAGTGAAATGGACTCAACTCTGGAGAAAGCGTCCGCTACGACATTGTCCACGCCCTTTACATACTGAACGTCAGTTGTAAACTGTAAAATGAACGACAGTTGATTTAACTGGGCGGGAGGCAACTTGTCTCTGCGTTGGTTAAACGCGTAGAGTAGGGGTTTGTGGTCGGTATAGATGGTAGTGTGCTCAGCTTCCAGTATGTGCCTAAAATGTTGCACGGCTGAGTAAACAGCCAATAGTTCTCTGTAATAAGCAGGCCAAGCGCTTTGCTTGGCAGTGAGCTTTTTGCTGAAGAATGCTATTGGCTGCCAACCTTGGCTAGACAGTTGCTGGAGGCATGCTCCTACGTGGGTACTGGAAGCGTCAGTGAATAGACCTAAGGTGGCGTTGCAGTCCGGGTGAAATAGAGAAGTAGCAGACGCTAAGCTATTCTTGCAGACCTCGAAAGCCTCCTTAAGTTGAGGAGTCCAGGGAAAGGGTTTTGCGCCTTTACCTTGAATGGCGGTGACTGCGTCGATCAAAGGTGCTTGATACTGTGCAGCTTTGGGAAGAAAACGGCAGTAAAAGTTTACCATACCCAGAAAACGTCGCATACCCTGCACAGTCTTGGGAGGAGGAAAATCGCGAATGGCCTGGATTCGGTCCTCGGGTGGGCTAGTGCCTTCTGCATTTATGCGGTGCCCTAAAAACGTGACCTCAGAAACGCCTAAGACGCATTTGCTCGGGTTCACTACGACACCATATTCACTGAAACGCTGGAAAAGGATACGCAGGTGTTCTGCGTGTTCGGCAGGGTTCTTGGAGAAAACTAAAATGTCATCGACATATGCAAAGCAGAAGTCAAAGCCCCGAACGACCTCATCAATAAAACGTTGGAATGTTTGGCCAGCGTTCCTTAAACCAAACGTCATAAATGGGAACTCGAAGAGGCCGAACGGAGTGATGATCGCCGTCTTTGAGATGTCGTCTGCAAAGACCGGAATCTGCTGATAAGCCTTTACTAAGTCAATCGTGCTGAAGACCTGGGCACCGGAAGGGCTGTTGCTGAAATCATTGATGTGCCGGACTGGATAGCGGTCAGGCACTGTCCGGGCATTAAGAGCGCGGTAATCACCGCAAGGGCGCCAGGTGCTGTCCTTTTTCGTGGTCATGTGCAACGGAGATGACCAAGCACTCTTTGAAGGTGTAGCCGTACCACATCTCACCATATCTTCGAAAACTTTCCTGGCAGCAGCTAGCTTTTCTGGAGCCAAACGACGGGAACGACATGATACGGGAGGCCTTTCGGTGGTGTTAATGTGGTGTACCGTGTTATGCTTGACCGATCTGGGTAAACCCGGTGGACGCGTTATGTCGGGGAACTCAGCTAGCACTGAAGCAAAGCGTGAGTCGCCGGTGGACACAGCTTTAACGCTATCCTGTTTTATTTGGGCTACCCCAGCCGCGACAGACAGCTTGGTACTACCGTCTACAAGGCGCTTATGTCGGCAATCGGGTAGTAAATTATAATGACTTAAAAAGTCCGAGCCGATAATAGGGGAGCTGACGTCGGCGATTACGAAATCCCAACGAAAATCACGACGTAATCCAAGATTCAGGTTGAGGGTTATGTTGCCGTACGTCTTAATAGTAGTGCCGTTAGCGGCACTAAGGTCGTAATCTGCCGGAGAAAAGCGTCCTGTTAAAAAACGACGCGGGAAACAACATAGATCCGAACCAGTGTCAATTAAGTAATTGTACTTTGACGACTGGTCAGTAACAAACAGGCGGCGTCCGGAGGGGTGGCAATCAGCTGCCGCCTCTACTGATTGCCTTGCTGGTTTCCCGAAACAGTCCAGGAACATGGCTGAATGCATTTTGCAGCGCGGGCAGCAAATCTGCGATGGTACCATCAAAATTTGGCACCACTGGGGCCTGGAGTTCGACTCCTGCTACGACCGCGGTGGTTAGACGGACCGCGACTACGGGACCTGTGATGTTGCTGCTGGGACATAAGTGCTGAAACCTGCTTGGTAAGTTGTTCTACACAGGTGGCCAGAGAGGATAGGGTGGGACTGGTGTTATCCAAGCTGTGAACCTGAGGTGAGCTCGGCAGGTCCATGATTCTGCAAGCGAGTTCTGAAATTTTGTCTAAAGTAAGATCAGCTTGAGCTGCCAGAATAGCCTGAACATTATTTGGTAACCGACTTAGAAAAAGTTGGCGAAGGAGTTTGTCGTCCTTGCTGGACGTGCCAGCGAGTGAACGCAGGTGCCGAAGGAAGGAGGAGGGCTTACGGTCTCCAAGCTCTTCCTCGCTAAGAAGTCGGCGAACTCATTCCTCCTCAGAGGTTGACAAGCGCTGAATGAGTTGTTCCTTCAGCGTGGTATATTTGTTTGTTGCAGGAGGGTTTAATATTATGTCTTCAACCTCTCCTATTAGTCGCTGATCAATTGTTGACAAGACATGATTATACTTGGTAGAGTCGGTAGTCACACCAGCAAGATCAAATTGGGCCTCCGCTTGGGCAAACCAAACTGCGGGGCGTTCTATCCAAAATGAAGGTAGCTTTATTGCCACCTTTTCCACTTGAGGAGGGGATGGGGGATTACTAGTCATGATGCAGAATAAAATTAAATACAGGTGACTTATATACTAAACAAAATATTTACAATTCATGTATATACCTGGGCTGAGCACTAGGATGTGTAAAATTATGTTAAAACTCAGAAAATAGATGTTAACTGTACACTATTGCTCTGCTTTAAGGTAAATAAGAACACAGGGAAGGTTATAAAACATAGGTAGATAAGATGTAACACTCAAGATAGAAAGTTGTTAAAACCTTACAATTTTGAGCTAAATGCTTTCAATATTAGCAGGTTACGGTAACAACAGTTATTGTGATGCAGTGTACGTAAAAATACAATGGTTAGTGACTGAGGATCATAGATGCAAGTCGCAAAAAGTAAGCTAATAACACAGGTATTAAAATAGGTTAAAATGTTAAGAAAATCACCATAAAAGTTAATGGAAATTGATGTATAGGTAATTATTACACAGTCCCTATGCTAAAAATACAGTAAAACTTTACTAACAAGGCGATTTTGCGACGAAAAGGTCCTTATACTCGTTTAAAATAATAAAATTCTTTATACCTGCGTTTACCGGAACGTAACGCTTAGCGAAGTGTCAACGTCTCCTGTCAAATTGAACGTTACCGTCTGCTGTCAGATCGGGCGAGTCCAAGTGAAATGCGATGCCACATCGGGCGAGTCCAAGTGAAATGCGATGCCACATCGGGCGAGTCCACATTGGGCGAGTCCAAGTGAAGTGCAATTTGAGCCATCCTTGATGTAAGACTCGTAAGCGTAAACTTCACTGTGGAATGTTCTCGCACTTCTCGCAAGTAAGAACAACGCCATGAAAACGCACTTTTATGATACCGTATGGCAATGACGAATGTTTCTATACGTGCATACACTTATTCTTCTACTTAAAACTATATTTACACTGAACACAAAACACTATCACAATTGGTATACGAGCGAGGCGCGAAAGGTGACATTGGCTGCCAAACCGACGTTTTTATGATGCCGATGAGGCGCTTCGATGAATGCCGCCGCCGCTCGTTGATTGTAAATGACTCGTAGATGCAGGTTGACGACGAGGGTCTCGACCGCAGGCTGAGGGGAATCCCCGTCTTTACCGTTGCTCGCAACGCGGCGCGTGGCGCGATGTTCGCGGTGCCGCCGACCGCCGCTTGTCTCGTTGTCGCTGATGCCCGGAGCTTTCGTGAGCCACATAGGCACGAAACGCTCGACGGGGCCGGGATCGCCAGAATGTCCGCTCGAATTCAGAGTGCGTGCCGTAGCGCGATGCAAATTTCTTCTCGAAGGCGGAAAGAAAAAATAATGGCGACCGACCTGTTCGCTCGTGAATTCACGTCGGGGTCACCAATTTGGTTTGTTGAAGTCCAAAAGAAAACACTTGATTTTTATGTCTATTCCTTATAATATTAATTATTCACGATGGCGAATTTACAGACATCAATACAGTTCACTTACTAACTACGGTATCGGACGAGACATGTCTTTGTGTTCCAAACTATTTTGACCGTCTGTCCAAGAGAGCGTCCCGCGGTAGCGGAACTACGTCATCGCGTCGGAGAGTGATGTAACAGGCCATACAGGCGTAGTGATATGCAATACGCGTAGTGATGTGCAACGCCACAAGGTTATTATTATTACCGTCAACCGGGCTCTTTAGGGATTAGAAGGAAAGGCTAACGGTGTATTAAAAGAAAACACAAAAAAGAGGGAGAGCAATGGTAAGTGTGAAACATTGCTTATACGAATAGATATGAGAATGTTCGCGCACGTCATGGTCGCGTACCAAGTTACAACTCGAATTGGCTATGGCCGGAATATCTGAGCTCTCTAACTAATAAGACATATATTTAGATATCTGAATTTGTTTTTATTTGTACTTGCATGTATCAGATGCATTTTAGACAGCGATTTAATTACAAGATTTTATACGTTTGTATTTTAGGTAAACTTCGTTAATATTTACCTAAAATTCCAACGGTAGTGACGGATTAAGAAAACAGAGTGTCACCAACACTATTCATCCCGTGGGTTTTGTAAGAGTCGACTAAGAGAGGTAACTACTCAGGACAATAGCACTGCAAAGAGAAGGAAAACTTGAAACAAACTTTTTATCAACCCGTCTAGCCAGCGTGGTACAGTAGGCCAAAACCCTCATTTCTAGGGAGAAGCCTATGTCCAGCAGTGGACTATTAAAGGCTGTTGTTGATTTACAAATATTGATCATTACGTTGAGCAAATAACATACCTATTTCTTATTTTAATATTTAAAAAAAACCATGGCCCTTTGGAAAAAAAATACACGACATTTGTTTTTATTCACTGCCGGAGTCACTCGCGATCCTGTTAGTTTTTAAACATATCTAAATCTGTGAGGAATCGAAGATCAGAATACGAAGGTCAGATAAATAAATACATTACAAAAAACTTTAAAAATAACATTTTAATTAACAAAACATCGTGGTTAGTCTAATTATTTTTCTTTTTACTAATAGATTTTGTAGCACAGATGTAACTACAAATCCACCTTAGCAACTTATACAATAAAATTACAATCACAAGAATTATAGCCATGAGATCTAAGTACAGGTATTGATACCATCTCAGGTCCAAAGCTGGAGAACGTAAATGTGGAGCACCGCGCGTCTCTACTACGTGACGAACCCAAAAGGACAATTCTTCATTAGGCTTAACTAGACGGTCGCGGTAAATGATTGATACTTCCTGAGCTTTCAACCGGTATCTGTAAATATAACAAAGGCATCAATACCACGTTTTCTTTGTCTAGAATATAACCAGGAATCGGGTGAAATCCAACTCTTTGTGTAATTTAATATTAAAAATGTTTTTGATTAATAGGGACTAGTAAATTCGACTTAATGTACTTAGTACAAACAAATATTTGCATATCAATTTGCATTGCTTTTGGGTTTTTTACTTTTAATATGAATATATTCGAAATGTACTAGAATCCATAGAGTACAGAGTACAGTCACATTAATATGATCCAGGATATTATTGACATTATTATTTTTAAATATTTCGTAATGCAGAAAGAATAAACTGATGACTTACGAAGGATTTGATAGTATTTCTTCTATTGCGACTTTCAAGTTTTCAACTATGTCGTATGTCATATCAACTTTAATGCCGTATCCTTTTTTCACAGCTCTCTTCATGTTAATAAACTGATCACCAAATGCAGGTACTCCAATAATTGGCACACCGAAGTGTAAAGTTTCAGAAATAGATAAAAGACCTCCATGAGTAATAAATAGTCTACAATTTGGGTGCGCTGAAATATAACCGGATACAAGTTACAGAATATTAAAATGCTATTAAATATATTCAACCTTATTTTTACGTACCTAAGATACTTAACTGAGGTAGCCAGTTTGATATGTGAACATTTTTAGGAATATTGGGTAACTGCTCTTCAAACTTCCAAAGCACAGTTTGCTTTAGTCCTCCCAACATCTCTAATAACTTCCGTTTTATTACCTCCGGCCAGTCCTTGCTTCTCAAGTTTGATCCCATGCTAAAGTATATAACACCATCTTTAGCGTTGTCCATTATTTTCTTTAAATCCTAAAAAAATGTAATTGATAGTAATTATTACTTATTGACGACAGTTTCACAACAGCAGTGTAAATTCTAGTGTATTTTTTTGTCGCGGTCAAATCTGTTTTAAAATTATTATTAATCCAAACGAATACACGTTAATATTTACAATATAAAATACAGAACGGATCTGTAATGGACATATCTGTTTGAGTTACTGTAGTACTGTATTTTTTCTCATTTTCCATAATTTACCATTTTTCTTTTATCCTATTTGGCAACAATAACATTCCTACAGAGAGTTAGAATCTAGTAGATTGACCAGGCAAGATTCTATGCAATATTACACATTTTATCTACATATAAATATAACTCTGCCAAAATAAGGTTGAACTTGAAGGCTTGAAGGGCAAATTTTAGAAAACAAATTTAGGAAGGTATGATGTACTGTTTTTTCAATAAATCAGTGAGAAGGTACACAACTATTATAAGTCATGAGTCGTTTAACAATACTGATACTTCATACATACACACAAATACACCCTAATATACGAGTACATGCACATACACACACGGGTACACACCAATAAAGGTCTTCTTGTGCAGTTTCCGGTCTTCCACGAAGAACATTTAGTTTTTTTTACATATGCTATACTAATTTATTACTTATTATGATTGTAAACTTTGTGAGAAAAAACAATGAAGTTATTTGAATTTGTACTGATTGGATACCATTTAGAGTCCGCGAAAACTATCGGCACGGCATGGCAAGGGATTCCTACGCGCACACGCACAATGATGGCAATTATTGTCAAGGAGTACACAGGCATGGCGAGGTGTGCTTGGTAATACCGAGGATTTCGCAAGCATGCTGAAGTCTGCTTAGGATTGCCACCACAACAGCGTGATTCCTAGTTTAATTTAGAACAGTGGTACTTGCACCACTCCACACCTACACACGCGCGATCAGTGACGGTGTCTTTAAGTAAATGTCTGCCCGAGCGGCGGGGTACGAATCCCAGTTTTGACTCGGTGTCCCGAAGACTGCCGAAACTAGCCGAGGGTTGCTTCGGTGTCCTTAGGTTTGCCTTGGCTTCGAAAACTTCCGAGGATAGCGATTCATCCTTAGGTATGCCGAAGACTGCCGAGGACTGTACCTTAGCTGTCTTGACCTGCCATGCCCTGCCGATAGTAGGCGCCAGGCCTTAGGAGATTCATGGCTCGCGTCATTCAAAACCATCAATGAAAGTTACAAATTTGTTCATACCTCAGGTAAAGGTGGTATATCTTCATCAATGTGATACCCTCCTACATTCTTATAACTTTGAGGTAAACTGATAGCTTCCCCTATAGATACATGTGAATAGCCCAAAACCAAAGATGCGTTAAATCGGATCTCTTGAAATGAAGGCGGCTGTCGGCCCCGTTTTGCTATTATAGGTACTATCAATCGATTGTAGACTTCAGTTTCCATATCATTGAAATACCTGGAAACACATAATAATATTTTTTAAAACAGGCAAGTGCTTTGCCACTAAGTGCCTTCTAAATATTGTTACCAAAGATGGTTTTCTCTAAAACAATATCTATGGACTTTTTACAGTAAATTATCTTCATGTTTTTGTAGGTTTAGCATTGATTTTACCAATAGTCGTATTGTTTAATGAATTGCCATCCGAAAAGTAATCTTAATTAATCTGAATTGTAATACTCTACACCCTCTTATAGTTTAATATTTTGTCATTTAAACCATGCATCGGTACAAGTGGGAAAGCTTGACCGGAGCAACGGCCTCACAGAAAATCGGTGTTAGTACACCGGTATTCTGTGAGACCGTAATAAAATTATTTTGCATCTTTTCACAAAAGAAATACAGCATAATATGATAAGATAGCAAGCTCTATTTTTAAAATGACAAGTGACCACGATTACTAACTGTCACATCTAGTACTGTCAAACTATAAAAAAATGTTATAGCTCGCGCCACAGTAACTATCACTTTTGCTCGGGACAGTTTCGTGAACGGGCGCATCACTTCCTATCGGTCAAGCTAAGCATTATTTTATAAGCTTGTCCAATTACCAGAAAATCAATACATATGTTTGTGAAATTCAGTTCATTAAGGCATTCGTTTTTAAATTAAAAGTTCTTTTGACACCAAACTTCAAGTTCAAATTGTTCAGTTTATTGTGAATCGTAAGTAATAATATAAAATGTTAATGTGACTTATATTGTTTATTTGTTTTTACCAAGTATCGTGAAATTTTGCACTCGCGTTGTCTGGAGTACAAAAAAAGACGTAGTTTACTTTATACCCACTCCCATACCCTATCTCCATTCCCCACCTTATGTCCATCCAGGTTAAAAGTAATGTTGAAATGAATAAAAAAAAAATATTTTAACACAAACGAAGCCGAAAGCAAAACCTAGTAGTATTATAGCTTACCTGAAGTAAAAATATTCAGATTTTAATAATGACCACAACCCTTCCACACGTTGCCAAAAATTAAAAGGTACTATATTCATGGACAAACAATTAGGAACATGAGCAGGATTCGGTACAGCGTCTATTCTCCTTAGAATATCAGAATTAATTTCAATAGGTGACATCCATATTAATGGACAGTCAAATACTGCTGCGAAACTGAAATGAAAATATAATATCTGTGTAAAAAAAGACGTGTGGCACTCGGGGACTGCCGCGGTAAAGCTATTGCATAAGATTTTTTATCAACTTATGCAATTATAATTATTTATTTATTTTATTTATGCAGTATTTTTTTTCCTTTGTTTTTTTTTCTTTGATATTAATTAGATTGCGGGGCGAAGAGGGGGATTACGTATGCGCAGTAACGCCGATACAACCAATGCCACCTAGAGGCGAGTTGCTGAACTAAAGAGACAAGCGTGATATTTCAAAAAAGTCATTAAAAGTTCTGCTATTCATCGATAGATGGCAAAACTAAAAAGTATCACGTGGGGTGTGTTAGGTTATGTTCGTTATGGAATTTCTGGATTCGGTCTTCACGCTCAAGGCCCGCGATAGAAGCTATGCAATAGCTTAAAAATGTTTAAAATACACCAATTTGCCTACAAATAAATTCGTTCGGAGTGGTGAGAATCTAATCTTATAACGGGGTTGGTTCATGACTCGTGCGAGGGAAGAACCATTAGAAACGACGACAAAGCTGCACCATTCGTTAATTTATTTAAAATAATATAGAGAGAAGAATAGAGAAACTAAAATGGCACTGCCATAATGCTGTAATGCAAACAGTGCACAAGGTGAAAAGTTTTTTTTCACCACCACCTCTCTTCAAGCACAAAACGTATTGGCTAAATATATAGAAGTATTCAACTCGAGAACTCTTCTAGTAAAGTTAAACTGATTTCAAGTTTAACTTTACTAGAGGAGTTCCGAGTTGAATACTTAATTAGCTTAAGGTTTCCTGTGAGAAAGAGATTAAAAGCAGGTAGACAAGACCGGAGCGATATACACGCCTTCTTAAGAAGCCACTATTACGCACTTCTTTTATTGCTGACTGAGTGATGCAGGTGTCAATTGACGGCGGTAGTCACTTCGGGTGACCTATCCGCTCGTTTGCCTCCCACCCACTCCCAAAATTCGATTCATTAGGCAAATATCTTACCTAGCTAGAAGATCATGATCCATAAATTCAACAATCACTACGTCAAAATATTCATTAGGATCATTTAACAATTTCTGTACATCTTCATTTTCTAAAGTTTTTATGCCGAGATCTGTCATAAAGCGCTTTACTTCTACTGGGTCGTCTATAGCTTCGTCGTCCATTATAGCTTTTATATTTATGGCGTCCTCTAAAAATACAAATGTTAAACTTTAGTAACAAAATTAACAATCAGTTAATTGTGGCTTAATGAACTGAAACGAATCTTAGCACCCTTTCAGGGATACATAAACTAACGCCTGTATCGCCGAAGGGATATCCAGATGTATTTTAAATACCCACACTTAATATAAGTATAAAGAATGTTAAGTTTGTTTGTGTGCGCTTAAAAAACTCAAAAAGTTCAAGCTCAAAATTTTGAGATAGTAAACAATCCTTTATGAAGATTGTTTTAGTTTATTTTGTGCGTTAAATTTGTTCCTCATTTCTCATCAATGTAACCACCATGTGCTACAGCGAAGTGTGGTAATATATATACAATTAATATACTACAATAATTTAGTCGCACACACGTGAAAAGTGTCAAATCGACTACCGTCAGCACTTATGGAATTAAAATAAAAAAATAGTGTAAATTAAAACATTACATCAATTACATCTCTTAAACATAATCTAACAAAAAGGACTCAAAGTAAGGGTATTACAGTCAAAAATAATAAATGACAGAACATACCGGGCAACGCAACTGCATTGCTACTGACGTCGATCTGACGTAAGGTTGGAGGAGGATTTTTATATTCAACTGATCGTATAAAAGTGACCTGCAACAATTATTAAGAATCATGTTTAGCAGTATTATTACTTTAAAGAACAAATATCGTGGTTTGTCTAAATTGTGATAAAATATTTTATAAACTGATAAATTCTGCTGATTCTGCCATAGAGTGCTCATTGATCATGTAAACCACATGATCAATGAGCACTCTATGGTAGAATCAGCTATATGGCAGAAAGGTATCGATTAAGAGATAGCCATCAGAGGTTGCCCTTTATTGTATTTTTTTAACTTTACACATCTCACACACGGCACTCTGATTCCAAATTAGGCAGAGCCCATATATTATGGTAACCAGACTGCTGGGTAATAATATTTCTAAATATTTTAAAAATACTACAATTAGTTTTAACTCTTAATATAAATTAATTATTTATTATTATTTACATTTGTCAACAATGTTTAACAGTGAAAACATATAATTGAGTTTGAAGAAGTACGATTAAATTTCTAAATAGACACATATTATGGATAAATAATACCCAGACACAGAAGAAAGCTTGTGCTAATCACACCATTGATTGTCCTGGTTGAGATCGAGCTCACGATCCCAGGCTTAACAGTCTGAGACACTAACTACTTATCCAATAGGCTCGCTAAATACAGGTATTTGATGTGTTAAACACCTATAATTTGCACTTCAAGGATACGGTTAGTGACCTTGACTGCTACGCCAGAGGTCGTGAATTAGATTCCCACCCAGGACAAATAATTGTGTCATGAGCACGATCATTTGTTCTGCGTCTGAGTGTAATTTACCTATAACATGTATGTATTTAGAAATATTTAAGTATGTTTATCAGCTGTCTGGTTACCATACCACAGTGTGTGAAAATATTATTATTAAAAAGAACTGTCTATTACAAAGATACTGCATGTAGACACATATGTAGTTCTTTACGTAGTTCCTACTTAAGTATTATTATTAAGATGGAATTAAAGAAGCCAGGACGGAATGCAGGTTGCTAGATTAGTAGAATAGTAAAAATAAATTTATAGTAAAAATAGCTTTTTATTAAATAATATATACTAACTTCATTGCCATCTTTTAGTAACTGCCGTACGATGCCACCGTTGAGAATTGAGTGACTTTTAGAAGGCATTTGAGTGGCTACTAATGCTTTATAAGCATCAGACGGGTAACTGGATATGGCGATACAAAAAAATATATAAATTAACATCGCCATCTGAAACAATAGCAAATACAGAGATAAATATTAACTTGGAGAGAAAAGTGCAAACAACTATTAATTACAATAATTTAACATATCTCACACACAGCCCTCTGATCCCAAAACTAATTGGACTCTGCGTTTCCAAAAGATTATATAAATTTAATAGAATTTAGTTTTATTTACATGACATACTTATAAATGAACTAAACAAAAAATAAATAAATATTACAGACACAGGCATGAGATGCAAATTTACACAGACTTTTAATAAAATTGACCCGTCCCTGATCGTTTCCGGTGGAAAGGTACCCATCACACTTTCTGCATTAAAGCGTTGAATGGTAATGGCCAACCTTTGCACCAGGTACGATCATATAATTTTTTGTCTCGAGTGGGAATCTAATAGTTAGTCTCACTAAACATCAGTCATTAAAGCTGAATTAGCCTTAAAGAAAGAAATTTAAAAAATCGGAATGATTTACAACCAAAGAACACTCAATAAAAGAAAATACATAATATTGAACAATTTATCAATTTCTTTTTTCTTTCCTTTTTTTTTTGGTGACAGGTGAGACATCTAGAACTCGAGGCTAGCAGAAGCAAGCCGGGATCACCATATATGGTGTTTATTTCTCCACCAACCGGAGTTTGAACGACTTCGAGGTTTTCCTAACCAGCTTGGAGACCTCGATACGGCGACTAGCGTCTGGGCACGTCCTTGTGCTGGGGGACTTCAACGCAAAGTCCATTGCGTGGGGTTCCCCCAGGACGGACGCAAGGGGCGAGGCCGTAGAGGAGTGGGCGGCCTCGGTGGGCCTCTGTCTCCTCAACAGAGGCTCCACCAACACGTGCGTGCAATAGCAGGGGGGGTCGATAGTGGACCTTTCGTTCGCTACCCCTGCCCTCGCCGCACGAGTAAGGAACTGGCGTGTCCTGAAAGAGGTTGAGACGCTCTCGGATCATTTGTATATCCGATTTGAGCTCTCACGGACCCAGGACTCCAGTAGGGGTCACGTGGCGCGGCGTTTATCCCGCTTTCCGCGGTGGGCTGTTGCCAGACTGAACCGGGACCTACTAGAGGAGGCAGCCATAATTCACTCGTGGCTGTCTCCTCAGGCTCCGACCGAGGAGGTCGACGTGGGGGCTGGTCGCTTTCGCGATGCGATTACGCATGTCTGCGATGCGGCCATGCCCCGCATTCGAGGTCGTCGGCCTCCAAGGAAGGAGGTCTACTGGTGGTCCCAGGAGCTGGCGGACCTCCGTGCGGCCTGTACACGTGCCCGGAGGTCGGAGGAGTACCGACAGGCGCGGAAAACTCTGAAGCTGGCCATTAGCCGCGCCAAAGAAGAAAAGAGACAGGAGATGCTGGAGGGTCTTAATCGTGACCCCTGGGGTCGCCCTTACCGCGCGGTGCGACAAAAGCTCCGCGCGTCGGGCCCCCCCCTTACGGAGACTCTCCAGCCCAGCTTCCTGCGAGAAGTGGTTGAGGGCCTTTTCCCACAACGAGCGGAACACACTCCCCCGGCGATGGCCTCCTTGGCCGGAGACGACGGGGAGCACGGGGAGGATAATGTTCCGCCCGTCCGGGATTCGGAGGTAGGGGCGGCTGTTCTACGGATCCGTTCCAAGAACACCGCCCCTGGGCCAGACGGGGTACCGGCCCGAGTGCTGGCCCTGGCCCTCAACCACATGGCAGACCGCCTCGGGGAGGTGTTCGACGCTAGCTTGGCGTCGGGACGCTTCCCTGAGTGCTGGAAGAGCGGGAAGCTGGTCCTATTGAGGAAGCCGGGACGGCCTGCCGATTCGGTCGCGGCCTATAGGCCCATCGTGCTGCTGGACGAGGCGGGCAAATTGTTTGAGAGGGTTCTTTCTGCCCGCATCGTCCGACACCTCTGCGAGGTGGGCCCCGATCTGTCGGACGCCCAATTTGGTTTTCGGGCGGGGCGTTCGACAGTCGACGCCGTGTTGCGCCAGAGGGCCGTGACCGAAGAGGCCGTGAGCTGTGGCGGCGTGCTGTTGGCGGTGTCATTAGACATCGCCAACGCATTCAATAGTCTGCCATTCAGCTGCATCAGGGAAGCACTCCACTATCATGGGGTGCCAAAGTACCTGAGGCGGCTAGTGGCAGACTATTTAGAGGAGCGTACCGTCGTGTACGAGGACCGAGAAGGTAATTTGAGGTGTCGGCCCATGTCGTGCGGTGTTCCACAGGGGTCTGTTCTTGGACCCCTCTTGTGGAACATAGGGTACGACTGGGCCCTTCGCGCCGATTTCCCCCCCGGGCTGGGTGTAATCTGTTACGCAGACGATACCCTGGTGACAGCCCCGGGGGCAAACTTCCAAGAGGCGGCGCGCCTGGCCACAGGGGGAGTTTCCCTGGTGGTCGGGCGCATTGAGGCGCTGGGCTTACGGGTGGCCCTAGATAAGACGGAGGCCCTGTTATTTCATGGTCCACCCCCTGGCGCCTCAATCGTGGTCAATTCGGTCCTCGTACCGGTTCGGGCCCAGATGAAATATCTGGGCCTGATCCTCGACGGGAGGTGGCTCTTCGACGAGCACTTCCGACAGCTTGCTCCAAAGCTGGTCGGCGCTGCGTCTGCCCTAGGGCGACTTTTGCCCAATATGGGTGGACCCAGCGTCGCGACAAGACGGCTGTACACGGGGGTTGTCCGGTCAATGGCACTGTACGGTGCACCGGTGTGGGCGGCGGCTCTGACCGCCCAGAATAGGGTACGCCTCTGGCGCCCTCAGAGAGTAATGGCGGTCAGAGCCATACGCGGTTACCGCACCGTTTCGACGGAGGTGGCATGCGCGTTGGCCGGAACTCCCCCGTGGGATTTGGAGGCGGAAGTGCTCGCCGAAGTTTATCGGCGAGTGGCTGACTCCCGGGCGGAGAGCGGATTTCGCCCTCCGCCCGAGGATGTGCGCGAGTGGCGCGAAGCCGCTCGCCGAGCCACGATGGCTCGTTGCTCGTTCCGGGTGGAGACTCCACGCGCTGGCTTCGCCGCCGTGGAGGCTCTCCAGCCGGTCATCGCCGAGTGGGCAGGGCGGCAGCACGGGACCCTTTCCTTCCGGCTGACGCAGGTGCTTTCCGGGCACGGTTGCTTCGGAAAGTACCTGCACTCGGTCGCTAGGAGGGAACTGAGTCCCGCCTGCCACCACTGCGACTGCAGTGAGGACTCGGCCCAGCACACGCTGGCGGTCTGCCCCGCATTGGCGGCGCAGCGCCGGGCCCTCACTGCAGTCATCGGAGTGGATCTCTCGCTACCGGCCGTAGTACGCTCCATGGCCGGTAGCGACAGTTGTTTTACCGCGGTCGCAACCTTCTGCGAGGTAGTAATCTCGCGGCAGGAGGCGGCGGAGAGGGCCCGGGAGGACGACCTCCACTCGGACCCGATCTGCGGCCTGGATCTGGAGGCCCGCCTATCACAGCCTCATGCCGCCCTGAGTGTGGCCACGGGTGGACGGGGTGGGTTTCCCCTCCACCCGCATTAGTTTGGCCAGCCGCGAGACGGCGGCGTCCGCGTGTGCCGGACGTCGCCTAAAGAGAGGAAAAAATATATTGAGACGGAGCCCGCACCAGGAGCGGGCTGGCGCTAGGAAGGGTCCGGATGTCTTAACAACAGCTGTTCCCGGATCCCTCCTGTTACAGGCGCAGAGTGGCACACCGTGTGGTTTTAGTCGGTCCGAGTCCGACACACCACCCCGCCGCAAACCCCGGAGGGGTGACGGTCCGAGGGGATTTCCACACGTTAAAAAAAAAAAAAAAAGGTTTGTTTCAAGTTTTCCTTCTCTTTGCAGTGCTGTTGTCCTGCTTAGTTTGGTCCCTTAGTCGGCTCTTACGACACCCACGGGATGAATTGGGGTGGTGACAATTAAATACATACATATTATAGATAAATTACACCCAGACACAGAATAAATGACCGTGCTCATCACACGATATTTGTCTTGGGTGGGAATCGGACCCACGACCTCCCGGCTTAGCAGTCAGGGCCACTAACCACTAGACCAACAGGCCCGTCGTTATATATGCGGTGTACGTAATAAAAATCATGTATAGCAACAAAAGATGACTTTTAGTGTGTCGCTTTTGCTTCTATTTTATTAAGTTACCTTGGTTTAAAGAAACTCAATCATTGAATGCAATTCAACAATGGCATCGTAAATTTTAAACACTAACGAACATCCTTATTACTGTTTTTCCTCGTCATTGGCCTTACTATTTAATGATTTAATTGAATACTAAATATTGAAAGAGTTATACCAGCTCAGTGTAATGGTAGTAATAATTCTCATTCTCATTCTCATTGTCATTCTTAGTCAGGGTCTATCATTTTTGGGACATGCGCAATCTTTAGTGTTAAAACTACTATACGAGTAAGCGAGAAGGCAAGTTTTTTTCTCTTCCTAACTGGAGACAAGCCGCATGCGCGTACCGGTGACATTGTAAGTGTACACTGGCGTAGGATTTAAAATAATATTTTTACCTTGCAAAATTTACACCTGGAAAATTATCACAGCGCTCCTTTAATAATAAACTGAATTAATTCAAAATTTACGTTTTTCGAGTTTTCAACAAATACCAAATCAACTTCATCAGTAGACACGAACAATCCAACAGCCGACTCGATACCATGAAAATGGCAGAGATAAGAGATCGTCGTTCTCTTTTTGACGAACTCGCACGTACATGAATGTCAAACTTTAAATGCGATTTCCCACAATATTGAAATTCTAAGTTAATTCAGTTTATGAATAAAGGTGCGACAGAATACTTTTTTGAATGATATAATTTCGGAAATTTAATAAGGAATTTAATTTTAGTGACAAAAATAACATTTTTCAACTTTTAATAATTTTAATTATTATTTGAAAATTTAAAACTACTGTTTGAAATTAGTTTGGATTTTTTTAAATAGAATAAAAGAAATTGAATCCATTTATTATTCTACTGTACGATTTTTTTAAATTAACATTCATTCCTTAAACTTAAAACCACCTTTACTCCGTTAATTCTTAACAGCGAAAAAAATGTTAAAAGACCATTTTTCTCTAAAATTTCAAGTTCTACAATTTTTAATCAAACCTGCTTTCCTAACTTTTAACGATTGCAAATTATTGCAAAAAAAAAACACTTCTTTTGATTTTTTTTTTTGAAAGTTTTTGTGTCGTCTAATCTAACTTAAAAAAAAATGCAAACTAAATTCGAACTTCAGAACTTTATTGACTGGACTAATATACATATCTACTCACACACTAATATACATACAGAATACTTTAATATTTGTTAGCGAAGGTCAAGATAAATATCAAAAAGTTCAAGGCAGCTCATAAAATGATAAGATATTTTTAAGAAAACTTTTTAGGAGTAATCTTTAAAAATGTATTCCGTTCTTAACAACTTTATAAGTCGTCTGACTTATAAAGTTAAACGGAATTCATTTTTGATATTATTACATAAATTATCATTGTGGTGATGGATTATAAATACGGAGCGTCACCACCCCTATTCATCCTGTGTGTGTCGTAAGAGCCGATTAAGGGAGCATCTTAAGCAGGACATCACCACTGCAAAGAGAAGGAAAACTTGACACAAACCCTATACCAATCCGTCTAGCCAGCGTGGTATAGTAGGCCAAACCCTCCTTTCTAAGCAGAGGCCTATGTCCAGCGGTGGACTATTAAAGGCTGTTGACACAACACAACTCAAGTACTAGGCGAAATCAAAAATCTGTAGAAAGGTTGGACTTCTTAGGGCTCCAATTACCCGTAACGATTGCCATGGATGTTAGTATGGCAATCAAAACCGATGACGGAGGAGTCTCAATGTGTGAAGAACGGTCACCCATCCATAAAATGACCTGGCTAGGATGGCTTAACTTTGCAATGTGTTAACCTACTCGGTTACCACTTAGCCACTATATCTACAATAATGAAAAAAAAAATACAGAGTCAATATCTAATTATCTATTGTCATGCTTATTTTCTAGATTCTAGTAAATTATAATAGTTTCAAGATAACTGATAAGCATATGAAACATTATGGTAGAAATCTTAATCAAAATATATTAGTGGGTACTCTTTAAATAAAATCGTAATCAGAGTATTCAGATATGATATAATTGTTTACGCTTACATCGTATAGTATACTAGAAGTTTGAATATTAAAAATATAGATTTATTTAATTAGTCATTGAACTTGTCACTACGATTATGTATTTGAAAGGTGTTCATTTATTGTGCTAGTAATTACATAGTCCCGAAGTTTTATGCAGGCACGTACAAATACCGATGAGCGTTGAAAATGGCATCTATCTTTCAAATGCCCCTGTATTTTTTTATAAAATACAGAAACTTTACTTTCGGATCTCCTTCCGTAAGTTAAATGTTTTTACATAAATTTTACAGTGTATTTTCCGCATTAATATAATTATTATAAAAAGGTAGTATTTGTTTATGGTTTTTCTTCCCTTTGATCGTTTAATATAAAGAATACACGGTATAAAACAAGTATTATTCGTATGTGATTGTATTTTTCAGACGAACGTCAAATATGTTTTTTTCGAAAATCACGTGAGTTTTACAGGAAAGATTCTCGTAAGCTTCGAAAAAAAAGTATCTGTCGCAATTTTCAGCGCTATTACCAGATATAAAACACAGATTTAAAATTATATATACATATCTCAATATAAATTTCAGCTTATTACATAACCTTACTTTAACGCAACAATCGACCAGCACAGAGTACCTAAAAGCACAGCTGTTATGAGAATGAATGAAAATGAATTGAATTTCCTCTCAACAACAAATAAATAAACAGTGTACCTACCTACTCTCAATCTTAACGTAATTTAAAAACAAACTTACATCTTAATCATTCAGTAATAACAGACCACTATTAAATCATCACAATATAAAATAACAAAATAAATGGCATACGTCGTCTCTCCGTCAAGTGCTTGGTGTTACTGAGGAACACAAATGAATGACTGCTTTCGCTCCTCGTCTGACCCGCCGCTTAAAACACGACTATTAATATCTCCTCATTCAGTATCTTCGTCCACATCGTTAACAATGTCATTTTTATAAATGGCGATTGTTTTAAATCATTCAAAGTGGAGTAATATAGATGCATTGTCGTTTGGTTTAGATGCAGTAACTAAAAGCATTTCTAAAATTCGACGTTTCGTTTAAATTCGGTTTCGGATATAAACATCTAATACGCGAATGTATTAATCATCTAATACAAGACGGAAATACCGTTTCCGAGGGATGGAAGATAGAAAATAAATTTTAGTGAGCGATACTTAGGTAAATTATAAATGTTAAACTGAGTTTGTTAGTTTGTCACGCTTTTACGCCTAAACCACTAAACTTTTAAAAACTTTTACTAATCGGAAGCTACATTATCAGCGAGTAACATAGGCTACTTTTTTTTATGTATATGTTCACCAATTACTCCAAGACGACAAAACCGAATATTAATTTAAAACAATGTAATGTCAAAATAATAGGTTTTATTCATGCTCACACGGTTATTTGCACGATAAATATTCCTTTAAACGTGTCTATAAAAATAGCAAGTGACTTTTACTTTATTCTTAAATTATGGTTTATTTCAAAATACATACATTTAAGTTACAATTATATATATTTTTTTTTTTAAGTCAGATCATATAACCCGCCCCGCGTCGCTCCCGGTGCAAAGGTGCCCATGATACTGGCAGCATTGCCTCGCTGAATTGCAACGGACATTCTTTGCACCAGAAACGAGCCGGAGCGGGAGTCACCACTTTTTTCCCTAACTCGGCGACCAATCTCCGCAATTAACTTTTTAGCTTCTGACCCCCAACTGCCCAAAGTCTCCACCGCAATAGGCACAAAATAATAGTGCGTCTCCATTGCGGCGTATTTTGATCGCTTCCTACTAGCGGCATCCTCCGCCGCCGCCGCCGGGGCTTGGACGGTGCGACTCAGATGTGAGGCCGCGACTGTGCTAACGCATGTGGCGTCCCATACCAAGCACTTCCCGTTTTTCCACGGCACCAAAGTCAAGCCTTCCGGCCGCTTCCCGTCAACAATTAGTTTAAAACAATTAGTTTAATATCCAATATTTTATTTCAGAAAAAGCTAATTACTTGGTTTAACAGTTAATCAGCAGATAAAAGATTGTAACAAGTGCATCTGTCTGCTGGTTTAGTGGTTAGAGTTTTCGAGAGCTGACTTGTAGGTTCGATTCCCACCCAGAAAAACTTAATATGTGATGAGTACGAAGGATTAGATGGCCGTGTGTAAGATGTGTCTCAGTTATTATTTTTATCTGTTTTTTAAATATACTTCAACGTGTTTGCATTTTTAAAAGAGGCATGATTTTATCAATCACCAAGTAAATGTATTTCCAATGGTCCAATAAAAAGTATTTGTTCCTAAAATATTATACCGGTCACCAAAATTTTATCACAAAGAATATCAAAACGGTAACTTAAATATCAATTTAGAATTACTTGGCCATAAATAAATAATTGTTTTTGTTTTCAAAATAATAGAAGTGTCACCAAAATTGAATCACCAAACATGTGATGTTAAGAAGTTTACTTATTTTTTTTTATTATCGTTGGAAAATAATATCAATAATTTAAAAATGTAAACAGTCATCCTTTTTAATAATTGATCCTCTTTTGAAATATAAAATGGCACGAAAACAAATCTAGGTAGTCAAATTGTTGTTTTTCCAAAACATGACAATACCATGCTAATCGGAAATGACATCTTCATCTTTTTTTTTCTTTTTATGCATTCGCATGCGGTTTGTTGTTGATCATAATACTAACCTAACCTACCCTATTTTTGTAACACGCTTTTATTAGTTTGGTATGAATGTACTCGTATCTGTGTATATGTGTAACGGAATATTTGAACGTGATTTTCACCCATTTTAAATAGTCTGATTGAATTCAAACTACGCACACTTATCAAGGAACGATGATAATATATTAGAATAATTTGATTAATTTGTCCGATTATGCTGATTAGGATCTTCAGGATTGACGGCTTTTACATACCTAAAAATACGGTATTGGCTTTGCCACGTACTGAAGTGTGTTCTGAATGTGACTTACTTGTTACTTTTATAGTCTTACTGAGAAAATAATCATCATTAAGACTATAATATAGGTAAAATAAACTTTAAAACAACACGCTTTTGAAACTAGCCGAACTAAAAAGTAGAAAATAATTTTCTATAAGTTCAAAGAGAAAAATCATTTTATCGTAAAACTGCGTGGGGTGCTAGATCTCAATTGCTGTAAAATATTTTATTTACATTCATAAAAGAAAAGTTATTAATTTATAAAATATCTTGTTTGTTTTTCAAAAGCGTGTTTTTATTATAATTTCTTCACCATATCGCTGAAACGGTGCATCTAAGTATAAAAATAACGTTTATTTCGTCTCTTAATGACACCGCCAAAAACCCAATCCACCACCAGTTAAAAGGGTATAAATTGGTATTTTTTATGGTTTTCCTTGAAAAATTTATAAATGGCAGACTACCGACTTCTAGTTCAGAAATCAAGACACCGGTGGTTAGGCATCAAGAGACAGAAATCTCACAATACGGGCTGTATCGAAAGGCTTACTTACGTCCTTTAATCCATCTGCCTAACGTGAGCCTCTGAAGATGTTGGTTCTTAGCAATCAGCCCATAGATTGATATGACTACGAGTACCATCGGTACAAAGATTTCCGAATCGTCATTTCACATGTTGATAAGTTTGTGGACCAAATTCGAACCTTCGTTATGTTTTTATATGCCTTATGAGATTGTAAGTCATGTATAATTATGATGTCATAAGAAATAATTATGTCAACAATTGTGGTTAACAATTTATTAGTATTATTACCTTAAAGTTTATAATCCTAATTGTTTTTTTCCTTACCCTTAATTAATGTTAAATATATAAAAGAACAGATCGTTCGTACTAATTTATAAAATACAATTACAAAAAGTAAGACAATGACTGCTAGATCTAAATAGAATCGTTGGTAAAATGCTAATTCTAAAGCTGGCGAACGTAAATGCTTAGAACCACGCGTCTTCACTGCATGACGCACCCAAAAGGACATTTCTTCAATCGGCTTGGCTGGACGGTCATGGAATATTATTGATGATTCTTTAGCTTTCAGACGGTATCTGCAAACATAATAATATATACAGAGTGCCTCAGTTTTATTTCCAGGGCATAATATTATAATACTACTAAAATAAATACTTTTTTGTCTGATACTGCAACGCAAAATACGTTTATTGTACACTAAAGTCCCACTAAATTATTTTAAAGAGGTTCAGATTCGAACTAAGACTAGTGACTGCACTACACGATCGCAACTATCTATTGAGGCTGGTCTAAAAGTTAACCTTACCCATATATTTAATAAGATCAAAGGCTTCTTATCAATTAAACACCAATTTCACTCTATTGTCTCGGCAATTTTTATCAGGTTTCAGATTTATATAAAAATAAAACGGTGCTGTTAAAAGACAAAAGGGTCATTAATGGTTTAAATATTTCGCTTTTCATTTGAAGCATAAAAATATTAACGAAGCGTAGGATAACATTTTCAACTTACGAAGGGTTTGAAGTCATTTTTTCCACAGCAACCTTCAGATCTTCAACTACATTGTATGTCAAATCAACTTTTATACCGAAACCTTTTTTCACAACCCTCTTAATATTGACAAACTGGTCAGCAAAAGCAGGGATTCCAATAATTGGTACACCATAGTGAAAGGACTCAGTTATTGAAAGAAGACCTCCATGAGTTAAAAATATAATACAATTTGGATGCGCTGAAAGGGAAGTTAGATACACTTTATAAAATATTGAATTTAAAAAAAAGGACAACTCCCGCACTCGGAATAAATACTGTATTGTGGGGAACTTTACAAACATACATGAAACAGACACGAAGAACACCCAGAACTCAGAACAACAATTTGTGAATCACACAAAATGTTCTCTCATGTGGGGATCGAACCCATAACAGTCAGCGTAGTAGGAAGAGGTGACCGCTTAACCCACTACGCTATCCATGCAGTCACTGAAAGAAAAAGCCGTTAAAATCTAACGTACATAAAATACTTGATTGAGGAAACCAGTTTGAAATGTATACATTTTTAGGAACATTTGGAAGCTGCTCTTCGATCTTCCACAACACGATTTGCTTCAGTCCTCCCAACATCAATAGTAACTTCTGTTTTGTCTCTTCCGGCCAATCTTTGCTCCTCAGGTTTGAGCCCATGCTGAAGTATATTACTCCATCCTTAGCGTTGTCCATTATTTCCTTTAAGTCCTAAATTAGTAATAAGATATTATTTGATACTGTTTATTAATATATCCCTTAAACTCCCAAATATAAATAGACACCGTAGCCGAAATCGGCGTGGCATAACTATATATAATAGATCTGTTTAAACTTATTATCGAAAATAATGTTGCCAAAACTCTTACTTAGGTCTTAAAATAGTCAATCAATATTCTTCATTGGTGCTCCGCTCCTATTGGTCTTAGCGTGATGATATATAGCCTATAGCCTTCCTCGATAAATGGGCTATCTAATACTGAAAGATTTTTTTAAATCGGACCAGTAGTTCCTGAGATTAGCGCGTTCAAACAAACAAACAAACAAACTCTTCAGCTTTATAATATTAGTATAGATGAGTAGGAGTAATCCGTGTGGTGACGGATTAAGAATACAGAGTGTCACCACCCCTATTCATCCCGTGGGTGTCGTAAGAGGCGACTAAGGGAGCGAAATACGCAGGACAACAGCACTGCAGAGAGAAGGAAAACTTGACACAAACCCTATACCAACCCGTCTGGCCAGCGTGGTATAGTAGGCCAGAACCTCCTTTTTAAGGGGAGGCCTATGTCCAGCAGTGGACTGTTAAAGGCTGTTGATGATGATGATGATGATGAGTAGGAGTAGTAGTAGAATATACGAGTTAAAGGTATGGGACCCAGACCTGTCTAAGCTATTGCTGCTTGAGTCATTCCTATCATTGAATTCTCTTTCTATGTATCTTTTTTGTCAATTTACTCTTAATTTTCCCATTTAATACCCAAAGAAGCCCGTTAAAACTATTGCCTTCAAACGGGTTATCCCTTATAATAAGTTACACTAGAATTGTATGGTTGGAAAAGTTTTTATTTTATTCATACGCCTCTGCCGAACCCTTCGGGTATATAGCTATGAGTGTATGTATGTACCTTTGGCAGAGGCTCAATATCTTCATCAATATGATACCCAGCCACGTTCTTATAGCTTTGTGGTAAACTGACAGCTTCTCCCATGGACACATGTGAATAACCCAACACCAAGGACACGTTAAATCTGATGTCTTGAAATGAAGGAGGTTGACGCCCTCTTTTAGCTATTATGGGCGCTATTAGTCGCTTGTATGCTTCAGTTTCCATATCATCAAAATATCTAAAAAAAAACAGTTAGAAATCTAAGTCGAATAACTTGATCAAACCAAATGATTACCATAACCTATTATGGTTGGCTTATACACTGAAATCATGTATACTTCAAAATCATCCAGCCAGTCAGTATGTCAAATACTGATTAAATTCTCGTGCTAATTGGACAACTTTTTAACTGGCGTAGCTGTATATAGCTTTCCATGTCGGATAGACGTACACATTTGTTCCTCCACAATACAAATTATACTGATCAATAAGTTTTATTGAATACAATATACCAACAATTTAACATAAAACTACACCAATATTATTATTTTTAATTTTAAGCAGGTAGTTTTCTTACCTATAAAACATATATTCCGCCTTTAGCAAGGCCCATAATTCTTCCACGCGTTCTTTAAATGTAAGTGGTAAAACTTTTGTAGACATGCTATCAATTACGTATCCAGGATTAGGTACAGCATCTAATCGTTTCAAAATATCAGAATTTACTTCCATAGGAAATAACCATATTAGTGAGCAGTCGAACACAGCTGCGAGACTAAAAAAACAGATATAACATCTTTGTAGAATAAAATAAAGACAAGTGAACTGCATATTATGTGTAGCATCTGATATTTCACTTACTATGGCTACCTATCTTACATGTTGTTACATACTTCCGTCCCTTATCACAAAATGATTCTTACAGGAAAGTGAAAAGAAAGATGTTGTCATCCATAAAAAAATCAGTCAAAATTTGTCACTACATAAAACAATTTAAGATTACCTTGCTAAAACGTCATTATACATATATTCAGCTATTACTACGTCAAATTTTTCTTCGGGATCCATTAATAACTTCTGTACGTTTTTATTTTCTAATGTTTTTATACTCATAGTAGTCATAAAACGGCGTACATTTTCAGGATCATTGGAAACGGTACTGTCCATTATAGCTTTAATATTAATGGCATTCGCTAAAACATAATTTCGTAAAGATATCGTTAGATAAAATAATAATAACTAAGTTGGAGAAGAATTTTTTGTCGATCCAGATGTAGTGGGCACATAAATGAATAAACATTAATTTAATGAACTTAATACTATACCAACATACCAGTAGAGAGTGGATGCCGTATCTTGGACCACAAGAGTAGATTTTTAAGCAGGTATTCATGCCATAGCCTGTTTATCATCTAACGAAAACAATCTTTACAACGAATACACTTTTTCTCAAAGTTTTAATTAATGGCATCCGACATTATATCCTTGTGGTGACGGATTAAGGTCCGTGTGCTTACGGATTAAGAATACAGAGTGTCACCACCCCTATTCATCCCGTGGGTGTCGTAAAAGACGACTAAGGGAGAAAACTACGCAGAACAAAAGCCCTGCAGAGAGAAGGAAAACTTGACACAAACCCAATACCAACCCGTCTGGCCAGCGTGGTATAGTAGGCCAAAACCTCCTTCCTAAGGAGAGGCTTATGTCCAGCAGTGGACTATTAAAGGCTGTTGATGATGATGATGATGTGACATTATATCTACTAGGAAAATATAAAAATAACGAAAACCCAACTATTGTTAATGCACTAAACCATGATCTGACGAAACATACCAGGCAGAAGTTCTTTGTTGCTACTGACATCAATCTGTCGCAGAGTGGGAGGAGCATTCTTGTATTCATGAGACCGTATGAAGGTGATCTGAAAGTATGTATTTTTTCATTTTTAACTGACTTCAAACATGAGCAGGAGATCCTCAGATCAGTTGGATTTTTGTTAGTTTAGAACTCCATCATTAATTAATCGACTTAAATGATTTTCATTTAGGAGGATATACTGCCCGTTTGTTTCTATTCAAATGTGAAGAGAAAATAATAACAAAGTTTCGGACATCTGACACACAACGCCATCTAGTTTCAAACTAAGCAGAGCTTGTACTATGAAAGCTAGAATGACTGATAGAATACTTATATACTTTTTTTGTAAATACATAAATATTATACATTTATATGACATTTGCAGATCATACAAACATTTGATCCGACCCCGGAATCGAATCCGAGATCTCAGCACAGCAGTCGTAAACGCAACCACTGCACCACTGAGGCAGTCGAATACTTTCTGTAGTTTATAATAAAACTGCGATTAGTGCAATTTGTTTCTATAAACTCACGTAATTTATTATAAAACACTTCTTCTTGAACATTCACACTTTCAATAGAAAGTAAGAAATTAAATAAAACTTAGGGCATACTGACTTCATTGCCATCTTTAAGTAGCTGCTTAATAAGAGCATTGTTGAGAATGGAGTGACTTTTCGAAGGCATCTGAGTTACTACTAATGCTTTGAACGCATCCGCCGAGTAAGCCGCTATCGCGATGCAGACCAGAAAATAAATGTTTTTAATCATGCTCTGAAAGGAACAAATATTTTATATTTTTAAACTGCGATTAAATATTCCATTCCGTCAAAATACATGCATTTATCAAAAACTTACTTCTTATTGATAGGTTTAATAAACACTGATATATTTTCCTATGTGGTTGATGACGAGATTTCTGTGTGATGTATAAGACAGTACTGACCTAAGCTGATAAAAATAATTCGCTATGTGTCTCGCAAGTTCACGGTATAAGATAAGAGTCTTTGATGTTATTTGATTCTTAATGTTAACATAATTATGTAATTTCATTTCAAAAATACATTGCGATATTTACTTTAGAGTAAGTTATTTAATAACTACCAGGTCAGTCGCAAGCGCACCTCTAGCGTATTTGCAGATCACTCAATTGAGTACAAATTTAAGCGTAGCTCAGAGCATTGGCGAATCTCAGCCAGCAGTAAAACATTTGAATAGAATAGTCGAGTAGAGAACTCAACTGTTAGGCTTCAGAACACTAGCATCATCATCAACAGTCTTTAATAGATCATTGCTGGATATAGGCTTCTCCTTAGAAAGGAGGTTTTAGCCAACTATACCACACTGGCCAGACGGTTTGGAATAGGATTTGTGTCAAGTTTTTCTTTTTTTTACAGTACTGTTGTCCTGCGTAGTTTGCTCCCTTAGTCGGCTCTTACGACACCCATGGGATTAATAGTGACATTCCGTAATCTTAATCCGACACAACATGGATAAATAAAGAATAAATATCTTAATAGATAATATACACAATTTAAGTATATTTACAGTCGGCTTTATTCAAATCATTATTTTGATTGATACAAATAAAACAAAGGTCTTGGACTAAAAACATTTATTTATTTACATAACTTAATTCTTCTTCTTTTTGCTATCTACCTTTTTAGGGAATACTATAGAACACAGATAGCACAATAGTTTTGTAATCACAAGCAAAGATATTGCTACCAAAGCTACTAAATCCAGGAACAATCGTTGATATAGAGGGACTACAACAGCTGGAGAACGTAAGTGAGCAGCTCCTCGTGTGTTCACTACGTGGCGCACCCAGTGTCCCAACTCCTGAGCAGGTTTCATAGGACGGTCGTGATATATGTAAGACAATTCCTTCACCCTTTCTCTATATCTGTAAAATTGAAAAATAATTTCAAATGATGATTGTCACTCTGCTTAGGTCTAAAACGGTAAAGTAAACCAAACTTATTTGTTTACAAAAATACATATCTCCTCCACTACTATACACTACAAGATCATTGCTGCCCTTTTATTCCTTCCAGGTAACCAATGGTAACAATCGTCGAAGGATAGTTGCAAAGTTTAGCATCAAAATAATATGATGAGTAAAATACAGAATACGAGGACCAGTGTTAAAATGGATCAATATCCATTGAAAGCCCCCATAAAATCTATGTTAAATTGACAAACATATGTAAATAATAAATCACTTTTAAAACCATTGAAATCAAATGTTAATGAATATGGCTTCGGGGTACCCCAGGGCAGTATGCTCGGTCCGATATTGTTTATAAAATTATCTTAATCATTTTCTCAGACTGCATTTCTATTATAATCTTAAAAGTATATGTATCACAAACACTTAATTATAAGTCCGTACCACGACAGAACTAATAATATGTTGTCTGGTAAAATCAAATAATCAATCTTGATGAGAACGTTTAAAACACTAAAATCGTCTTTTATAAATATAACAATGTGTTAAACATATGATCCAATACTTACGTAGACTTAGATAACATTTCCTTAATTTCTATATTCAAGTCTTTAGCTACATTATAGCTTAAGTCTACTTTCAAGGCAAAACCTTTATTAATAGATCTCTTGACATTGACGAACTGATCACCAAACACGGGTATGCCAATTACAGGTACACCAAAATTGATTGCTTCTGTGGTTGATAGAAGCCCTCCATGACTAATAAAAATGACACAATTTGGGTGAGCTGAAAGAGAGATAGTAGAGAATGGAATTAAAAACATGCTTTTAATCAACAATCATAAACCAATGTATATTGCTTTTGTATATGGTTTAAGGGTATTTATTTATTATATGGTATAAGCTACGACTGCCGCCCATGAATACCTGCACCTCAAAAGTGCATTGAAGCGTTTTGAGTCTCCCCCACCCCCTCCCTCAAGTCAGGGCGAGAGTTTTCTGTGAAGCCGTAGTATCACTCCTTTCGACCGTGGACCCATTTATCCTGAAGCATAGCTCTCCTACCTTATCATTGTTATGCACCAGATAGTGATTAATAGCTAATAAATAATACTGTTTTAAGTTCATTGAAAAATGATGTGAACTTTTAAAGCAACAAAAGATGTGTACAACAGTAACACCTTTTGTTGGTACCTAACGGTAATCTATATATCTGGAGTAGTTCATATGGTCTCATTTTCTATTGTATGATGTGGAGAAGTTAAACCTATCAGTAGCCTCAGAATAGTCTTTTGTTGTAACTTATTAAATATTAGGTCTTTACCTATGAAATAGCCGTTTTGTATGCAATAAGTGAAAGTACTTATTTTTTCAAACTTTTTTATTTCTGTTATTCGAAGTAATCGAATGACGACATCGACATGAATCGACGCATCTTTGCCAACGCATTGGCAGTTTATTGATGCCCTTCTTGTAAAAATCAGCTGGACGGAAGGCAACAAACTCTTCAAAGGCATTTTGTACTGCCTCTCGGGAATTGAATTTTTTACCTACGCGAAAGAAGTCACGGGTACCAGCTAGTATTAAATAAAAAGATAAAATATTCACACTGTCAAAATATTATACTAAAAATAGTGTGTAATGTAATCCATCTCTTTCTCTCGCCGACTTAATCCTATACTATGTGTTTGTTTCTTTATCGTGACGCATTTTCGTATCATCGAGTTTCAAATTACAACGATTCTATAGCAGTTTCACTTCAAAAATTATTACAGACTTGTATATATTCGACTTGTATATATCGAATATGCATGAGAAACAGCAAATTTCCCCAACCACCACCACCACCACCAACAGCCTATAACAGTCCACTGCTGGACATAGGCCTTTCCTTATTTCCCCAACACTGTAATAATTAAATTAACCCGTCCCTGATTGTTTCTGATGGAAAAGTACCCATCACACTTGCTGCATTGCCGCGTTAAATGACAATAGCCAACCTTTGCACCATTAACGAACCGGGGCGGAAATATTCATTTATTAAAAAATATTACCCAAGATGCTTTGCTGCGGTGCCCATTTCAATATATGAACATTTTTGGGCACATTGGGCAGGTCTTCTTCAAATTTCCATAGCACTGTTTGCTTCAGAGTACCGAACATATTCAACAGGTTTTGCTTGATTTCTACGGGCCAGTCTTTGCTCTTTAGATTTGAACCCATACTGAAATATATTACCCCATCCTTCGCAGAGTCCATAATTTTTTTTAGGTCCTACAAATAAACTAGTGTATGTCATTATGTATATACGTATATTTGTCCATTAATCACGTGAGGCTCAAAAGGGCTCCCGGGTAATATACCTAACACAAAATAAGATATCACGTATTTTCATTAGTCATTGAACGCACGATTTCATTTCGATGTACAAATATATGGTTTTAATAATTGTGTTGTTTTTTTAAACCATTCTTTATAATTTTCAAAACCAATCTGCAACCTTAATAATTTTCCAAAATTTAATCAAATTATATTTAAAGATAATATTTAAAAAATTCAATATACTTTTTACCAAAAAATACACGTGATTTTGGGTAGAGGGGGAGGAGCCTAAAACCTCGCCACACACTCACCATGGAAGGGAGGGTTAAAAAGTTGCTAAAAAACATCATATATGTAAAAAAATAATTTGCTGGTCATCGAAACGAACATAACTTCAGATGCAATTTACAGATTTAGATGTTTTCTTCTTTTAAATATGACCAAATTTATCAAAAATTCAAGTCACCTTGATTACTGACAGAATTCTGAAAACGGAAAGTATGTTTCTCTGAGAAAATAAACGGATTTCAAATCAAATATTACATTGATAGAACAACACATATTTTTTCAGATCAGCTAGTACCAAACAAATGTAATAAAAATTAACCCTACCTCGGGTAAAGGCTTGACATTTTCGTCAATGTGGTACCCTCCAACGGGCTTATAGTTGTGCGGTATTCGGAGACCTTCTCCCATAGATATATGTGAGTTTGCTAAGACCAGAGATGCATTGTACCTAAATTCTTCGAAGGACGGAGGTTTTTGGCTTTTTGCTAGAAAGTGTGGGGCTATCCATTCCTTATATATGTCAGATTGAATTTTATCGTAGTACCTAAAAAAGTTAAAAGTATCTCTATGCATTACACTTTCTACTCAAATAATATACTGATACACAAATTGGTAGTATAAAATCAGTGCATTATAAATATTCATAGACGCTTCAAGACCGATACAAAATATTGATTAAACTAGTATTTTATCAAAATAGTTGCATTCCATAAATTGAATATTCTGCATTGATTGTATTATAAAATGAGGGGCGAGATATTAAGAGGAGGTCTTTTCAATATTACATGATTTCCGAGTATGATGTATTAGGATGCAATATCATGTGTAATATAAACTATTGCCTGACATTCAGGATATGTATTTATATGTATTTTTGTACACGTTCATTTGAGCCGAGTTCTTGCTCTGTAAGCAATCTTCACTGATTTATAATGACACAACAAGTGATACCGAAGTAATTTAGAGTGATTGGCATGTTTTAACATTTTAAATATAGAATACTATTAGATAGACTATATGCATATTATAGAGAGAGAACATTTTTCATGCCTCATGAAAATGATTAGTGGACAGAAAAAGGTTTACTTACATATAATCGTAGTAGGCTTCTGTTAATCTTCCCCATAGTTCTTGTACTCGTTCTTGGAATGACAAAGGAGTTATACTTGACGAAAGCATATCTACACTATATGCAGGATTTGGCATTACATCAATCAAACCTAAAATATGAGAATTGATTTCTACCGAAGACACCCATATCAATGGACATCCAAACAAAGGCGCCAAACTGAAATATTTGAAGATAAAAATTAGTTGCGAAATTTAAATTGAGGAAACCACAGTCTAGAATAATATTCAAATAAGTATGTAAAACCTAAGTCGGGTATTTGATTTTTGAAGCAAAACTTCTCTGCGCACGTTTGACTTATGGAGTAAGCTGGTGAATGCGTGACGAGAGCGTTACGAAAATTGTGACCGGTTGAGGCGAACGGAAGTTGAGAAGGAGATATAAGTTAGTGAAGATAGAAAAAGAGAGTTACGTAATAAAAGAGTAAGTGAGTTCGTATATTACTGTAGGGGCAAGAGAATCACGACTTTTAACAGACATAATTGGTCTTTACTAGTACAGGTCTTTTTTTGTTTACTTTTTTTTGTCGTGGTAGGAAGTCCCTTGGATCTCCTCGGGGGCTCAGGAGCCAGGAGCATATACTGTTATGATTCCACTAAAAACAATCCCGACGGCTGGCCTTAGGTGCCCTACTCTGGAATAACCCGAACCATGTTATTTCAGGTCCTCCCCGATTCGACACCATGCCTAATCAGGCAAAACACTTCCCCCCCTCAATCGATCAAGGCCCGATTGTGTCTTAATGCAATTAGGCCCCATTCTATCCCCTACCGCAACAGTCAATTTGCCACCAGAGGTCCCCCACCCTCTGGCGGCCCGCGGCCCCGCCGACGGCTTGTGTCGTCGCCGAAGTCCTCAACGCTCGGGATCGGCCATCTTTAGTTCAGACCTAAGCGCGTTATATCATAATGTGTATGCGAGAACTTTAAGCATGCGGGAAAATGGGCGAACGAGTCTGGCTCTCAACTTATCGCGCACATGTAGTACATATATATATATATATTAAATAAATTATAGTTATCACAACAATTGAAATTTGCTTAAAATACAAAGCGTTACAGGCGTAATGTTCCTCTCAGTACGCTTTTAACATGTAAGAAAATCAGAGAAATAAAAATCACCTTTACCTTGCAAAAATTTCGCTGAACATCCATTCTACAATCACAACATCAAAATGTTCCTTTGGATCACTCAAAAGCTTCTGCACTTCTTTATTTTCCAGAGTCTTCGAGACCATATGGAGCATTAGACGTCTTACCATGTCCCGGTTGTCACGAATATCCGCATTTTCTAATAGGGTAGTAATACTGAGGGCCTTTGCTGAAAAAAGGTATCTGCTGTTAACGCAAACCAAAAACGTAAGTATAAAAAATCCGGGCAAGTGCGAGTCGGACTCGCCCACTTGGGGGTTCCGTATAAATTTGTAGGTACATATTATGAATGGTTCAGGAATCGAGTCTGGCAGTTTTTGCCGAGATCAAGTGAAATTGCACCTTGATGATTGATTACGTACTTTAAATAAATACTAAATTTTTAATGATTTAATTACAAATGTATAGTTTCAGATTTTTTCCTGTACTTGTAGTATAGGACGATGTTACTTGGCAAATTTCATAGTTCTAGGTCAACGGGAAATACCCTATGAATTTTGATTCCCTTGAGGGTGTCGTTTTTTGCGACATATGATGATGACTGTATTTTTGTAGGATTCCGTACCTCAAAAGGTAAAAAAGGAACCCTTATAAGATCACTTTCTTGTCCGTCTGTCCGTCTGTCCATGTGTCACCACCGATTCCGATTCTCAGGAACGAGTAGACCTAGCAAGTTGAAATTTATACCAGATACCTGAGTATCTGGTATAAATTTTCAGCACAAATAAAGGAATAATTCCAAAACTTTAAAAAAAGTCGAAAATTAAGATAAATTTTGGTACTTACAAATTTTCGCGAAAATCTACGTAAAATCTGGGTAGGTACGGAACCCTCGTCGCACGAGTTCGACTCTTACCTGTCTGGTTTTTTTCTATGTTAACTTAGAAGACAGCTTCAAGGGACTGTAGACCGGAGTATATGGTTTAATTTCAACTCGAGATACCCGAGATAAAGGGTTTTGACAGACAGACAGATAGACGGACAACAAAATGATCTTATAAGGGTCCCGTTTCTCCTTTTGAGGTACGGAACCCTAAAAACGAAAGATATAACTGTATAATAATTACAGCTCTGTAAAAATATACTGTCGATAGTATTCATGAAAAAAAAAAACCTTTAGCGGTATAAGTGCCTTTTTGTGTCATCACCTCACTAAAAATGAATCAATCAAAATCAAACCGATTACAAATACACGATGTTCCGATGACAGTGATCTATCAGGGACCTGGGTATACCCTAATAAGGAAGAGGGAAGAAATATGAGGGTCTGCTCTTGAGACACTTGCATTCCATTTCAACTTGTATTTAAACATGTTTAGGTATAAGCTTATTTATTTATTTTTATTTTTTAACGCACAAAAACGTAAAATGGGGCACTTAATGCCATAGGCATTCTCTGCCAGTATACCCTAAGAAATGCAGAAATAAGTGATTAAATAAAAAGTTTCAAAGTAAATACTAAAAAAAACCTAACTAAAAATAGATTGACAAGTTTATGTGAGCCAACCAGCCAACCAACACCTAAAATTTTTGAAGCAGTGGTAATAATAACACAATTCGAATTAGACCTTATACTTACTAGGCAATAAATCCTTATTTGAACTCACGTCTATCTGTCGAAGGCTGCTAGGAGCGTTCTCAATTTTAAAACAATTGATGTACACCACCTGTATTGTGAACATTTAACTTTTTTAAATAATAAATTATATTTCATTGGTGCTCGATCAACGCGGTCGGTGCGACAGGCGTATAAATACAGCGCCGAAAAGCGGTTTAGGCATTCTTGCTCGGATCGTCAAACAGTTTGGATATGACATCGTTATGTTAGGCTGGTTTACTAGAAAATCCTTCTTAAAAAAAGTTGAACCGACTTCAAACAATACTAATAAAGAACACTAAAAACTTAGCAGCAGCCGCGGTTGATTAGCTGTCATTTTTTTAAGAGTTCCGTCGACTGTCTTCGAAAATCATAATCAGATCTATATGAAATTTAAATGGGACCATTTCGGATAAACCCCTTTCGAACAAAAAAATAATTCGTCAAAATCCGTCTATATATGACAGAGTTATGCACGGACATATATAAAACATATTTATATAAACATCCGAATTGATAACTTTTGAAGTCGGTTAAAAAAGTAAGACTTGCTTGATTGAAGAAAAACTATCAAATATTCTGATCAGTTATGGCAAAGTAAACTTTTTTTTAAGTTTTTTACATATGTGATACTGTTTAAACTTCAAAAGATAAATACCAAACTCTACGAACCTCATTTCCATCCTTTAAAAGTTGTTTGACTAAGGCATCACCCAAGTTTGCATGACTCCTGGCGGGCATTGGGTATACCACCAGCGCCTTATAAGCATGGCATGAATTTAACGTGAGAGTTAAACCCAACAAGAAGTATAGTAGTGCAGTCATCTTCTGAAAAACAATTGTGAAATATGACTCGCCGATGCTATACCTCATGGCTGATTGTGGAGTATTAGTTCTGTTTAAACCGCCTTGATACGTATAATGTTATCAATGGGCATTATGTGTTGATGTAACATGTACAATATTAATTTATTAGTTTATCAGTTGCCTTGATAATACTTTTATGGATATAAAAAATACTTAAACTGCGGTAATGTAACAAGGATTAGGGTTTCCAATGGCTAGATAAGAAAAAACCCGTTGAATTGATGAGAAATGACGAACAAAACCAATGCGAGAAATGAATAAAAACAATATTTGAAGCGGTTTGTTTATCGAATCAAAATTTGCACTCAATCGATGCAGAATATGAGTACACTTACACCCTCATATTTTAGATACTTAAGCTGCACATGTCTTGACTTTGAGGATTAGAGGTCAAGAGAGATCAATTTAGAGATTAAACTCAAAGTTTAATCTCTAAATTAAAATAAACCTTCATTCGGAAGTAGTTGTCAGATTAAAATTGAACTTTTCAAAATTATTTTGTTCAAATTATTCGATTATTTATCATTAAAACCTCAAATACTTTATGTCTAGAGAAGTAAACAAAACTTACATTACATACTTACAACAAAAGATGACACACACACAAAACGTTTAATTGAAAAGTTAAACAGACATCTGCACTTCAGGACGTTCGTAACAATCGTCTCGTTATAAAGACACGAAAAGGTTCAATGTTGCGTTTCTTGTTACAGATTGTCCCACAAAAACTAATTATCTGTAGACATGATAAATAAACTCTATCTTTTCCTTAGATTAGGGATCAAATATATCTGTGATAATGTCTGTTTCTGTGTGATAATAAATTTAATACGTTTTGATATTTGGTCATACTATTATCATATTAGCCTTTCCAGGCCAAGGAGAGACATACTCGTTACCGTAACGACTTAGAGCTAATGCCGTCTCAGTCAGGGTTCCTATCCCTTATTCGAACTCCTTTAGCCCATCTTTCCCTTACATATTTTATAGCCTATATTTTACTATAAATTTATGATAATATTATATCACAAATACATTCTCACTCACTTTTAAATTTTTCTAATTTAAAAAAAATATGTTAGAGGGGTCACCTGATGGAAAGTGACTATCGCCGCCCATGAACATCTGCAACTCAGGAGTCACAAACGCGTTGCCGACCTTTTAGGAAGGAGTGTGCTTTTTTCTTGTAAAATCCGGAAATACCGGTCTGGAAATACCGGTCTGGAAATACCGGTCTGGAAATACCGTATACGATAACTTATTCCACAGATTGGTTGTGCGAGGTAAAAAGTGTTTCGAAAAGCGTACAGTAGTGGCACGGCAAATATCCAAGATTTGGGGATGAAAATTTTGCCGTGTGGAACGATGGCGAAAAGTTGCGGCCGGTATATATACAATTCCTCGGAGTAGTCACCATGATACATACTGTAGATAATACAGAGTAAAACTAAAAAGCTAAACTAGTTCTACCATAAAATCACTACTATTTTCTGCAACTGTTAAGGGAACCGACACCTGCTTACCACAGGCTAATCTGTAGCCTATTTAGGTGGACAGTACTACACTTATTAGTATTGTATTTAGTATGTTAAACTACAGATATTCTACACTTAAAAAACCTTACAAAATCTACAATAATATTTTTGAAAAAGATTTTTATTTTATTAATTTACCACTAGAGTATAAAGATTACCAGTAGGGCCTCTCCTTTAACACGGACACGGAACACGGAACAACAATTTGTGGATCACACAAATTGTTGTCCCGTGTGGGAATCGAACCCACAGCACTCTGCTCAGTAGAAAGCGGCGAGGTGACCGTTTAAACCATTACGCCATCCTTGCAGCCAATTGGAGCTTAGCTTCTGCACTATCGTACTCTGACTCAAATTATATTGATTTATACAAATAAAAAAAGCCTTAGATTTCTTTAAAAACATTTATTTATTTACAAAACTTAATTATTCTTCTTTCTGCTATCTACCTTTTTAGGAAATACTATAGAACACAGATAGCACAATAGTTTTGTAATCACAAACAAAGCTATTGCTGCTAAAGCCACTAAATCTAGGAATAATCGTTGATATAGAGGGACTACAACTGCAGGAGAACGTAAGTGAGCAGCTCCTCGTGTGTTCACTACGTGGCGCACCCAGTGTCCCAACTCCTGAGCAGGTTTCATTGGACGATCGTGATATATGTACGACAATTCCTTCGCTCTTTCTTTATATCTGTAACATTAAATAAACCATTTTAGCCGTAACTAGACTGACCAAACAAATATCTATATCACAAACTGTTAATTGGATAAAATTATTTATACATTTGATAGTCAGATTGTTAAAGCGAAGCAGTAATCATAAATGTGTTTAGAATTACACGAAACGGCTATTTACTGTATAAGTAAATACTGCTTTTTCTCTTTAACTTAACTTAACCTTACAGGCAACCGTCGTCAAAGTTTAACATCAAAATATGGAAAAATAATATGTAAAATATGGAATATGAAGACCAGCTTTAAAACGGTTTGAGAGCTATCGAAAGTACAGCAAAACTATGTGGAAGTGGCACTTGTAAGTCCTAAATCATGTTTCACACCGTAGAAATTGAATAAATGGCTTCGGAGTACCCCAGGGCAGTGTGTTTGGACCGACTTTGTTTATAAATTATCACAATGATTTTTCAACTCTACCAGCCTCATAAATCGATACTTTTCATAGACGACATTTCATTCCTAATACTACAAGCTGATATATCAAAACAGAATGTTAATAACAGGGAGGCTGCACTTATTTTTATCAAAGATATGTCAAATCGATATTGAAATACAGTGGTTACTGTAAGCAAATTCAGGAAACAAATAATACTTCCACTAACCAAAAAAATTAAGACTAATTTAAAAAAGACCATCATTCTCAGTCTCGTAGGCTGTCTGTGTCTCTGTCATGTCTGTGAAAGTTTTCAAACAAATCTTAAAGTGCTCGTTAAGGTTCTGTGATAAACACTCGCGTATGTTCTGTATGCGCTTTTTTTATAGCATGCCTTAAATATCAGAGCATTTAGGGCATATATCCCACTAAAACCTTGTAAATGATGTACTAAAACCCATTTTTATGTGCTTAAAAAATTATCAGCAACTATTGACACACAATAATATTTTTATTCTTCATTATGCAAGTACTCCTAATTATTATTAACATAAAATAATGTTGTATTCTTGTTTATAACTGTGCCAGCACTGTTGTTACATTCGCGAGATGCGGCGATAAGTGTATGTACAGCTTCGATCAACAATAGCATATTGTTGATCGAAGATGTACAGTAATCTATCTAAAAATACATAAGTCGTGTCATTGAGCTCTTTGGTATAGACAAATAGATAGATTACCATAGATAGAGATACCCATAGATAGAGATAGATAGAGATAGATTATATAATACTTAAAAATTTAAAATGCGCCGTAGTTATGAATAAAAAAAAATACTATACTTACGTAGGCTTAGACAACATTTCTTTAATGGCTAAATTCAAGGCTTCAGCTACATCGTAGGTTAGGTCTACTTTTAAAGCAAATCCTTTTTTTACAGATCTCTTAACATTGACGAACTGATCGCCAAACACGGGTATACCAATTATAGGTACACCAAAATTTATTGCTTCTGTGGTTGATAGAAGCCCTCCGTGGCTAATGAAAATGACGCAATTTGGGTGAGCTGAAAGAGTAACAGTATGAAATAGAATTTTAAACAGATTTCCCTATTAACAAACATAAAGTGATATAACTTGTTTATAAAAATATGAATAGAAATAGAAATTGTGAACATTATTAAAACATTTGTTCTTGTAGATACTTTTATTACATTATACATGTAGATACTTTTATTATTATACATTAGAAAGATAATCTCAACTTTTAAACCAACAAAACTTTTAATCCAATACGATTATTAGATTCAAAGTACGTACGTATAAACTACGAGTAGTTTGTACGTCTGGAGTGGTTAATAAGGAGGCTCTTCTTATCGTGTAATGTTGAGCCAATAATTAGATAAATAAAAGCCTTTTGATGTAATTAGCCAAATATTCGTACAGGTACATATTATTTTGTTTTATGTATAATACTTCAATATACGGCAATTAAAATAATAAAATAATAGAACATCTACACAACATACAAGGAATATGACTATAGATAAACCGCCTTTTTGAGTCCTAGCTTCCGGGACGCTCAAAGAAAAGAAGAATGCGCCTGCTGCTCGCACCTCTCCCGGTCCCCGTTCTCGTCCAGTTAATCGGTATATCTATAAATGGCTGCGGATTATAACTCTAACTTTTACTTTTCAAAGAAATTTTGTCAGCTGATTTCTTCGTTGCCAGATAGAGATTTGACACTTTGCTTCTTCACAGGCGGGCTCTAATAGCTGTTAATTGTTAATTTATTTAAAAAAAATCATCATTTACCCAAGATGCCTTGTTGCGGTGCCCATTTCAATATATGAACGTTTTTGGGTACATTGGGCAGGTCTTCTTCAAATTTCCATAGCACAGTTTGCTTCAGAGTACCGAACATATTCAACAGGTTTTGCTTGATTTCAACGGGCCAGTCTTTGCTCTTTAGATTTGAACCCATACTGAAATATATTACCCCATCCTTTGCAGAGTCCATTATTTTTTTCAGATCCTACAAAAACGGTAGTCAATTTATTATTTTTTTGTATTAAATTTGTATTTTTTGTTAACTTTTGTGTGCAGAATAATTTTCTTTCATTCTTTCTTTCTTTGCCAACTAGGCTGAGCTTGTACTAAGGTACCTGAACTAACATACTTATGTATTACTAAATAGATAAATATATATGTAAAATACAATAAATATTATTTATAATAAAACTAATGAATTATAATAAAATTACATCGAGACAATAATTGAGCAGACAGACATTGACAGAGCAAATAATTGTCATTATCACACAAATTTTTGTCTTATGAGTAGGTGGGAATCGAACCCACGACCTCTGGCACAGTTCTCAGGGTCACTTATCACTAGACCAATAGGCCAGTCGAATTTAAATGTGACTAAACACATGTTCGAGAAAAAATCAAACCAGCTTAGTTACTGTGAGAATCCTGATAACGAAAACTGCTTTTGTCAGTGAAACTAAACGGATTTTAGAGGAATATAAAAACACCTTCAGGTCAGTCAGTACAACATTAATTTTTATTAAAAATAATCCTACCTTAGGTAAAGGTTTGACATTTTCATCAATGTGGTACCCTCCAACGGGCTTATAGTTGTGTGGTATTCGGAGACCTTCTCCCATAGATATATGTGAATTACCTAACACCAAAGATGCATTGTACCTAAATTCTTCAAAGGAGGGAGGTTTCCGGCCTCTGGCTATAAAATGTGGGGCTACCCATTCATTATATATATCAATTTGCTGTTTATCGTAGTACCTAGAAATTACTTCGAATGTAATTCATTGTAGTTATTATAACATCAATAGTCATTGTTCATAAAGACTGATACACAAATTAGTAATTGTTATTAATTATTAAACATTTTGAATTTATGAAATTGGCACATTTAGGGAGAGCCACTTTTTTTCAACGTTTATTAATGTCTAGTGCTTATGCTCTTGCGTCATGCTTATCATGTCATCATCAACAACAGTCTATAACAGTCCACTGCTGGAAATAGGCTTCTCCTTAGAAAGGAGGTTTTGGCCTAGTATACCACGTTGGCCAGACGGATTGGTATAGGGTTTGTTTCAAGTTTTCCTTCTCTTTGCAGTACTGTTGTCCTGCGTAGTTTGCTTCCTTACTCGGCTCTTACGACACCTACGAGATAAATAGGGGTGGTGACACATTGTATAGATGCTGGTACAACACACTAAAATATTTAAACTAGCTGGTAATTATGAAATAAATATAGGCAACAAATCGCTTATTATTACGACTCATAATTCCTGTACTTACATGTAATCATAATAGGCTTCTTTTACTCTTGTCCATACCTCTTTTACTCGTTCTTTAAATGTAAAAGGAGTCACGCTTGACGAAAGTGTATCTGTGCTGTATGCAGGATTTGGCATTACATCAATCAGACTTAAAATATGAGAATTCACTTCCACCGAAGACACCCAGATCAATGGGCATCCAAACAAAGATGCAAAACTGAAAGATGTCAATAAATAAGTCAATAAATTAAAATCCAAGAAACCGCAGTCGAAAATAAAAACCATAAAACCAAATTTACATACATATCATAAACTTATCCATGCCCAAAACTACATAAAATGCACATACTTATCCACTCATACTCGTGAATATGATAATTAATTAAATGTAAAGTAATGAAGACACTGTGAAACTACCTACACTTAATATACCCAATCACCTAATTCCTAAAGTGCTGGTAAAGTAGTGTTACTTTACCAGCACTTTAGGAATTAGGTGATTAGGATTAGGAATTAGACTCTAACTATCATAAACTTATCCATGCCCAAAACTACATAAAATGCACATACTTATCCACTCATACTCGTGAATATGATAATTAATTAAATGTAAAGTAATGAAGACACTGTGAAACTACCTACACTTAATATACCCAATCACCTAATTCCTAAAGTGCTGGTAAAGTAGTGTTACTTTACCAGCACTTTAGGAATTAGGTGAGAAACTTGGGAGTTCAATATGAAAAGAAAAGTATCTCTAACAGGACACAGAGAATCCTAACAATATACAAATCCAAACACTAACACTACTTTACTCATCATCATCGACCTTTAGCAGTCCACTGTTGGACATAGGCCTCTCTTTAGAAACAAGGCCTACTTTCGTTGGTTTAGGGTTTGTCTCAAGTTTTCTCTATCTTTGCAGAGCTGTTGTCTTGAGTAGTTTGCTCCCTTAGTCGGTTCTTGCACATGCGACTGTCATGATACCAATTTCTTTAGGGACACTACTACTACTTTACTAGCGCTAGTTAAATCATAATTATTATTTTTATGCATTTCTAAAAATCGTAGAGGTGTGTAACTGTTGCTTGCACGTCTTTTTTATGTTTATCTCAAAACGATTTTGAGTTGTCAGAAATTGAAAGAAATAAAACAAAAACAGTGGCACTCCAGAAGTAAAAACTTTTTTTTTTGTATTATAACCGTTTTTTTTTCGATTCGAAAAGTTCCATTACGTGAATACAATCGTATATTTATGTTGTACGTATATGCACAATGTGTTTATATAATATATAGTTATATTTTCAATGTATTTCATCCCAAACTCAACTCTCGTGCAACAACATACTTATAAACAGAGGTGTCGGTAACGGTAACAGTGTCGCTAGTTCAATATTTTTTTCCCATCTAAAAAATTACTTCTTTTGTTTGTTGTTCAAAATTGCCTAACGCGCCTAAATAATTTTTCACTTCAAAAATATCCTTACCTGGCAAAAACATCGCTGAACATCCATTCTACAATCACCACATCAAAATGTTCCTTTGGATCACTCAAAAGCGCCTGCACTTCCTTATTTTCCAGAGTCTTCGCGACCAAAAAGAACATAAGACTGTTCACTACGTCCCTATTATCAGGAACATTAATTTTTTTTAATAATGTAGTAATACTAAGGGCGTTCTCTGAAAAAAATAACTGCTCGTAAAAGTCAGAACAAAAACATAATTACAGAAACAAAAACTGAACAATTATAACCATATAAGCATTATAGCTCTGTAACCGAGTCTACAAATAATTTCATATTTATTTATTGTGATTGAGGACGTTTCATCAAATCACCGCAATCGGATGTACCGAAATACAACCGATGAAACCATATAATGTTCCGTCGACAGTGACTCACAAGAGACTGGAATGTCCTAAGAAGAAAGAGGGAACAGATACGAAATTCTAGTCCTTAAACACTTGCACACATGTTACAACCAGTATTGAGATTTATATTTATATGTTTTATTACGCTGTAAAGTGATCTAAGTTGAGGACTAAATTTTTGTACTATCCCTAGAAAATGTTGAAGTTATAAGTTACTAAAGGTTAATACATTATTCTAGTTAGACTTTATACTCACCAGGCAAATAATTCTTATTTGCACTCACATCTATCTGTCGAAGGCTGCTAGGAGCGTTCTCAATTTTAAAACAATTTATGTACACCACCTGTATGAACAATTTTGAGACGTAAAGAAAGAGAAGTAAGTATTATCGGCTTATTATTTTTATTATGGAAGAGGGTGCAAACGAGCAGACGTATCACCTGATGTAAAGTGACTGCCGCTGGCCACAAACGCCTGCAACTCAGCAGTCACAAGCTTATATAGCTAAATTCTTATTATTTTTATTCAAAATTTCACTCTTAGAGAAATGTTACCTTCAAATTTTGATAGACCTAGGTACGTCAAATGAAAAACCGGCACCTACACAAATCGTGAAGTTATCGTAAGAAATCATTAGATTAAATAACTTTATCTTTTTGAAATGAGGTACTTATATCTTTTTGAATTTAGATTAATTTTTTTTTTTTAAATCTGTTAAAGTAATTAGCTTAAAGAATGTTTAAAATACTATATCTAGATTTTAGCGAAGCAAATTTGTAGTTAAAACAGTATACCTAATGTACACCGTTTTAACTAAGAGATTAGTACCGAATTCTACAAACCTCATTTCCATCCTTTAAAAGTTGTTTGACTAATGCATCACCCAAGTTTGCATGACTTTTGGCGGGCATTGGGTATACCACCAGCGCCTTATAAGCATGGCATGAATTTAACGTAAGAGTTAAACCCAACAAGAAGTATAGTAGTGCAGTCATCTTCTGAAAAGTTGCAATTTGAAAAGATTAAAATACCCATGATTAAAAATACATTAAAGGACCAATTAACATCGGTGGTTAGTATTAGGCGTCTCATTATCAAAATTTCGGTCACGTTTCAGTTCCGATCAACTTTCGATTTCGCAACTGTCGTAAAAGGTATTTTCTTAGTAAAGTATTGATTGACTGTAATGTGGTTATACCGTACCTATTGAAACAAAGTTACTTATCGGGAGCGAGGCCGAAAAATAAGTAACAAGAGTTTTTGCCGACACTTCTTGATGAACTTCGTTCCGACCGAAGGTACATAGACCCCTCAAACCGTTTTTGTGATCGATAATTAATTCGAACGAACGATACGAAAATATCTTTTGTGACAGTTGAGAGATCGAAAGTTGATCGGAACTGAATTGCGACCGAATTTCATTACGAGAATTGGCGTTCAGGTGCCCAGCACCGACGTGATAGGTGGCTTTAGTACTTAAAAGAAGTTCGTGCCAGACCCATGATTAAATATACTATACCACTCATCGGTGCTTCACTGGAATATGTATTTTGTTATCTATAGGCATTTTGTGGTTATGTAATATGTCCACTGTTCACATATAAATTTTATTAGTTTATCAGTTTCTATGATAAATTCTTTTATGTACATAAAATAATTGAAATGAACTAGTGTATGGAGGTAGTTGTCAGACTGAATTTAAACTTAAGAATATTCGATGATCCAACACTTCGACTTCATGTCTAGATGAGTGAACAAAACTTACATGTTTTCACGTTTACTTGTATGTAAAAAACCTGACACAGACAAGTCTCCAACAAAAAACTGTAACACAATTATAAATTATGAAATAAAAAGACATCTGCACTTCATGATGTTCGTATCAAAACACGTCTCGTTATAATGTTATGAATAAGTTCAATGCCTAATTTTATGCTACAGTTTGTCCCACAGATAGATTTATCAATAGATAAAATAAGTGAACTATATCTTTCTATGTGATTAGTCACCCAAAATACTATCTGTGAAAATTACTGTGTATGTGTGATAATAAATTAAATTTCAAGTATGTTTTCAAATTGTCACGTAACACTACGAATGTTCTGGTGAGCAACCTCGGCGATTATTTTGGACTATTATTAAGTATTGTTTAGACTTATTTGGGTGTAATTAGAATTTGATAGGTTTCATAATTACCTGTTTTGGGTGGCGTTCAATAAGTAGGGTTTTAAGTTACTGCATGACACACATTTAAAATGCCTGAGGTCTTCAGAAAACTTTAGATTGCAAATACCAGGGTATTCCGCCAATTTTTATTCTAAATGATTTTCAGTAAAATCTGCGTTTATGGAATTTATTGCTATTTTATATCAGACGAGTGCAATCTGTAATCATCTTCAAAATTATGATTCATGAGCATTAACTGTCACTTTAGTCTTATTCGTAAAGCCTGCTTCTGCCAGAGTGACAGACGGCCTCTCCTGTCATCCGCAGGCCAGCGCCTGAGTTGTCTGCGGTACCTTGCCTGTCCTAAGGCCTAGCGGGCCGAGAGAGTTCTAAACCTCTGCCGGTCCCTCTCCGCTATCTCCTTCGCAAGTATAACCTGCTCGCAGAAGGATCAGGTGGAGTTCCACGCACTCTCGCTCCGTACCATGGCGGAAATCATGTTACCGAGGGAGAGAATTCCCTATCCGACGACCGCCACGAGGCTACACCTTTGCTTGCACCCACGTCCATCATTCTGCCAGCGTGTGGAACGCCATGTCTACTGTACGGCCATCGCAGTGGTTGCACGCAGGCGTTGGCTCCTAGCGTATCAAATATAGGTGATCTCCGAAGCATCGTTTAACGGTGATCTACGGCCTCAACCGGTATAAGAGGGGTCCATGATGCCTCTCGAGCCAATACTCCATAACGGGTCTTACCGTCGCGATAACGGTGTTCCCGAATTAGTAGTAATATTGGGCGCCATACATTAACATGTAATATTATCACAGCGAACGTAATGACCTTATCTTTTTATCTAATAGTCTTCCAAATCGTGTAACAAATAACAAATCATACATAATCCAAACACGCCTGATAGTAGTGTTTTGCTTATCACAATTAGAGACAAGCTATCTTGTTTACAACTACTTTACTCTTAATATGTACATAATTTTTGTACGCTTTAAAAACTCAGAAAGTTCTCCACCGATTGAGCTCAAATTTAGACACGAAATACAACTTCAAAGATGGTTTTTATCTACTTTTGAAAAAACAATGTGTAACAGTAGAGCGTGAGCGTGAGCGTGAGAGCGTGGCCAAGCGAGCCGACGTGTTATCTGATGGCAAGTGACTGATGCTGACCATGGCACATGCGACTCCAGTAGCACAAGACACTGGTACGTTGTCTCTCTTTCAGCGCTCTCCATCCAGAGCTAGGGAAGGTGAAGAGTATAAATGGGACAAAATCACAGTGAACTGTGAATTACCGGTGATTTATCATTTATTATCATTCAAGTTCCTACTTACTCCTGCGTGGCTCCCAATAAGCTGTTTTCAGACGATGCACAAATACCCTATTTCACCTATTTAACAATCAATGTAGTAATTATTTTATTTTATATATAGCTAATATTTCCTACATAATAATTAAAAAATTACTAAATTTACTGTTAAATAGCATCTAACGTACCTACCTAGCAACCCTAACCTACGTTACCTACCGACGTTTTTGTTCCATCTCTAGTGAGGGGATTTGCTCTCTGTTAACCTCACCTACTAGAACTTAAAAGTAACCAAAGAACTATTTAACATCGATTTTCACACAGGTGTCACTCCGATCGAGATGATGTTTGCCTAAGCATGGCTATCTCATGGTGTGTGCTACTCTGTGAGATTCATAAAAAAATAAAAAACCTAACAATTACTCGTCAGAGGGTCGTTGATCATTGAAAAGGTGTAGGCGTTTGCATAGACTTATTAAATCCCACCTCTATGTTATCATCATCATCATCAACAACATTAAGTAGTCTACTGCTGGAAATAAGCCTCAACTTAGAAAGGAGGTCTGCGCCTGCTATGCTGCGCTGGCCAGACGGATTAGGATAGGGTCTATTTAAGTTTTCCTTTTTTTTTGCAGTTCTGTTCTTATGGGTAGTTTTTTTTTGTGTTGCTGTAATAAACTACTACGCCATCTGTGCAGTTTGCTCCCTTAGTCGGCTCTTACGACACCAACGGCATGAATAGGGGTGGTGACACTCTTTCTCTAAAAATAGGGAAATAAAGTCAGAGATAAGATAATAGTTCCCTGATGATATGTAAAATACAGAAGCGAAGATGATTACGCTACAAAATTAAAAAAGAGGTAAAATAAAATAAAATTGTTTTTTGTTTTTATTGAAATCATGTTGTAAAAAATAATGAATTTTGATGTGTCATTTTTTTGTGTTTCCATTGAGGCTGAGGCTGGGGCTGTTTCCAGAGTAACAGACTGAGAAAAAGCAAGAAGAAACACCGTCAGGCTTTTCCAAATAATAATAATACTTAGCGTTAACTGTAAAGGTTCTACAAAGATGATGAATATACTCGTAGGTATATAGATAAACTTATATAGATAAACTAGAGTAAACTAGAAATAATGAAATAATCAATTTATGTCGCAACAAAAATACACTTTCTTTTTTGGCACTCTAAGTCTGGAACGAGATCTTTAGACTTTCAGAGAAATATGGATTTAGATTTTTTCGTCATAGTCTTAAAATCGGATCTGACATTTATTGAACTTTACAGGGTAGTTATTTCAAATAATTATGTTATATTTTACATAACTTTTTTATTTCTAAATATGTAATTATGAAAATTGGCACAAAAGTGAAAATAGGGTTTGTTTGAAAGTGCAATAAAAATAACATCTAATAATTTTCTAGAAAAATCACATGCTTCATTTTACTTTGAGCGCCTATCAAACAAATACTGAATAATTTATAATCTAAAATACATAGAATTTTTTCTTGAATGTAGTAATAATATTTAGACAATGTAGTATCCAAATATGGTGAAAACTGAATTTCGTATTTTTTTTAAACCGACATTATTACTACGATCACGTCGTTTTTGCCTTTTACGTGATGAATATTCAACGCATTTTATCGTAATTGATATATAGCCTATATATTTCTAGTAACAACGTAATATAATATAAAAAATTAGAATTCTTAAAAAAGAAACGTTTCTCAATTTTAACATAACATATATATGCAACGAACGTGAACTTTTTAAACACTGTAATTTTAAGATATAAGGTTAATTCACTTAAAATCTCACTAAATAACATTTTTTTAACACTAACCGCCTTTTGAAATTTCTCATAATAAACTAACGCGACAAAAAACTAACAGAAACTTTATTACAATTAGTACAACTAACGCTTACGGTGAGAGAACAACTCAGTATATGATTCCTCGCCTAATTAATAGCCTCGACCCATCATTTGTGCAAAGCATTAACAAACGTAATATCAAATATAAATTTAAAGCTTATTTGTTGTTGATTTTGTTTACGTTGACGCGCGGCGCTCGGTATTGTATTCACGAATGGTGTAGGTAATATTCTAATGTTTTTACATACTTATGTACAACACATTTATGTATGGTGTATTTATGTATAATATTCATGTGTAGGTACTTATGTATAGCATCCCGGACAAAGCCATAGTGGTTTTTGGAATGCTTATTGTAAAAAAATGTATTATTTCGGAGAAAATAAATAAAAATCAAAATAAATAAATAAGATTTTCTTTTATGTCTTCGGTCGGCAATTTAAAAACTTCATGGTTTATACACATGTCCACTATAACCTCGTTGTTTCAGAATTTTGTCTTTCATATTAATTTCTGCCATTCAATCTCTGGATGACATCCCCGCTAGCCTCTTGTGAAACCAACAGAACGCCAACTGGTAGGTATATTAAAGGCGACTTTGTGCGATGTGATAAGATGATATGGTCCTAGAAAAGTTAATATTATATATTAGAGCCATGCTCTTGGTATCGGCTTTCGGCGTTAAGCAATTAATTCGTTGCTTTTCAAGGAGTAGGGTTGCCGCAGGCAGGATGCCGAATTTTCTGCAGCTTAGGAGTTTATTTTACAAGGTAAAAACACAACATTGTTTGGTGGTCTAAGTGCACGAGTTAATATAAAATAAACTGTCCTCATTAGGATTAGTGAGACCTGTTTGTTATCAATACTCAATACTATTACTAATTCATATATATCTACTATTAGTGTAGTAGTCCTATTAGTATTATCTCTTTAATTTATTTGTATAGGTATATATACGTACAATTCTTTAAAAAAAATACTACTTGACTTATACTGAATAAACGCCACACAATGACTGGCCTTTTGGTGTAGTGGTTAGTGATCCTGAATGCTAAGCCAGAGGACTCCCACTCGGGACAAATAATTATATGATGTATGTATGAATTTAGAAAATATATAAGTATGTTTATCAGCAGTCTGGTTACCATAGCACAGGCTACGCGTGGATTAGTATCATGAGGCCGTGTGTGAGATGTGTGAAATTATTATTATTAGGTATATTTTCCTGTGTCAGTAACCTCTCCCACCACATAATGAACGCACGCGCAGATACTAGACCCTATTGAGTATCCTTGAACTACTACAGCCTCAGTCCCGTTTCTTAGAAACAACACCGGTCAAACTCGTAGGTCAGACGTCCTGCAAACTTATTTGGTAACGTCTGTTACCTGTGCCTCCTCTCTGTGGAACGAAACGCGTGCCTTCGATGCATTCGAGTGTATTAAGTGATTTAAAAATGTTATGAAAATTTTCGACGCAACACTGCGTAAATATTCATAGAGCTAAAATTTGTTTGAAATGAACAAAAATTGCTTTCAGTTTCAGTAGTTCAACGTTTGAAAACGTTATAAGAAATTTTCCAAGTGTAAGTCTTTGAAATAAAAAATTAAGTAATCTTCAAGTAACATAAGACTAAAAAGATGATACTCTTTTGAAATTAAGTGCTAAAAAACCTCTACTTATTATTATAAAGTTAAATAACATAAAACGACAGGTTTTTTTTTTTAATTATTGGCATTTCAAAGGCTTATTTACTAAGACATTGTAATATAATTATAATACTAGCATATATACTGTAGTCTGGGGTGAATTTTTAAAATGTTTAATTTAAAAAAGCCAATTTAACACGTTAATGAAAATCTAATAAAAAAAATGAAAATAAATCACAATAAAATTAATACTACGTTTATGTTATTTAATCGAATCAAATAAAATCAGAAAAAAGAAACTTATTATCATTCTTATCCATGTAAGCAAGGATCCAAGGATCAAGCAATCCAATTGTTCTATGGATACATTTCTAATTCCTTTTTCTTTCCTACACAGGTACTGTTTATAATAACTTGAGATAGTTACGATCAATAGTATCCTCATTTATCTAATAAGCAAACATACTCACGAGTAACATAGCACACACTATAGTAGTCAGTCATCAATTCAGATTTGGATGATACGGTTCATTCGACTGAACTCAGGTTTATTCTTTATTTCACAGAATAACATATATTTTTTTCAATATAGTGTGCTGTGTGTGCAATTGTTTGTGTGTTTAGTTATGTTCCTTGCTACCCTGTTAATAAATTGTATTGAGTTTTAAAAACTATGTAAGTAAAATGAAGGAATTTTGTGATGTAACTAAATAAATATTTAATAACTGAGGCAAGACTATACTTATATACAATTATGTACTTAATTGTCTTTCGATACGTATCAAAATTGAATAAGTCTTAAATGCTTTTGTAAATAACTTCCAAAAAGAGGTTCTTAAATCGATTCTGTTTCTTTCATCAGAACTTCGTCATTTAGAAACTGATCTCAAAAATATTTTTTATTTGGGACTTTCTGTATCTCACGAGTCGATCCGTACCATTTTAACTAATCAACATTTCTATATTTTTCACCCCTAAGGGTGAAAAATATAGAAATGTTGATTCCTTGATTGTTCACCCCTAAGAATAGGTACAGTGTATTACAATTCATCACGATCTAGACTTACTGAAGTCGGTTCAACTTTTTTAAAAGAAAATTATAAAATAACTATTGACGAGAAATGAGGAAAAAAATTGAGGCAAGATATCGATTAAAATAGGGATGTAATAAAATCACAATGGCATGTGGTAAATCATATGACTCAAGTCACATCTGTGACTGATTCACAAAACCACTGCAACTTAATTATTATTGTTACGCTAGCGCAAGACTCGCAAAAGGTCTTTGATGAAAAGAATTTTTATTGATTTAAATGCCATTATTGCCATTTATCTTTGTCTATGACGAAATCACAATCTTATGTAAATGGCTGTATCTAAAACCAATGATTTCATCAAATGAATATGATTCCAAAGTAGCAATAATTGCCACGTCTCGATTAAAACAATTTTTGAAGCGGGTTGTATAGTTATCATGTCAAAACTTGAGCTCAATCGGTGCAGAACTTTTTGAGTTCTTGAAGCGTACACAAACCAACTTAACATTTTATAAATACAGATTTAAATTAAATGTTATCAAAGTTTTTATTTTAACAGAAAATGTGGACGACAAATCTGTGTTTAGTATGCCTCGTCACAATAATATCATGCTGCGAAGCTTACAAGATTTTGGTGGTGTTTCCTATGCCCTCCCCGAGCCATAGAAATCTTGGAGATGGTATTGTCAGGCATTTACTAAGTGCTGGACACGAGGTAAGTTCAGTATTTATGTTGAATTTACATTTGGAAGTCTAAATTTTAATCAGACCAAAATTGACATCTCTTCAAAGATGGTGATAATTTATTTTTCTCTTTTATTTTTTGAATATACTTAAACTCGTAAATTTTTACTTAAAAGGTAGTTTTTTAAGTCACAATTTACGAGTTTTAGAAGTTTAGGATATTTTTATCTTTTGTCTTGTCGAAACCATAAGTAAATTCTAATTTTTATAATTAGGCTTCTACTTCAAAAAGGTGGCAATCCTTTTTGAAGTAGATGTTCTCGTAGTATGCTCTATCAAATAATGAGTTAACTTATCGAGTGAATTAATGTAACTTGACGAATATTAAATAATTACCTAACCTTTTCTTATGACAACAATAATATTTTAACATATTATGATAAAATAAAACATGCATGCATGCTCACTCTTAGGTAAACGTTTGCGTTTCATGACGTAAAGTCCCATAAAAAAATAAAAAAAAAATTTAAATAAATATATTTTCATAAAAAAATAAAAAATAAAAAAAATATTTAAATAAATATATTTTCAAATTATAAGGAAATGATTTGTTTATTTAATTTTTTTTAATTTAAATTTTTTTTATTTCATAATCTTTTTTAATTATTTTTTTTTAATTTTATTTTTTTATAATTTAATTTAATTAATTTATTTCTTTTAATAATTTACGAGTACTATAATAAAAATAAATAAATAATTTCCTCAAAAAACGTAATATAATTTTAACTACCGATATTTATACCGATGCCAATGGCTACTCGATGGCATCTCAATAGCGTGTCAGTGGTATGACACTGGCTTGGCGTGAACATTAAATAGCAGAATTGAGGCCCAGGTCGAAACATCAGGCAATTCCAAGGTACAGAGGTATGTAATACCTATTACGTGATCGCTTCTATTCCCAAGTATAAACATTTTACAAAATATCCATGGTTCTTTAATTAGTACAAATAAATCACAGAAAAAATATGATGACGACCTCTAGAGTACAATTGAGATAATGAGTAGAGATAACGAGTTAGTTTATCTCATTAAATTTAGGTTCAGAAGACTAAAAACTATCAAATTATTTCGTGATTCAATTTTTTCACCGAGATAGACCGAGTTTTGCATAGAATATAAACTTATGTCTCAGACTCAGATACAGAGTATTTGTCTCAGAAAAAATTACTGACAACATAGAAATCACCGATTACGAAGTTGCAGGCAAAACTACTGTATTAATAGTTTAAAAAGGACTAGCCTGGTCCTTAATTTTTAAATAATTTAATTTCTATATTTTAATTTTAATTTAATACACGTAAAAGGAGTATACAAAACATTACGCTGTTAGCATCAATAAGAAAAAATCACGGATCCCAAATGTCATGGTTATCACTAGACATGTTGCTGTTCGTAGTTGTAGTCGAACAAGGTCATTTCTATTATGTAATACTAAATTATGGCTGCCATGGTCATTGCTAAATTACTCGGCCGTTTCAGCATTTCTCGTCAACTTGCAGACTTTAATTTCATCAAATTAGCAACATAATAACGGAAACACGAATGGCGCAGTGGTTTAAGCGGTCACCACGCCGCTTCCTACTGCGCCGAGTGTTGTGGGTTCAAACCCCACATGGGACGACACTTTGTGTGATCCACAAATTGTTGTTCTGAGTCTGGGTGTTCTTTGTGTCCGTTTCATGTATGTTTGTAAAGTCCCCCGCGACACAGGATATGTTCCTAATGCGGGAGTTGTCTTTTTTAAAAAGAAAAGAAAAAAGAAAAGAAATATCATGAAACTTAAAATAAATCTGCTTAAAATGGGAGGGACATGTCATCCGTTCCTCCACGTATATAATTAAAAGGAGAGCCTTATCCATACTACAAGTTTAATCTTAGCTAAGATGTCAGAAATGTAACCTAACATATTTAACATTTTCTGTGTAATCTGTACTGCATTTTATTTCTACATGTATTGTAATGCAAAATAGCAAATATGGAGTAAAATTAGGAATGATTAGGCGACCCTGACTTCTTCGAGCAACCGAGTCAGTTCTAATTACCATCATATACAATGTGTATATGATGGTAATTAGAACTGACTCGTGTTGAATAGTGAAATAGTGTGTTGCGATCATCATTCTCAGTTTTCAGACAATCATTGCAGTTTTCTGCCGGAAAATTAAACGTTTTATGCAATCCGCTGTCAAAGTTGAAGGTCATTCCCGTAGGTATTGCCCCAAAGTAATAACTACATTTGATTTTTGACTTGGAATGATGGTCTGAACACACTATTTTAGTATTCATTACGACGTCCCTTACACCCTGTATACATTAGTAGCTGACCGGCACAATTTCGAATAAATGTTCCCCGTTTTTCCAACATTTTCACTGTCGCTCGGCTTCTATCGGTCTAGTTTTTTGTTTTTGTTTTCAGAGATTACAGTATCGTTATCCTAACTCTCTCACCCTTCACATTTACCTTAACTGCACTTACCTTCTTCCTTAGTCTCATCTAAAGACGAACTAAAATAGAGACACCTAAAAACGACGACATTCCCGAGAAGGGTTCATGCCAAGCATGCGGCGGCCATAAAAGAGATTATCAAACACTTTTTGCTGTGTTACATATTGACGCCCTATAATAAAACTGAAAAAAAAACACGAAAAGTATGATAATGAGGCTTCATAATTATAATAATGGCTAAACTGTTTAGACTTGGTGCTTATTTCTATAGGTTGCAGCTTAAGTACTGCTAACTAGGAACCTTCGCAATACTAAGAGAATATTTCAAATAGACTTTATTTATTTGGTACTAGCTGTGCCCCGCAATGTTAACCATGGTTTATCAGATACACTAAAACTCATCATCCTACAAATACAGTGTTTTTATAGATATTAAGCCTATCTGTTAATCTAAATTATAACAAAAATGGTAGAGCCGTTTGAGCAAGAAGAAGTTATAAACATGTTCACACTCACAAAATTTCGCGCCTTACATACATGAAGGCAAACAGCGTACATACATTGCATTCTTATTTATATTGAAATAGTAGAAAAAACTTGGTATGCATTATAGGTGTTACAGCTACACACAACGTTTACCATAGTAAATACCACCTGATGTTACAACATTACAATAAAACAAAAAGCTAAATGAAACTTAAAACTACATAAATCTTGTTTACACATAAAACTTCAGCTTAAAGTTTTTATGAACAAAATCAAACACGACCAATAGGAATAAAACAAAATAAAACGTTGACATTAGTTTGTTTGTTTTCGCTATACGAGTAGCACTTCTAAAGAACAATGGCAGAAACATATTTACCTAAAACTTAAGCGTTTAAAAAATCGAGTCACAGTAAACTTAATCAAATTTTTTTCTATGATTTATCATTACACCACTTTGTGTTGTATAAGTCTTATAAGAGATAAGATATTTTTGAAGATTTTATTTGACTTAAGTACGTAATGTCAGATTCGCCATCACGTATAACTGAGGGATGGACTATAGGGATGCGTGGTGGCAATATTATATTATGGAACAATTTATCGATAATCGATTCTTATAGCTTTGGCTGAAATATTTACCGAAGGTTCACTATTATGATTATGAATTTGCTTCTGCCCACGTCTTCACTCGTACGGTAGAGTGACTGAATCAACATAATTAGATATGATTTAAAATATTTTTGACTCTCTCAAACGATTTTAAACACACTAAAGAAATAGAATATAGTTACGTTATCTTCCACTACACAGTGTGATGAGAAAAATACATTGTCATTGATAACGGCACATAAATAGACATACATCGATATTTTCAAAATGTCGATACGTCGTCGTTTAGTACATATCTCTTAATCTGTGGTTTAGATCCTGTCAAGTTCCGGACTCACCACGTTTGTTATTTTATTTTTGTTTAATTTAGTGTTAAACTCGAATAGATCTGATAGATCTGACACACAACGCCATCTAGTTTCAACAAAACATTAACAATATGTTAGTACTTAACCTCGAAACATTCAAAATCCAATATCTTTTTTCCTAGACTTCTTTCGCAAGTAATTTTGATATGAGAATGGTCAAGAATAAATTCTCAAGTGTTAAGGATTTTTTGATATTTAAACGCTAACATTTCAGTTCAAATAAAATTATGTATGGGGACCTGCCATTGTCCTTTATCAAGAGAGACAGGGATGTCTGTATTTTCTCAGTGAACATATGGAATTGTATTCTCTACATATTCTTGTCAGACGACCTAATACATCGACGATTATTGTGATACATAGTTAAAATGAACATTGTTTTTAGGTGACGTACATTTCACCGTTTTCTTATAAACCAGCCTCACCCAATCTTCGTGTCGTTGACGTCAGTAGCAACGCCAAAGCTTTTCCAAGTAAGTTATACTACCTTCAAGCATTTCTCTTATATCTAATCATGTCATTTTAATTTATTGTTTTTTTTTAAACTGTATGATATAAGGATAGCGCCTTTTGACTGTAAAGGAGAACGGCAGATTCTGTACCCCTGGTAATATATGGTGGATAGTTATGAAATTTGTATCGTTTAAAAAGTCCTATCCCACCTATTTTCATGTAATTATCATATTTTTAGAACTTTGCTAAAAGTAAATAAATGTATCTCAAAGAATTGTTACAACTGCAATAAGTAAACGTTCAAGAGTCGTTAACAAAACGCACCCCTATGTTTTTTTTAATCTTGCCATCCATAATATTTAAATTATAAATTACAAAACGATATGTTTACATCGATATTCGAATGAACTCACTAGTGTATTTAGCAGTTAAAAACAAACATTTCTTGATAAACAATGATGACAGTCGAAGTAATAAGAGAATTATTATTTTAAATCAATTAGTTTAGAGCAAGGCATTAATAACTTGTATTCAAATCGATTAGGTTAATCGTGAATATTATGAAAAAAAGGAATTAAACTGATCTGACAGGGTAACATTTTATTGACGGACCCAGAAAATCGTAGACGAATGATTTTGAAAGATATCTAGGTTACTTGTCGACAGCAATGATAACTCATTTGTGACAGCCGGCTGTCATTGGTATCGACTTCAGTACAGCGTTTATGCAAACTACAAACTAAAATAACTTTGGAAGGCAAACTTCTTGCTAATAAGTTTGCCTTCCAAAGTTTACCAGCCAAATAAATACAACAATAATCCCTACCATGTCATACGCAAGGCGGTACAAAAGTATCATACATGCCATTGTCCTTTAAGATTATCATTCGCATAACAAGTTAAGATGATAGGCATAAATTTTTAAACAAAATTTTAAAGATTATTTTGAAGAAGTATTTTAGTAGTTTATGATAAGAATTTTATTAGAACATTAAAATATGATTGTTTGATGACACACCAAAGTGAGAGTATAATTTTTTATTGTACAATGTTAGTTAACTAAATAAGATATATCACTAAGTGTATCTCGCTAAGTGTAAAAATATTTTTATTTTTGTGGTAAAGGGCAACCGAACAGACGAGTCGCCTGATGGTGAGTGACTACCGCCGCCCATGGACACTTGCAACTCGAGTGCGATGCCACTTTTTAAACTTATACCATTTTTTTACACTTCTTTTGATGTACAATAAAGTATCTACTACTACCTGCGGCGACGCTCGCATCTGGCTATGGAAGAATAACCTATAAACAGTGTACACTAGGGTGTCCCGTCAATGTATGGGATTTTTTTTTTAAGCGACGGCTACGCAAGAGGTATCAAAAGTTGCGTTTTTGTGAATAGATTACAAATATAACAAAATTTAATTAAATATTTGTCACCTTTAGGCCTCTACCGATCCTAGAAGTTTTTCAAATTTGCCATTTTTAGAGGTTTCGAACATAAACTATAAATGATACAAAAATAATGTTTTAAAGGTTTTAATCAAATTTATAGGTACTACAAAGACATAAGGTAATGTTCAGTAAAGTTTAAATACTTATAATTAGTGCTTATTTCAAATACGAAATTGGTTCGTGTGAGATTTTAATCTGTTTCTGATTAAACCATCCCGAGCTGTAGCGTCCGTGACACTTAGAGAAGCCTCCGTCACTAGCTTTACACATCATTCCACTGATTGTGTATGACAGGGGAAATCAATAACATCGAAGCTTTGTTCTTTAGCCTTAATTCTCAGTTCGTCGTCGGACATCTGTCGCAAAATCGGTGGAGCGGATATCTCACACTCTTGCGAAAATATCAAATCGATGTAATATCGCGCATCGAAGTAAAGTTTTTTTACTTTAAATACCCTGCGAGTATTGCTTATTTCTGCTTCTCTTGCCTTTAATATTTTGCGAGCTGCAAGCTCTCGAATATGCTCTCTGTCGTCGAATAGCATGGTAACAAGTAAGTTTTCAGGGTGAGCAAAAAAAGCGTTTCTCTCGATCACTGAATTCACAATAGATCTTTGCTTATCAGGCAAAAATCGGGAGTATGTAACCATTTGAAAAATATGATTGGCTCCATCTTTGAATGATGAGTTTTTCTTAATGAGGAACCAAACTGGAGCAAAAACTTTGACCACATAATTGACAAGCAGCTTTAAATTATTTGATGGCGAAACAGTACTTACATAAAGTCTGAGTATGCGATTGGCAGTAGTTAGCCATCTTGAATCCGCCATTTTTCCAGGTTGGCGGGTCGCTAACTCAGGGGAACAAGAACCAGTCGTCACAGCATGACACATTTCATACAGATACTTTTGATCCGTACTTAGTTCCTTCACAATGTCATCAGGTAATTCGAGCAAATTGCCAGCCACTGCACAAAAAGACACTAGTGGTTTACTTTCACAAACATTTAGCTGTTTTCCAATAGGTCCTGAGTATTCTTTCGGCCCAGATGTGCTACCATCTAGAGACATAAACAAATGGCGAAGCGGTAATTCATTTGTGTGATGCATACAAACACACCATTGTAACGGTCTCTTCAAATAGTCTTCCAGGTATTTATAGACACCTCCTTTCCAACCTGTATTTGTAGGAGTGCCATCGCAACCCACACAACTTACTTCTTCTAAGTTCCATCCTTGATTTTCTAACAATTCTTTAATAGAAGTGACAATCCCTTTCGCAGTACCTCGACTCGGCGTCGTATGTCCCAAGTAAATAGATCCCGGCTCTGTAAGAACTGATATGTGTTCTTCTAAGACTTCTTTTCGGTGGTACCGGCTGTCTATTTTATTGATCTTGAGAGTTTTATCTTTTCGCCCATCGAAGTAGATACTTTTTATAATAATTTTATCGATGTCTTTGCTGGCTTGGGTACGTGACTTTGAAACAGCTCTGTGAATCTTATTTTTATCAATCACAAGGTTTAGATCTTCAGAAGATACCATTCCTACGTCAACTAAGACTGCTGAAGCGACTGCAGCTGCCGAACGCGTTGATAGTCCGTATCGATCACATACCTTAGCTACTGTTGGCAGCGTCAGAGTGTTCCGACTAAATGAATTAGATGGAGACTCCTTTAAGTCACTTTTAGTAGAAGGTTCTATTGAAAGCGACTGTGAACGAGGCGGCAACACGCGTACCGGTACAGTATCGGTTTGTGAAGTACTCGGAAAACATGCTTGCTCTGTCCGCTTCAAATTTTCTTGTCTTTGATGTTTCTTTAAAAGCCTTGCAGTTTCTTTTACGTCTACGCCGCTTATTGCCATTTTCCTATCATTTCTTTGGTCCAGTAAAAAATCTCTTTCAGAAATGGGAACTTTCTTGGGTTTAGTGCAGGAACAATTTTCAAACGAAGTGCACTTACAAGCAGCGATGTCAAAAAGCTTATTTGACGATTCCAAAAAGCACTTAACTTTGTTGTCATAGCTATCGTTTCTCATACTTTTAGGATATCTTATTAGTGATAAATATTGTTAAAATATGCGGTTAGCAGTTGAGTAACCCGTACGTTAGAAACGATGGGAATTGAAGCTTTGGTCCAAATTGTGTTAAGTTTTCCAGAAACTATTGAAAAGACTTCTGTGTTCGATGGATCTTTTACGCTTTTCTGTAGTTTTAATTCACTTTTAGTAAATAAAATACACTTAATAACGTCTTTTATAACAGGTAATTGGCGATCGTCAAGTTCTTTATAAGGTCCCAATATAGTACAAGTAGTCTCACTTCGCCTTGAACACATTTTTATGATTAAGTAACGCAAATTACGTTTTTCTTTCAAAGAAGAATAGAACAACTCCTTACAAGAGTAAAATCGAAATAGAAATGAGACGAACTGTCTTGTTGTAGAAGTAGCGCACGTACGAAAATCATGAATTTTGTAGGAATTTTGCAAGTCCGATCCAAACCGATTGATCCCTAAAACAACCTGTCGATACTTGCAAATCATAGCCGAGGCTTTTCTTATTGATAAAATTACAAGACAAAACAGGATTGATTCATAAAACATAGAATATACGACATTGACTACAAGGTTGTTTTTGCGAACTTTCAGTAAATAAAAATGCTGGTAGAGCCCTAAGGATATTATTAAATATTTTTTGAATTATTTATACGCTAATCTACGTCTAACAGCGCAACTTTTGAGAGGTCTTAAGTAGCTAAAATAAGAATAATATTTTTTCGGGACACCCTAGTGTACACCAAAACGAAACTCATTCTTAAATCTACTGTAATACAATTGCGTAACCCAAAAAAATGTCTATTTCCAGCCGACATGTTGAATTTCGAAGTTATACTAAAAAAAGGAATCAGTTTCGGTAACATGTACGATTTCATGCCGGTGGTTATCAATTTAGTGAACATGACGATCAACAATGAAGATGTTCACAACTTGTTCACCGACCAAAAGGAACAATTCGATTTGATTATCGTTGAATGGTTCTTTACGGATGTGCTTTCTGGGTAATATATCAAATATTTTAATTTAGATATGACATGGTAAGTATACGATATAGATACTCAAAGTATTCAACTGCAACGTCAAAGATTGCGGGTTAAAGTAACTATCTACCCCTATCTATAACTATCTAACCCTCTTAAAGTAACTATCTATATGCTAATATTTTTTGTATTTGTCTTGGCGTTTTATGTTCAGTATGTACATATGTAGTTCCCAAAAACATACCTTATGTGTGTCGCTCACTGAGGGGTTGTCACTAACTCGTATGAATATTTTGTCCATCTCAGAAGTCGATTCCTGAAGACCTTGGCCCTTCCATACATAATATAACTTGGTAATTTCTAAAATCATTTTAGACTATAGAACAATAAATTAACAACTTTCGCTTTTTCCTTTACTTGTGCTGTGAGACCCTACCTTTCTTAAAATTTTATCATTCTAGATCTAGGATTTACCTAAGAAATGTTAAAATATAAGGCTTTTATGCCCGTATAGCGTACTCTTAAGAAGTTGATTTTTTACTGTTTCAACGAACTGAAAATATTAGTGTTTGCTATTAATTTTAATCTGACACCTCTTTGCATTCAGAACAGACAGACCAACAAAGAAGTGATCCTAAGGGTCCTGATAATAAGGATCCTATTTCTTCCTTTTGAGGAATAAAACCCAATAATATCTAAGCTTGTGTTCCATGTTCTAAAATCAAAAGTACAAGCTACGCTTTATTTGTAAAATGAAGGACGATGGAGCATCTTCGTGTGCATTAAGTATTATATAAATACCACGATTCCCAATACTTTCCTGCAGGCCCTAGGAATACCTATCACCTTAGAAAAACAAAATGTATTCTGTGCTTTGCATGGCTACATAAACAGGACGAAGTGTGCAAATAACAGGGAAAATAACACCAATATACCGTTACCGAACGAACGTTGAACGTTGGAACGTGTCACGATCATTTGAACGGGTGACGGTGGGAAATATTGCATGACGATCTCTGGATATATTAGTTTTTGGTAAATTGTTTAAGCACGTCAATTTCTAAAACTATCTGACACATTTAAAAAAAATCATTCAAATTTTTGTATCGGATGGAGCATAAATTGAAAAAAGTTTTAGATCATTTAAAATCGGATTGTGAAACTGCGTCGTACTCTAAGTACAAGATTAACTCTCTATTAATTTAATAAGAATAATTAACCTAATTATTTATGTACACAGTTGACACAAATTTTCTTCTTTCAGTTTCGCAGCTGTGTTTAACTGTCCATATATTTGGGTTTCAAGTGTGGATATACACTGGCAGATTTTGAGGCTAATCGATCAACCTTCAAATCCTGCGTATAGTGCTGATATACAGTCCTCTAATTTGCCGCCACTAACATTCATTGAACGGATAACAGAACTTTACACACAACTTAAAGGACAGTATTTAAGATACATGTAAGTAGTTTAACATACACTCACCTGCCTATATCACGGAAGGGGTAAGCAGCCGTCAACCGGGTACTATAGGAATTAGATGAGGAAATTCTGAGTTCAATATGAAAGGGAAAGTTCGGGTACTAATAGCCGGGGAACCAGGTATACCCTAGAAAGGAAGTCCCTGGTGCCCCGACATACCTCGGGTCATCTACAGACGAGTAGACGACCCCCCACGTGTGGGAACCCCATGTTTCTTGTGCTCCCTGTCCTCCTTCGCAACGCGCTCGCCGCCACCCCGGCCTGCTTCTGCTAGGGTGACAGTTGGCCTCACCTGTCACCCCCAGGCCTGCGCTTATGGAAGACGGAGGTCGTTCTGCGACCTCCGGCGCCTGAGTCGCCTGCGGTACCTGGCCCGTTTCCGGGCCTGGCGGGCCGGGAGAGTCCTAAACCTCTCCCGGTCCCGATGACCGCCACGAGGTCTCGCCTCTGCTCAACCCACGCCGGGCACTCTGCCAGCGTGTGGAGAGCCGTGTCCACGGTCTGGCCATCGCAGTGGTGGCACTCAGGCATTTTTTTCTTTTTTTTTTCGTACCCTACTACCGTGATGAAAATTAGGTGACGTAAATTAGGGAAATAAAGAATCTGAATTTTAATAAAAATACTATAACCCCTACAAATTGTTGATTTATACTTAAATGTTAGAACTGGTCTATTACGGGAAATGTGATATTTGTCACTAATTTAAGGCATTAGTGAAAAAGCTAAACAGACACACGCAACTGAGAGTATGGGTGAGCCATGAATTAAAATTAGGTACTTACTGGTACTGTCACCCTAGCAGAAACAAGCCGGTGTGGTTATGAACTAATCTTGTTTTCTTTTTTTGAGTCATAATGTTGTCAAAAAATAATGGCGCAAGAATGGCTGTTCAACATTCTTGATAACTACTCCAGCTAAGCTAAATTCTTGTGTTACGAAAGGGTTTAGGATGGTAGTGTACTTACTGGGTGTACTCTTGATCACAAAACTGACGACTTTACCATCATCATAAGCCACTAAAGCCATACATACAAATATTCACACCTCGATAGGCAGAGGCGATAAAACGCCATATGCCATGATCCTGACATACTGCTCGCGCCTTTTCCACATTCATCAGGCCTTTCATAAACGCTGGCCGGATATGGTTTCATTTAAAGTGGCCCTTCAGTACACTTCCGATCTGGTCAGTGCCGTTTCGTCGCCTGCCCACACTGAGTCGCACTAAGATCACATAGCTAAACATACAATTATTCTAATATATTTAATTTCTTAATTAAAACAGGTACATCAATGATATGGAGAAACATTTATACGATAACGAATTGGCACCAATAATCACGAAGCGAGGGAGACAGCCGCCTTCTTACCTTGATGTCGCGAACAATGGATCCCTTGTATTAGCCAATTCACACATTTCTCTGGGTCAAGCACTCAGCCTCCCACAAAATTATAAAGCCGTTGGAGGATACCATATTGAAGAAAATGTCAAGCCTTTACCTGAGGTATTTATAATTTGACTGAGGTATTTTAAATACTACACGTAATAAAAAGTTATTGAGTGACAGTCATTTTGTGCAAATTAGACAAGCATTGGACCATGCCTTATTTATTGATTATTACTTTTTTTTATACTGTCGTAATTTAATACGTTTGTACAAGTATACCAAACTTTTATAAGGCTCACAAATAAAAAACCTATTAGGGTAAAATAACTTATAATATATATATATATATATATATACATGAATGCAAACCTTCTTAATAAGCTCGTCCGTCTTCTCAACAACTGCATTCGAAACATTTTGAATCTTCGGAAGTATGTCAGCTTCGCGTTCCCTCTTGCACTTACCTCTCTATTTTCACTCACCCACCTCACCTACTTACCTTGCTCCCTACTTCCATTACCTGTCCTCTAATCATGACAGAAATCTTTGCTCAGATAATACCCTACTTCTCTAATGTCCCTCCCACAACTCCGACTTCGTAAACTTAGACTAACTTCGTGAATTACGACTCCGTTCTCTTCCTTTTTTGTTCAGCGCATTTCAGAGTGGTACTGCTCTGAAATGCGCTCCCGCTCGAAATCAGGATCTAAACAAACCGTTTTGTATTCTAAACCATCCAGTCCATATTACACCATATATTCCAGTATACATAGATTTATAAATATATTTATATATGTGTATTTATGGTGTGATGTGTTGTATGTGTGTATATGTATAAGTTTGTGTATATAGTGAACCGTGTATATTTTCATTGATTACATGTCATAATATGTAACCACTGTGCACCTACCTTATAAGATTTCTGCATCACCCAAAGGTGGAGTGAAACAGAATGCGTTGGGCATTAAATCCGTCGATGTACAAAAGTGCATAAAGTTTGAAATAAATATATATATATACTTTAAATATTTATATCTCAAATACTTAGAAATATAAAACATACCTAAGTATTTTAAACCTAATTATTTTTAAGTATTAGGCAAGTAAGAGCACCAACTGGTGCTTGCTTACATAATATGTACAAGTTCAAAAGTTAAGCTTCGGTTTAAAAAAGTTGTTAAAATTATGGTCTAATTTTGCAGCAAAGTCTTTTTTTTCCTTTTTTAAGGTATAAAAGGGCAAACGAGCAGACGGGTCACCTGACGGCAAGCAACTACCGCCGCCCATGGACACCCGCAACTCAAAAGTCACAAGTGCATTGCTGCCCTTGGAGTCCCTCCCGCTCGAGTCAGCGGGAGGGGGGATTTGGGCTCCGGTAACCTCACTCACTCAGTGAAAGACGAAAGAATTGCTTAACACCGGTTTTCTATGAGGCCGTGGTATCACTCCGGTCGAGGCGGCCCATTCGCGCCGAAGCATGACTCTCCCACGGTAATTCATGTAATTTTGTACTGCTGGTTTTTGTTATATGCATATATTCACGTCTAAAAACCACAATCAATTTGTAGTTTTTTCTCAAAAAACGAATGAGTATTACAGTAGTCTCGTATGTTGTGTAATATCTGACATCTCCCTGCAGTAATAAGCATGTTGGTACCAGCTGACGGCCATCTTTAGCATATAAACACCCAAAGGGTATAAAGGATATTCAAAGAACGGCAACGCACTTGTAACTCTTAGGTTGCATTGTCTATGGACGGCGGTAGTCACTTACCATCAGTTGACTTGCCTGCTTGTTTAGCCCTATGGCATAAAAAAAGTAAAAGATGCTGCTTAGCACTAAAAATTCTTCAGTTCTTTTTTTTCTTCTTAATCTTAAAAATTATAAATAGACACTACAAACAGACAGACAGTATTTCTTTTGCACAAGTAAGTGTCTACGTTATGTAGCATAGCATGTAATGAGTTGATCATATTTATTAACACCATTATAGATAGTTCAACTCAGTTGTGCGCGCGGCCCTATGTGTGCGTGGGCTTGTAAATATACAACTTTTATTCGTGTGGCAGTGACGCGGTGCTCGGACGACGACTGCCACACGAATGAAAGTTGTATATTTACAAGCCCACGCACACATAGGGCCGCGCGCACAACTGAGTTGAACTATCTATACATATTACGACTATTTCCAGGACCTGAAACAAATAATGGATAACGCTAAACATGGAGTAATATACTTCAGCATGGGGTCGAATCTAAAGAGCAAGGATATACCAAAAGTTATTAAGGAAAATCTTTTAAAAGTATTTAGTGAATTAAAGCAGACTGTTCTATGGAAATTCGAAGAAAACCTTCCTAATACCCCTAAAAATGTTCATATCTTGAATTGGGCTCCACAACAGAGCATCCTTGGTAAGTATAATTACAAACATCACACATCAACAGCATTTAACAGTCCACTGGACATAGGCCTCTCCTTAGGTGGAGGTGTGTGTGTGTGTGTTGGTCTTTGACTTTAGAGCTTACACAAGAGACGATATCAAATAACTTTATTTTTTTTATGAAATAAAGATATTTTGAATTTGAGCTTAAGAGTGCTTCTACGCGATGCAAGTAGCATGCGCATGTTGAGGCATCTGCGCAGGTTATTTGCTTGAAAAGATGACAATATTACGACAAGTTACAATAGAGGCACCGTAAAACTGTTTTCTAATACTTTTGAAGACTTAATGTCATATTACTATTCATTTTGGCTTGTTTGAATTGTATTTTTAATTGCACTTCATTTAAATTTCTTTTCAAATTTCAAACACATAACATTTCGATTGGTTTACTTACTTACTCTTAATCCGAAAGACCTGATATTTTGGCAGGGAGGCAGTTTATAAATAGAACACATTTGGCCAATTATTTGATTTGAAAAATGAATTAATATATAGCTTTACATAAGAACCTTAATTTCGGAAATGACTGCCTCATTCCGGGCCCGACAAGGGCCAATAATTAAATCATTCAATCCGGGCATTCTCAAAAAACAAACAAGCGTAAAAACTTTAACAAACTTTTGCATGTTTTATATTGTTTCTTAAATTTCCAGCTCATCCTAATACTGTCGTCTTTATAACTCACGGCGGATTATTATCAACAACCGAGACTATTCATTTTGGAAAACCCATTATTGGTATACCCGTGTTTGGAGATCAACACCTCAATGTTGCCAGGGCTGTAAAGCGAGGTTTTGCATACAAAGTGGACCTTTCCTATGACTTGGCAGATGAATTGAAGATAGCTATTGAAGAAGTGACAACCAATCATAAGTTTGTATTACTTTGATAAGTAAAATAGGAATAGAAATGGAATTGAATGAAAATGCAATGGGATGAATATAGAATGGAATGGAAATGCAATAAATATTTATTTTGACGTAAAACAAATTAAAAATTCTTTGTGGTTGTTAATTTGATTGTATTTGTAGATATTTAGTATTAGCATTTGCTGCTGAATTACCGTACAGAATGCTTGACAAGAAACTCTCCGTGCGAGGGAAAAGAGGTACTGCTTTTAGGGACCGTACTACTATTACATAAAGCTCTATTAATCTTTATCTTATTTCACAATGCTTGTTACTTTTTTTAAAGACAACACATTAGGCATTAGAACTCAGAGCCCACCACTACTCAGAGCTGCGACACAGAAAACTCACGAAAATATTCCCAATGAACTGCACAGGTTTCCCTGTCGCTAGATTTACTGCAGTCTGACCACTTCTCTAACTAAGAGCAAATAGAAGCAGCAGTTCTTCTCTGGTCACCTGACTTTCGAGTCAGAGAGTACACAAGTAATTCTGATTTCTTTCAGAATATGCGCAATTGCAATGCCCTTTGTGCACAATTTTAGAATTTTAGTTATATTCCATGTGTATTGAGTTTTACAAAAACTTCCTATGAAACTAAGACTAATATTTTTGTTAATATTTCTAATTAATTCTTGAAAAGAACGCAAAGCACAGAGAATATTATTGCCGTTCAACGTGGAAATTCTGACAGCTTTCTCGGCACGCTACAAGTTACGCGTTCAGTCAATTATTTAGACTTAGTAATTGTAAATATAAGTTGGATTACCTTTTGTTAATTTGGATTTTTTATCGTAATTGTAGGTATGCAGAAAAAGCTAAGGAGCTTTCTTTCGTCTATCATGACCGTCCAACATCTCCGGGCAAGGAGGTAGCACATTGGGCGCGGCACGTTATTGAAACACGCGGCGCTCCACTTCTTCGATCACCAGCTTTCAACACGCCGTTCTATCAGAAAACTTACTTAGATCTAATTGCTATTGTTATCGTTATTTTATATGTAATTTTAATATTGATAAGACGTGTATGTAATTTGTATTGTTTGAATAAAAATGTAGCAAACAAAAAGAAGTCTAATTAAGGGATTAAATGAAGTGTTGTTTAATTTTAATATTTATTTTTTCTTAAATGATTGTGTAGCGTAAAGCTGTGAGGTCAAACCAAACCCGTTTTACTAGTAAGAGGTAACCTTTCTAAACAAAAGAATTAAGTGGCTGGCTACGAATATACCTTTTATGACAGTTGCAAGATCGAGAATCAATTCTCGGAACTAAATTTTGACCGAACTAATATAACAAGAATTGGAGTTCAGAGCGAGAAACAAGTTTTTAGGTTAAGAATGTTGTTAATTACAATTTTATTTTCTATTAAATAAAAGAAAACAGTGATGATGAAACATTAACAAAATACCAATATAATTGGTAAATGATTCAACTACTATTTCAACTAAAGAATTATTGAGAATTAAGAGTTTTATCAATGAATTTTTGTTGTCTGTAATAAATGTGGAGCACGATATGTCGAAATTAAGTTATTTCACTAAGATATTAACACATCACGAGTAAATACCTTGGAATAAAACTAACATTGTCGATAAGGGATTATTGACCTGTTGTTCTACTAATACTGCAATTACCGCTTTGTAAATAAACGTGGAGAGACAACACGATGTCTCGCATTGCGTCGTCAATAACCAGTATAAGGTGAAACACATTATTAGTATTTTTAAAGGAGCTAGTACTTATTAAACGCATGTGAGCATTGAGTTAAAACAACACTAGAGAAGCAAACCTCATTATCACACGGCGAAAAAAGTGTAACCACTTTTGAACTTTGACGACGTAGCTTTGATACCACTAAACATTTGAAAGTAAACATATTTATGTCTCATTTACACGCGAGACAAGAACAATACCATCGCTCGGATTAGACAAAGACAAAGATATAACTTTACGATGGTGGGCCAGTGTTGACTACCGTATGAAATTTTACCCATAACAACTAAGAAACAATTTTTTTTTTAAACAATTTTGTAATAAAATAAATTAATTTAAATATTCTAAATAATATATTTCGAATTGAATAGAATAGGTATAAATAATAAAATAACTGGAAATATTTGGTTAAAAGGGTTTATATTCAGTGTAAAATCAAACTGCGTTGTGAAGCATCAGTTTTGTATACAATTGTCTTTTAGACTCTTCTTTATAAGTTTGTGTGGATATTTTACTTTCATGATACAATCTTATTTTTACGTATGTAAAAATAATAGCATTTAATAATAAAAGTGAATGATCAACTTGTACTGATAATAAATAATCCCCAGGGTGTATTGCAAATTCTATTATAATTTAAAAAACAAATAAAAAAAAATTATTTTTTATTTATATTTTTTTTTTATTTATGTTTATTTACTTTTTTATTTTATATTTTTTATTTTTATGATAAACATCGTATTTTTTATTATTATTATTATTATTTTGTACAATTATTATTTAAAATTGATAATAAATTAAGAAAAACAATGAATTAATTCTTTTGTACAAAAGTCTCCAGCACTGCGAGCTTGGCACTTCTTCCAAGCTCGCAGTGAACGTTCAACGGGTCCCTAAAAAAAGTGATCGGTCCAGCCCTAACAACTACCGTTCTTCCTATATTTTATTATTATTGGCAAAATGTTTAAAAACAGTATAAAGCATATTATTTCATAAATTATAAATTCTCCCACTAATGTGGGAAAACCAAAATGATTTTTTAATGGTAACACTGATTGTAAATTAAAATTATCAGTGTTTTATATCAATTATATAATTTATATCAATTATAGCCTTATTTACGATATTATCAATACAAAAACCATAAACTTACACGTGAAAAGTAATTCCTCATGATTTATTAATGTTTTGTGACCTTGAATCGCATTCTTTCACTACGCATTTAGCCATTTTGGCGATTGTTACTGTCATGTGTCGCTATGTTCAACTCGGTTGACGCCACATTGAATACTGAATTGACGTTCGCGACGCATATTGCTGTGGACAGATGTGCAGTAGCAACGATTTTAAGCGGTAATTACTCATCTATGTAAGTATTATATCAATGCATGTGAGTAGATTTATTGTTTGTCTAAATATGACATTGTTGCAAAAAAAAAAGTAACATATGCACTTACATCTTCAGACTAAATAACAGAGGCGATGCAGTATTGATTGATGATACTACTTCATTAATTTTGTAAAATCAAACTATAATAATTATGCATAAGTCTTAAGATATATTTTGACATTCACATACATATAGTACAGATACTCAGTCTTCTTATCAAAATAACATAAATGGTAATGTGCAGGTTGGCAGTTCAAGTTAGTGTTTTTCGAACAGGCAGTAGAGTTACAACCATTGTACTGTGAGAATTATATCTGCTAACGGGCATGCAATATTGTATTATTTAAGTGAACCTGAATGTTAGTAACTATTATTTAATTATAGTGTTTCATTACATACTGAGAGTTTCGCTGCTTCCCAGTAACGCTGCATTTGAGACTGCCACTTATCCATACACGATACCTTTTGCAGTGGAGACGAGCAATAATTCCTCAGGTATAAATAGCGTCCGTTCACTCCTATTGAATTCAAGTATTGTGTTATTTATGTATTAATTTTAATACAAGTCAAATGTTCCTACCTCCTCTCCCTCAGGAATGTTCTTCCTTGACTACATTTATGCATTTCAACGCAACAGACAGTCAGCAGTGCTATTCCATTTAGGATAAATATAAAGAATCATTTTATTCCGATGACTATTTTCTTCAACAGAAACAATGTCTGCTTTATTCCCCTGCTTGATCTTCTTCACCCTGATATTTGCATATTGTGAAGGATACAAGATCCTGGTGATAATCCCTATACCAGCGAGGAGTCACTCCAATCTTGGCGCTGGCGTGGTTAGACATTTGCTAAAGGATGGGCATGAGGTAAGTAAATTATTGTAGTAAATTGATGGTAGATTCATCATCATCAGTCTTTAATAGTCCACTGCTGGACATAGGCCTCTCCTTAGAAAGGAGGTTTTGTCCTTCTATACCACGCTGGCCAGACGGGTTGGTATAGGGTTTGTGTCAAGTTTTCCTTCTCTTTGTAGTGCTGTTGTCCTGCGTAATTTGTTCCCTTAGTCGACTCTTACGACACCCACGGGATTATAACGGGTGACGACACTCCCTATTCTTAATTCGTCACCACAGATTAATAAGTGTTAAAAATATGACAATTATTTAAAGGTGTATTTGCAGGTGACATATATATCAGCGTTTCCTTACACGCCTACACATCCAAATCTTCGTATGATCGATATCAGCGCTAACTTAAATGGCATTCCAGGTGAGATGAAATTTCTTTTAGTCATTGTTTGGAAACTATTCAATATATTCTATATTCTTTTTTGATCTATATTCAAGTCAATGCTGACTCAATTTTCTCTTCAACTCTGTCATGTCCCATTTTATTGCACCCTTTCGAGTCAAAACTTCTTTCATGCAGTACTACCCATCTTTTCTTTCGCCGTCATCTTCTCTTGTTCTGTCCACCTCTAAACGTACAGTTTCCCTACGCCATCTTCTTTAACCCTTCGCATCACATGTCACAACGAGATAGTCCAGTCAATAAGTTAAAAAACGTGTTAACAAGAATTAACACGTTTTTTTAAGTTAGATACAAAAACAGCTGTATAATAAAATTTGTAAAATAATATATTTTAACAACATTTTTGAATATTTATTTTCTTGGTCATATTTTTTTTTAAAACAATCAAAATATAAAACTTTAATAAACTTTTATCACGTGATCTTGTTAAGTATGTATATAAGAAGGGCTCAGAAAAGCAAAAAAAAGTTAGTACAATTTTTTAAACTTATATGTCAAGTTTTGTAAGAATGGAGATTGGATGAAAACTAGTTTATTTACAATAAAAAAAAAACAAAAATTGTCGTCAAAATCGTTAAAGGAACAATGGATGTAATTAACAATAATATAACTTTTTGAAAAATCCACATAATATTTTTTTTCCAACGTGGCTTTATTCTTTCAAGTGTTTTGATAACACCATAATTTTTTTAAATATTTGAATAAATATTTAATACAAAAAAAATATATTTTGTGTGATATACTGTCTCAAGCAACGTTGCGCTCATGCCGTAATGACCGCGCGGAGACCTAATTTCGGCGTTGAATAAAAATTATAAATAATGAAGATAGAATTCCGGGAGACCGGACTTTTTTATAAGAAATTTCCTTCTCTTCAAGAATCTTTGTTTTTTAATTCTTAAATATTAATAGTGTTTGAGCTTTTATTGAAAAACTGAATATCTTTTTCTTTTATCTTATTTTGTTAGTAACAATTGCAATTTTTATATGTGCTAATAAATGTTCGAGATACCTTTTCCTAGACTTCATTCCGAATCGAATGAGCTACCACACATATTTTTATTACCGCGAACAATAAATAACACGTTTCTTAACTTGTTGACTGGACTAATAACCTACCGCTTATTAATCAACCCTTTTACGGAGCAGTGTGTACAAAGTGAAAGTAGAAATTTATTTCTATTATATTTTGGGTAACTGTTTAAAAGTAAGTTTTGAGTTTTTTTTTAATAAGAACCTTTTGTTTCTTCTAGTCATTTGGAGTATAGGCCAAACTTTTTAAAGCTTGTTCATAAGTAAACGTCATAATTATCACGGTCAGAGGTGAAATATCAAAAGCGCCCTAGGCAAGCTCTCCCGCGGCGGCTCCCCTGCAGCTCTCTAGCGCCCACATACTATACTAAATGTAAAAATATGGTAGTGATTACTCAAGCTTTTAGTTGTCGTTTCGATCCAAATCCGACCCGAACCCATGAAATTACGAATCTAGGAATCACGCAGGCCTATGCGTAAGGCCCGTCTCGTCTACCCGTGGCTACATTCAGCGTAGCACGGGGCGCTGGAATGCGTGTCTCCGGCTCTCGGTTAGCCGGCGGCAAATTAGATTTGAGCGTATAATAGCGGGTAGCAAGAGACCCGTAACAGGCGGGACTCAATTCCCTAGTAGCGACCTAGTGCAGGTACTTCTCGAAGTAGCCGTGTCCGGAAAGTACCTGCATCAATCGCAAGGGTCCCGTACTGCAGCTTTGGCCACTTGACAATAACCGGCTGGAGCGCCTCCACGGTGGCAAAGTCAGCACCTCCAGCCGTAATGCCCATCGAGTCGACGTGGCACGTGAGCGCCCTTACGCCACTTACCTACGTCCCTCTTCTGGCGGGGGCCGACTACCGCTACCTGCTCGGAATTCATCCGTCACTTTGGCAAGCACAGATGAGTGTCGGCAGTGTATGTCGACACGGTGTGGCAACTGCGTATAACTCTAACAGCCAAAACCCTCTACGGAAGCCAGAGGCGCGCCCTATTCTGGGCGATCAGAGGCGCCTCCGCCTACACCGGTGCATCGTATAGTGCCATTGAGTAGACAACTACAACTAATAGAGTAACCGCAACTGCAACTACTGGTGTAGCAACTACATTTTGTGTACACGCACTAAACACAGTCTTCGAGCGTATCAGAGAAGTAAAGCGGATGCGGCGGAGCGGGTGACTGCACGGATGGCGTAGTGGTTAAAGCGGTCGCCACGCCGCTTCCTATTACGCCGAGTGTTGTGGGTTCAAACCCCACATGGACCAACACTTTGTGTGATCCACAAATTGTTGTTCTGAGTCTGGGTGTACTTTGTGTCCGTTTCATGTATGTTTGTAAAGTCCCCCGCGACACAGGATTTATTCCCAGTACGGGAGTTGTCTTTTTAAAAAAAAAAAAGGCATAAGCGCTAATAATCGATTATATCGTGTTAGAAGGTGGACAGTTACTGACACAATTCAGTTTATGTTAGGCATATAGTTCTTCTTTATTAAAAAAACTCTGCGCACGCGCTTCTTTGTAAACTCGCGCCACTGATCACGTCATTATCTGTTTATTAGTAGTCTGGTTGCTATAGTACATACAGGGTCTGGCTAGTTTGGGATAAGACTGCCGTTTATAAGTGAGATATGTGTCGTTATTATAGGAACGAAGTTCTTTATCGGGCGTTACACGCTCTGAGCGGATGGGAGCGAAACCGAAAAATGTGTAACAAGACTTTTTTCCCACACTTCAGTTGGCGCATCGACGACAAAAAGTGAAAAGAACTTCGTTCCGACGCTATCTATGTTCCATAGACCATAGAGATAATATTATAATACATATAGCAAACTGTATATACTTCTGTAAGTGGTAGCGTATGGCTGGTAGACAAGGAAAGAACATTGTTTTGGTCTTGCATCTCTCTCTCTCTCTCCTTCCGTGCACTGATTGACTGATACTACAGAAGGCATTTAAAATAGATAGAGATGCAAGAACAAAACAATCTTGTTTCTCTCTTTACTATATACTATATTTCATTCTATATTTATAAGCTCTTTGCCATAGACTCCTCCCGCCATTTTTTTAAATATTAATATATTATTACGATGATAGGATTGGTGTATTTATAATGACGTTTAGGAATGGATGCTTAGTGCGTCAGAAGTAGAAAAACATAAGTGTTGTAGTACCTAATATAATATTTCAAAATACTCAAATGCATTACCTATTATTACATTTAAATGTAATGAAAACAAACAGAATAAATTGCAAAACGCGTAACAAAATGGTTGTAAACGGTGATAAAAAACTACACTGTAATTCACTATCAGACTGTATTTTAGTACATCACTGTATCGTAATTAGGTTACCTAGGTGTTAGAATAATTACTTACCTAATCTGCGCCGCACTGTAAGCCAAGTATTGATTTTTTGAGTTGGCTATTACTTTTATATTTCGATCTATCCGTAAATTAAAGTTATTTTTGCAAAATTAACAATCGGGAGAGCGTTTTGTAGTTTGTGTTAAATTGAACTGTAACTGTAAACTGTAACTTTTTTTATAATTGCTCTAGTCTTGATTCTTTTACCACCCATCATCTTAAATTAGGCATAAATTTTTACGAAAGCTAACTTTTAGACTTTTAGACCCATTGTAAAGAATTAGCACGGATTCCGGAAATAAAACAGCAAATATATGGACTGAGCGTGTACTGCCTTGTAAAAAGCTCCAGAGTCGTAGTGCAAGTGAACATTTAAAACTAAACTTAAAGCTACCGACTATATTGGTGACACAGATGACAGGCAACGTTTAATTGCTAGATATATTGCGGTGCAGTTACCATTAGGCGCCTGAACACCCATACTTTAAAATTTTGCCGTGGCTACATGTAAATGTGTTTATATACTGTGGGAATCTGCCTTTTTATTGGGACTAATCCCACCCACACGCCCACCACTGTAACTCCTGTACACCAGGATCCACGGCAGTGACCCACGAACACGCCGAGTTATGACACTCGGGAAGTCCCAGGAAGAAACTAAACTGTCTTTGAACCCGCAACGAAATTAATCAGAAGAAAATTGGAGGAGTTGGAAATACAGTAAATCAACTCCCTCCTTAGCAAAGCGGGAGACAAAATGAAGTTAAATGGGCATACACCCTTTTAAACAGGGAATCACCACGGCCACAAAATATTACGGGTCCTACGTGAGCTATATTTGATTTCTATAATATGTATGGCAGAACCGCCTAAACGCACGGAAATTCACCCTAGTTGGATTCTGCCTGTCATATATGCATATGTAACATTATTCTTGGAAAAAGTGCCAGTGCTACACACATAACACACATACACATGTAACTTTGTTTTACGTAAATACTGATTGACAACCGTCTTACATGACAGCCTTATATGAAAAAAACCCTGTGTGTGTGATGATCTGAGTGATCTAAAGAAACCCGCTTAATACTTTGATATTATTCCTAATTCAAGTAAACTAATGAGGTCCTATAGATAAATAAATTTATGTCTCATAAGCCGGTTTTAAGATGGTAAATACTCCACAACATTTCCACGGGTATTTGAGCATACTTATAAATCGATATCACTGTGATCACATTCGTACAATATCTTGTTAAGTACTGATTCACCTACAAAAACTTTTTTTACACTATTCCAAGACACCTCAGCCTCTTCTGTATATCATGACATTCTCTGTGTGTGTTCAACGGGGTTCAAACTAAAGGTTACTTGCGGGAAATTTTTCGAAGCTCGATGGTTTTTCAAGTACAAAAGGAAGTCTTCTTTCAGCAGTGGTTAGTAAAAGAGCCTGGTTGTCTTGAACAAGAGAATCGGTAACAATTTGAAGTGGAGTTGAGCTTGATATTTCATCAGGAAAAGCTGCTCTCTCATTCCCTTCCAGGCTGTGCTAGAGGTAATGAATTGTCTGTGACTGTACCTGTTGCTCGAACAACCTCTTTCCATACCCAGTTTGTAGCACCTTGTGCTAGTGGTGATGGACGGGATATGATTGGACGGGAGCCTCTAAAAACAATATACAATGTGACACGTTGTAATTTTAATAAAACAAATTTGTGTCCTTCGTTTGGCTACAACTATATAAGTGTAAATAAAAAATATAAAAAGATGTTTCTTATTTAAAGGCTTTTTCACAATTAACACATGGAAAAAAGGCCATATACCTGAACTAAAATATCACGAATAAAGATATATTTACACATAGAATCCTTAATCTCAAAATTACTTCCCTCGAAGAAGGTTACATGTGAATGTATAACTGTAATTTTTTACGTAATTTCCGTGTAAAAAAAGTAGTTTGTTAAGAAATGACGTCAAATTCATTAGTTATTATAATATTGTAATTAACATTAACGTGTTATGCACGCAATTCATTCATATATTATTCGTCTTTAAGTTTTACAATAAACCAAATCTTCCGTAGAAAAAAGATCTAGGTGATTGTGACACCCTTAAATAAAACCGTTTGGCATTTTAATATTATATAAGAGAAAAATATTATAGACGGTACGGAACAACGGTAGTCTTTGTACTGTAATTAACTGATCAATGAGAAGTATTTATTTATTATTATCATTTATGTAATCGGAGCGTGAGCACATCTGTGTTTGCGTTGAAAATGAACATACGACCTCTGGCTGCGTTCGCGCCGACCCCGACGGTGTATAAAGTTACTTGTATTCTCGACTCCTTATTCTCTGGAGAAGTGAACTACTTGTAACTTTATTCAACTGTTATCTTTGAAACTAGCCGAAAATATAGGTCAGTTAAACCCTAAACCAACAAAAGCTATTTAGTAACATGATCAAAGTTATAACTTTGTTCTTCGCATAGGTCGATTTGTGGATTCTATTCTTCATGTAAGTGATTTTTTTTCATGGAATAGAGGGGTAAAAGAGCGGAAGGATCACCCTGTGGTGCCATTAGTGCCACAGAGTTAGCGAGTTGAAGTTTCGGTAACCTCAGTCGCTGGATAAAAACAAAGAAAGAATCTGAAACAACAAAAACTGATCAAGGCAGCCTATATCTGGCTAACCCAGAGCTCACTACTGCATTACGTATTGTAGATAGTTTTGATTCGCCATACTTTATTTATGTATCTTTACATAGTATAAAATAAACTTATACGCTTAGATCTTTTAAACTTAACAACAGATTTTAATACGGTTTTCACCAATAGAGAGAGTGATTCAAAGGGGAGGGTTTATATGTATAATACATTCATATTATAGTAAAGAAAATCCGAGAATTTCAAAGATTTGTAACATGCTTGAAACATGCTTGCTGCTGCTTGAATTTGAAACATGCTTTTGGGCGCTTTCATTTCAAACGCTGGCTAAACCTTACGAGATAAACAAAAATAATGTACTAGAGAATTGTCTATCTTAAAAAATCTACAAAAAAGTGTTCGATGGTATATCTCCTAAGGATAACCATTTTTATTGTTATCGTTTAAATACTACCAAAACATAATGGGTTATTTACGAAGCTATTTTCAACAATACATTATTATTCCTTATCCAATTAAATAAGTTAGATACGTTTTGCATTTAATATAGATTAAAATCGCTCTATACAGCATGTCATTAAAATAAATATTTTAGAAGATATTAGAGCTTTAAAATACGGCGGCTCAACGACCGTCGCGCCGTACGACCATCCCGGGTGGCAGCGGCCAAGAGGATCGAAGCGGCCCTACAAATATGGCATTTAAAGATGTCCCGTGGTATAAAAAATAATAATAATAAGCCCTTTTATTCTGAATTAACTAAATACATTATTAAACAGTTCATAAGATTAGTCTATAAAATATCTCGCAATCCAGAGTGCCTCTTGGCATAGGCCTCCTCTAGCACTTTCCATTGGGTTCTGTCTTGCGCTACCCTTCTCCAGTGGTGTCCAGCTGTTAGCCTCAGGTCATCTGCCCATCTCGCTTTTTGGCGTCCACTATTACGTTTGCCATCTCTGGGGTACCAGTCACAGATAGTCGTACTCCATTTGCCATGCCTGTCTCTAATTATGTGTCCGGCCCATCTCCACTCCATCTGGTCTATTCGAGTGAGAATGTCAGTGAGTGTGGAGAGAAGCATGACAGGAACAAGGAGGATGGACAAAATAAGAAGTAGTGAAATAAGAGAAAAAACTAAAGTTAATGTCCCGTGGTATAGTCCTATCATAATAATAGTATAATTAATTACTCCACACTGACACCATATTAGTAGTATTAGTAATATCTACATTACACCTGAGCGAAGCCAGGACGGGTCGCAGTAAGTAAATGAGTTCTAAAATGTGCGCTACTTAGCCAACGTGTTCTAAAGTCCCTGGCTCTCTCTCTCTCTCTCTCTCTCTCTCTCTGTCTCACTCTCTGACATTATGTAACAATTTCTTCCAGATGATCTATACAGCATTCCAGTAATAATGGATAAACAGTTTGAAGACTATGATTACTTATTTAGCACAATTATAGACATAACGAAGATGGCTTTTCAGAACGATAATGTACAAGAGTTGTTGAACGATCCCGGTGAACAATTTGATGCAGTGATCGCTGAATGGTTACTTACTGAACTGCCTGCTGGGTAAACTATTCATATACGTGTTTAATAATTGTATTTTACCACTTTTACCGAATCGTGAAATATGTTTACAGTTATTCTAATATTTAGGTAAGATAGAATTAAACAAAAAAGAAGGGTAACCTTTTTATCATTGTCGGATTATTACCGTCAGATGAGTTATCTTTAAGAAGCAATTTGTACGACCTGAATAGCACTCACTCACTAATAAAATCGATACTGGTTGAAGTTTTAATTATGGTTATTAGTTTTTGGTTAATATTTTAGACTTGCAGCGGTATACAACTGTCCACTGATTTGGATTTCAAGTCTAGACATTCATTGGGCAATTTTGTACTTGGTTGATCAGCCTTCAAATCCTGCGTTTACTGCCCATTTAATGTCGAACGCATTACCCCCTTTTACCTTCTGGGAGAGAGTATATGAATTATATACACAACTCAAAGTGCTGTACTGGAGATACGTGTAAGTAAGTCATTTATTAATTTATCAACTATAAAGATTTTTATATATGTACCGACGTTTATGGACTGGACAGCTGATTTAGTTCAAGAGAACCTAAAAAACATATAATCCATTTTGAAAGTCGTCGTTCTGTGGGCGGCTCTAGTGTATATGCATTAATGCATAGGGTTAAGCTTATCCATACGATTAATAAAAAATAGTGCTCTTGCAGGAGATTTTAATATGGAAATAGCATGAACGGCTACTTTAGGCATCTATAAGATTTTACTCATCCTATTTCTGGTAGGAATGAACTACAATATGTTACAATAACCCTTGTACAAACTACAAAAGCTTTTTAATTTCCTAAATGTAGGATAATGTACGCTTCGTTTGATTTTATCTGAAATAGGCTACACTCTATGATTTCCAAGATACTCATCTCCTCGTGGCCTCTAGCGAACATTTGAACAAAACAAATTAAGTAAATTTAAAAACCTTAATGATTTTCTCTAATTAGATAAATAAATAAGTTTCTTACTTATTTTTTTACGACAGTCAGATACCCGATACCTCCAGATACTTACGCGATGTTTTCATCAAAATCATTATCTGCTGACGCGGTGAAGTTGCTGTGCACTTTCCGCTTCTGTGACATACCATAACTTATTGCGATAATTCCAGTTAACAAATTCAGAAACAATAAGATTACAAGAGCTTTTTTTTTGTTAAGGGCATAAAAACCTTCACATAGAGAATCATCATCAATTTAAACTTTTTTTTCATTTTTGCTTTTCTTTTAATTCTTATTAAATTAACGACCAGGTACTTTGACAAATTGGAGAAACAAGAATACGAAAATTTACTAGCCCCAATTATAGTAAAGCGAGGAAGACAGCCACCATCTTATTACGACGTACAGTTCAATGCGTCACTGGTGTTGGCAAACTCCCACGCGTCTCTAGGACAGGCAATCTCAGTTCCACATAATTACATACCCGTGGGTGGATACCATGTTGCAGATGTGGAACCTTTGCCAGATGTATGTATAATTTCCATTAACACGTACTTTTATCTATATTATAGATGAATCTGTTACACCTGAACAGGTTTACTAATATTTTGTATTTTCTACTTAATTTTGGAATCTTGCTGTGATTGATAATATGCCAGGTATAATTTATATTTACATCACCGTTACGTTGTTTATTTTCTACAAACTTAATAACTAAAATCGTAGCTCTTAAAAAAAGACTAGTAGAAAAGTATTTGTGTAAGTATTGCTCCAAACTTTTGAGTCAGGAGATACTAACAACATGTAAAAATCTATTTTGTACCTGGTATCAATAAAATCATGTAGAAATACAATAGTGCAATTTTCAATGAGTTACTGTCATCATTATTGTTAATGCTTCCAGGAATTACAGAATATAATGGATAACGCTAAAAACGGAGTAATATATTTCAGTATGGGGTCAAATTTAAACAGTAAAGATATCCCGAAAGTGATGAAAGATGGTATTATAAAGACTTTTGCTGAACTGAACCAAACTGTAATTTGGAAATATGAAGAGAACTTACCAAATGTCCCTAAGAATGTTCATATATTAAAGTGGGCACCGCAACAGAGTATTCTCGGTGAGATTATCTAATACTGACTTGCATCGTCGAGGGTTCTGGTAAATCGTAATACTAAGACAAGATGGCACGGCAAAATGTGCTTTATCACTTTACGCATAAGATCTAGTTCTAGAAATAGATTGTCGTGAGATCTTATTTACACTTAAAACGTACTCGCGTATCCCGGAAACAGAAACGTTCTTATAAGAGCGAGAATTTACTAGAATAAACTTTCTAGCAGTCTAACGAGTGGTATAAATATAGGCACGTCTTCGCCAGTGAAACAGTTCAGTCCTGACAAACATCGATAAGATAAAAGAACGAAAGCGAACAGAAGAGTAACTCAACGACCTCGGCGATCATTTTAGGCTGTTAATAAGTAACGACTGAATTTATTATTTTAGTGTGGGTGTCGTAAGAACCGACTAAGGGCGCAAAACAACGCAGGACACCAGCACTGCAAAAAGACGGCAAACTTGACATAAACCCTATACCAACCCGCCTGGCCAGCGTGGTATAGTAGGCCAAAACCTTATTTCTAAGGAGAGGCCTATGTCCAGTGGACTATTAAAAGCTGTTGATGTGTATTAGTAACAAAGTCTCTTAAGATATCAGAAGGTACTTCATTTCAAATCAATGGACCCTAACACGTAACAGTATGAAGTATTGGTTTGTTCACTATTGATTACTATTAAATAAATAAATAGGTGATAAGATAAGATAAGATTAATTATTAATCTTATCTGATAGGTGGTATAGTAGGCCAAAACCTCCTTTCTAAGGAGAGGCCTATGTCCAGCAGTGGACTATTAAAGGCTGTTGATGTGTGTGAAATAGGTGAAACTTACAAGAGTCGTATAAGATGTGTAACAATTGACATCTTAGCCATCATCTGACAGCCAACTCTAGTTCGCGAGCGCTTATTGGTCAAATTAAACGTATTTTTCTTCTTCTTCTACTTCTCTACAATTAAAGTGTCTTTAAATTTCAGCACATCCTAATACTATTCTGTTCATCTCTCACGGCGGTTTATTGTCAACGATAGAGAGTGTTCATTTTGGAATACCCATTATTGGTATACCAGTCTTCGGAGACCAATCCCTAAATGTCGATAAGGCTGTAAAAAAAGGAATTGCCCGTAGGGTTGACCTTAGATACGAGATCGCCGATGACCTGAAAATAGCTATTAAGGAGTTAACAACGAACCCGAGGTATTTTATTCATAACATGTTGTATAAGGATGATTGTGAAATCAGAAAAGTTACCCAGATAAAGTGAGGTTAGAAGGCTCCGAGGTTTCGGCAATAGCTAGGTCAGAGTCATAGGTATGTAACCCTGACCTCGTCCGTGTGGTGACGAATTAAGAATACGGAATGACACCACCCCTATTCATTCCGTGGGTGTCGTAAGAGCCGACTAAAGGAGCAAACTTTGCAGAACAACAGCACTGCAATCCATCGGTTAAAATAATATCTATTTCCTGCCATAAATCTATCTTCTTATCTTCCAATTTTCTCATGCTATCCCTAAAATGTCCGATCAACGTCAATGGGATAGCTCCCTGTTACCTATGGTTCTGGGCATCTTAGTCTAGTGGCTAGTGACCCTGACTGCTAAGGCAGAAGTCATGGGTACGATTCCCACCCAGCACAAATAATTTTGTGATCAGGACGATTGTTTGTTCTGTGTCTGAGTGTAATTTATCTATAATATGTATGTATTTAGAAATCTACAAGTATGTTTATCATCAGTCTGGTTACCATAGCACAACTTGTACCTAGTTTGGGATCAGACGGCCATGTGTGCGATGTCTGAGGTTAATAACTTTATACATTATATCAATAATAGTCCCACCTTTAAATTACATGGTTCGGGTCCCAGGTGGAGGACGCCTTAACTGACCGTCTTCGGGACTGGCAACTGAGGGGAAACCGTAAAAATCTGAAAGGAATTATAATAAACTTAATTTTTTAAACATTATAGTTTCTTTCAATGGATACTATCTTCTTCTTCTTTTGATGACGATTCCGCCAACGTCAAAGTGGAAGGTAGAGTAATGAGTTTGTAATTTCAACAGTTTGTGGGGTTCTGTGCGAGAAGAGAGGATAAAAAAAGTTGTAATATTGTTGTCAAAGTAAATTTTGTTCATACTATTGAATATGTAAGGGATCTTGACATGGGCAATATAATATCGGGCATCTTGATTTATTGTCAGTACACTTGTTGTAGGTACACTGTGTATCACATTGCGAAGTTTGTTTAGGTATACCTTTCTTTGTTTTTGTTGACCGGGTGGAAAATACCCTCTGGATCACCGGCTCCTCGGGGACGCAGGCAGTATGTGTTGTTTCCGCTAAAACCCGATCGAGGCACCCTACTCCGTAGAGGACCCGAACCTGTTATTTCAGGTCCCCCCCCCCCCCGGACCGACGCCGAGCCTAGTAAGACCCTATCCGACGACTAAGGGACCAATTATTCTATTAAAATAAAAAAGGTCCTGAAAGGCCGGCAACGCGTTTGTGACTCCTGAATTGCAGACGTTCATGGGCGGCGATGGTCACTTTCTATCAGGTGACTCGTCTGCTCGTCTGCCCCCTCAAACATAAAAAAAATGTTCCCCGATCGCATTTTTGCGACCTGGCCGCCATCCTATCGCCTGCCGCAGCAGTTAATCTGCCATCAGAGATTCTCTGATCTTTCTGGTAGCCTGCGGCCCCATCGACGGCTGGTGCCGATCCAGTTCAGTGGTCTCTTTTAGTTTAAGTTTATTTATACCTACCGTAAGCGTTGTTTTGTGCCCTAAATTATAATCTGTGTACTTAATGCATTTTAACATTATATTATTTTAAAATATTTACTAATTTTGTACACCGACTATAATGGTTATTAGGCATGACAAGACATCGTAACTTACTGTAAAAAATAAAGGAAAAAGTGGCGGACTTCATTTAAGTAAACATTAAGTGAAGTCCGACCGTTTTTTCTTTATTTTTTTATTTTTTACAGAATTTTTATAATTTATTGTGAGAAAATCTTATAATATCATGAATATACGGATATTATCGTATACAAAACTTAATCATGTATATTTTGATGCCAGATACGCAGAGAAAGCCAAGGAGTTGTCTTCTATTTACCACGACCGTCCAATACCTCCCGGCAAAGAAATTACACACTGGGTGAAACACGTTATTCGGACACGTGGTGCTCCACATTTGCGCTCACCCGCCTTACACGTGCCGTTCTATCAAAAGCTTTACTTAGATCTACTTGCTCTCATAATATTATTTATATTTATAACCGTGAAATTAGCTAAATACTTGTATAACTTTAGTTACTATGTAATAATTGTGAATGATAAAAAGAATAAATAAATAACATCAAAATTGTACTTATTTATCTTGTTGTTTTAATTTTTTTGCAATTTATTTGTGATCTATTGATCTTCTATTACCTAATAGATAAGAACAAGAAAAGGAAAGTTTATAATTAATAGATTCAGATTTAAGTGAGATTAACACATTGAGACCCCTCCGTCCCTCGCAGAGCACTTTAAGCCATCAGTCCCGGTTGCTATTCGAACATCTGTGGCAATCGTTACGGCTAGAGCCCTAAAAAGTCTTTCTACAGAACTTTGATATCGCCTACTTGGGTCGTGGAGATCTGTCGGCAGTCAGAAATCAAAGATCAACGGTATCGTAGTAAACCGAGCACCGACCGAGAGTAAATCGTAGTAAGCTGATCCCAACCTAGCTCGGGAAAAAGGTTCGGAGGACCAGATTTCCGGTAAGCCTTCCTATATCGTTTTTATATTCAGATAAGTTTCCTAGATTTTTTTTCATTGATAGTGAATGCGGCTGTTATATTACATGTGTATTTCATTTATAAAACATAGGGATACTTGTTATCAAGATCGCCATTTTACTGTATTTTTTATAAAAAATCTATATTTAGAAATATCTACTAAAAGCATATGTATTTTTTTGTGTTAAGCAACAATATTAAACATTAGAAAGTAATAAATTACACTCCGACTAACGCAAAGTACGATGGATCTGTTTTTCAATCGGGTAAAAAGAATAATTAGTAATAAGTAGACATCAAATGCAGTTTGCTAACAAATATTTTGTAATGAATAAGTGTATTAACATTCAATTTGTCCATACTAAGGTTGCCTGTAAGAAAGTACTTTTTAGCGTTACGGCCGCCATTTGTACATGGTTATTAATTTGATCTACTTACTTTTGTAAAAAACAAACTGGTGTATAATAAAGCTCATTCTATTCCATTTTAAATCTTCGAATCGAAACCCGAACTGACACTTATTACTAAAATCATGACTGTTTCTGGCATCAAATTTATTCAAAGCAGCTCAGAGATTGTTAAGATGCTGACTCTCTCACTCCGGTCTAATGACCTGTACATCGAGAAATCAGATTACAGATACAGTCGTTCATCTTTTTGCTCAATTACATATTACAATATAAAACAATATTAACATAAAACTTACCCTGCTGCTTCCGCCCTATGCGCTGGCTACCTTCAGAGTTAAGCCTTTATGTCATGTTGAAATCCAATAAAACTTATTAATAATAATTGTCAAAATATACTCCAAATTAATTAAATTTAGGAAGCTAATCCATCACCGGGGTTATATTGATATATTAGCTTTAAGTACTATAATATCAGAAGTGGATACTGATACTAATAAATTAATATTTCGAGTGCTACTGCCCATTTATAAAGCCCGAATCAGAGTATATGCATCATTCGCAAATAACCAGAAGCAGGTTAAAATTTTACTAATAAACCGTCTAGACTACTGTTAACTGTCGAAATGAAGACATTTATCGTGCTTTGCAGTGTAATTTCGATAGTTTATTGCAAAAGTTTGGCGCCACATTCTAACGGCCGTAAGTATACTGGTTTCTAACTTTTTTTCGTTTTCTATTTTGCAATAGAGCGAAATCTACCAGTTTTCTCAAACGTTTATATAAAGGTCTTTGATTTTTTTAATAAACTTAAGTAAAGGTGGGATATGTTAATTAAGGACGGGTAGGAAAGGACAGGGCGTAGTAAGGGAGTCTAAGAGCTGTCGCAAGTTTATATGAAGATCCTAAGTTTCGCTCTGAAATTAAGCAAAGAGACAGTTTATAAATATAAAGTCAGGTAAGAATGAGTTTTAGGTCAGTTTTGGGTTAGCGGCGATCTAAAGGCACTGTTAGCATATTTGTATAAATTCTTGGTTTTGAACTCCAGAGACCCGAAAATTGACGAAGGCTAACCATAGCTACTATAGGGGCAATTCAAAGAAGTCTGCGTCAAATCATTTTATCTGCGATGAAACTATAATAATAACAATTAATTATGCATTATACAATGTATTTTCATTATTAATGATTTGAAAGTCATTTTAAGCAAGTAATTCAAGCGGCGGTAGCCTAGTGGTTAAAACATTGGACTTGCGATCAAGAGGTCGTGGGTTCAAATCCTGACCAGTACACTACCGACGTGAACCCACTCCTAACACAAGCAATTTAGGGGTTAACGGGAATACTAGAAATTTCGGTTGTTAGTAGACCTTTTAAAAAAAACCTGTTTTAGGAGACTCCGCTCTTCCATAACAAAACGACTAACAAACAAATTACTAACACTATATACCATGCAGTCGTTTTAGTCGTTTATTGAAAATGAAACAACTAAGCGCATGTTAAGGCCTTAATATAATTTACAAATTATGTCGAAAGTTTAAAATTATATTCAAAAACATCTGCGGTGTCTAGACACACCTTGAGAAACAAAATAGCAATTTCTATTATAATGAAAAAAGTTTCAAACAAAACACACTAAATCAACTTTGTTCTGTAATTCAATTTAGGTCCAATACTGAAAAAGAATAAGGGAATTATGTCTCACTTTTTATGGTTATTTTGCGTATAATTGAAATTGTACTTGCACTTCCCTTACACATTATAGTTAAACAGCCGTAAGCTTGGCCCTCCTGATGGTTTGGGGGACGCGGGGCGGGTGATGCGCTCGGCTATACATGACACGATGTACCAACTCGATATCTTCAGATTTATTTGTTTGAGATTTAATCTACACACGATGTAATAAAAATCGAATTTATTTCCATGTATTATAATGTCTATTATAATATATAATGTTTCCATGTATTATAATTATAATGTGTATTATAAATATGTAGTATTCTATGTATTGTGTGTGTGTGTGTGTGTGTGTGTGTGTGTGTGTGTGTGTGTGTGCGTGTGTGTGTGTGTATTTGTTATTGAGTAGATATATACAAACATACAGTATGGCTCATTCTAAGGTTGTTTGTAAGAGATCGCAATTTGCGGTTAGAACGTACTGTTTCTTTTAATTAGTTGCCAGCTTATTTAATACTTTTATGGTGAGAGTAAGAGTATCTATCTTTCTGTTATTAGGATTATTGTACACACTCTTTGTAACAGTGTGTGTATTTATATAGTACTTATAGCTCACTGTATAAAACTTTAGAACAAGTTAAAACGGTATTATACATATATTTTAACAGGTACTCTCATGCGGAGTAGGTGAAGGCGATAGAGCCATAGAAAATTATTTAAAAACAGCGTCTTGTTTTAAACTTAACGATTTTCAAGATTTTTAATTATGTTTCTTTTTTCAGGCTTCCGTTGTATCAATATGTGGGATGAAGGATGCACTAACAGACCAATCGTTGGAGCTGGTATAATATTTTATTATTATTAAAATCGTAAATAAGTTATTTATTTCACCATAGTGTCAACTTGTGAAAAGGACCATGAAGGTTGTCTTTTTTATGTATTTCAAGTCTGTAAAGTCACATCATTGCAATACTCGACAAAAATGATTAAACACTAAGATTGGAAAGAACTTGAGTCCTAATAACAACTTATAGGTACTTAGTAGACTCCATATTGAAAAAAAACATATGTCAGCTATTAAAATCATACTTATGGTAGACAGAACTAGACTGATTTTTATGTTATGTGTTATGTTGTAATTTTAAAAATGCTTAATTTATTCGAACTTGATATTGTAAATAAAAAAATGATTTATTTGTTCGTCACGCTTTAATTTCTGAATAACTCAACAAATTATCATTAAATTTAACACGTACGTTATTAAGGGTAGGGTAGGTACAGGAAAAAGCAACCTATACCTACATCTCATACCAAAAGAAGTTGTTGTTCCCAAAGAATACCCAACTTTAATAGCAAAGTTTACATTTCCTTGAACAAAGCCGCGGCAAGAAACTAGATTTTAATATTTAGAAAAGGTTTTATCCAAGAATCATTTGGCAACTATTGCATGAACTCTGATCTGTTTCTTTGTAATCTAGAATTACGTAGATTAGATTGCTATTTATATAATCATAATCTATTACAAGTTCACTAATTTTATATAACTCAAATAACCAAAAAACTGTCTAGTCTTAATACAGTTTGTCAATTAAATAAAAAAGCGATACCTAGTTATGGAAACTTAAAATACGTGCTAAAGCAACTTGGCATGTGATATTAGCAATCATCATGAGCACTGATAACAGCACTACTTATTTTAGAATGTACTATAACTATAAATTAGTTAATTACTTAGTTACTTACTTAGTAGTTAATTGCTACTTACCGTAATTAGTAAGCGCAATACTAAACTATACAAGGCTAAATTTGGTCAGCGAACTCGACTACTTATTTCGATTTTATTAATTTTCTGGAGTACTATTCCAGACTATAAACTATCCCTGTGCCAAATTTCATCCAAATACACCTTTTTTTTAAAGACAACTCCCGCATTAGGAATTATTATATTGAACCATTCTAATGTCATTGAGTAACAAAATTAATTATATTTTATTTTTAACATCTTACGGATTATTTTATCAATAACTATTTTCTTTTAATTAGGAAATGATGACGGTTTTCTTGGTGGCAACTTTAATCCGGGGAAACGATGCATAAATATGTGGGACGAAGGATGCACGAACAGACCAATCTTGGGAGCTGGTATAGTAGTTTATTATTATTAAAAACTAAATACTATGTTGTTTCTTTCATGAGGACCACACAATGCAACTTGTCAAACAGACCAATGAGGCTGTTTTCTTTGTTTATTTTAAGTCTGTCAAGTTGGACTAGTCACGTCATTAGGCGCGTATAGCTTTTGAAGTTCCAACAATTTTGAAAGACTGACTATAGATGACTAAAAAGTTAACTACCACTAACAATAGGTATATATTTAGTGTAATTAATACCTACCTACTAATAAAAACAGTATCTGCACACTTCTTATTTCGTTCTGTGGTAAATTTATTTTGTGTAAATAAAAAAATACTTATTTATCTTCGCTATCCTAATATTGTAAGAATGGATCTGTTTGTTGCACTTTAATGCCTCAACTGCGCAACAAACCAGCATAAAATTTTGCACAAATGTTGTCAACACACATGTGTAGGTACTCACAGGAAATACAGCTAGTTCCTTACACCCTGGAGAAGGACTGTTCTAGAAGGATTTTTTCCTGTAATAAAAATGTGATCTGCGAGATTATATCTCTGTGCTAAGTTTCATTAAAATCCGTGGAACTGTTGGGTGTGATCGAGTAAAAAACATCCATTCATCAATAAAAATTATACTTATTAATAAGATTACTGCGATGTACCTAAACACTTAATATTAGATTATATTTTAAAATCTCACAATTTATTACAACCATCATTATTTTCTTTTCTCAAGGTAATGATGATAGCTTTCTTGGTGGCAACTTTAATCCTGGAAAACGATGCATAAATATGTGGGACGAAGGATGCACCAACAGACCAATCTTGGGAGCTGGTATGGTAGTTTATTATTATTAAAAGTAAATACTATGTTGTTTATTTCATGATTACCGTACCAGGCAACTTGTGAAACAGATCAACGATGCTATCTTTTTTTGGATATTTCAAGTTTTTCAAGTCAAGTATTCCATAAATTGTAAAACACTATGACTGAACTTAAGTACTAATAACAATACGTAAGGACTTAGTGGATTTCATCCAGGATCCAAAACCGGTGTCTCTGTACTTGCACACTTCTTGAAAATCACATACATACCTACTTGTATTTTCTTTAGCTGTAGCTTATTTGCTATTTTACACTATACTTATATGTTTGTTCAAAACTTTATCCAGACCCGTTCTCGTGTAATTGAGTAATAAATGTCCATCCGATCATCAACAGCCTGTAATAATCCACTGTTGGACATAGGCCTCTTCTTAGAAAGGACGTTTTCCAGACAGACAGACGGTTTGGAAGAGGGTTGGTTTCAAGTTTTTCTTTTCTTTGCAGTGCTCTTGCCCTGATAGCCTTTAGTCGCCTCTTACGACACCCGCAGGATGAATAGGGGTAGCGACACTCTGTATTCTTAGTCCGTCACCACACGGAAAATCCATCTAATCACTCCATCCCATCAGTGTGATGTAAACACATAATTAGATTATAATGTTTGACATCTCACAGTTCATCATGCATGTTCTTTTCTCTAGGAAATGATGACAGCTTTCTTGGTGGCAACTTTAATCCTGGTAAACGATGCGTGAACACGTGGGACAAAGGTTGCATCAATTGACCAATCAGCGGATCCGGTACGATCATCTTAAGTTAATAATGTTTGTTCAAATACTATGAGTAGGTTTTTATAGGTTTTACCTATGTATGTTTTAGAGCAGGGATTTCCAAACTATTTTGGATAAGAGACCCCTTTACTAAAATGAGGTGATAACTTAGACCCCAATAGCAGAATTACTTTCTGAAGTCCGTTTCAGGCTAGATAAATATTAAATATTTAAAGAAGCATTTCTTTAATAAAGACCTTAATGACGTTCATAATAATTGAACAACCAATAAACGTGACACAATTGTTATTCGCGGCAATTGTGTCGTTTTTCCGTATCATTTATATGTATATTTGTTGCTTCTACTTTTCAGGTAACATCAATGACTTTTTAAATGGTGGATTTACTCCAGGAAAACGTTCTCTGTACAAACTTCTTCAGTAATTTAAAAATATTGATGTTTTATCTACGATGTAACTAAATGCTTTTTTAATCTGTCTCATCACTGATCTAAATAAATAAAATTAATAATAATAATAATAATAAGCCCCCTAAAAATCCAACCACACGTCCTGATCGACCATCTCATCACGTGGGGGGCGGACACACGAAAGAGAAATTACTGGCGTGGCTAACGTGGCACTGGTAGGTAGGAATTAGAGTAGGCAGGCAGTAGAGCGACAAAATAGACGGTTAATTAAATGGGTAGATAGGTGGATAAGTTAATGGATAGGTAGGCTGGTAGACAATAGATAGGTAGTTAAGCAGGTAGGTAGGAATGTAAGGAGGGAAAACCCAAGCCAAGGTGGAACAGAATATGCCAAGGGCTGCGTGGCTAAGGGGGAGCTTAGTCGATAATATTCGAACTCTGAAGAAAGGGGGACCTTCAGTTTAAAGTACCCTTGCCGTGGTGAACGCGGGGCTATGCCGCGGTGGACCGTATGTCCCCAGCTACTCGTGGGAACGAAATGATAAAAAATGCGAAATAAAAACAATAAGTATAATTTAAGGCCGCTACCCGGGGGTCGCCGGAACTCAATTAGAAATAATAATATTAATAACCAAACTGACAGACAGACTGACAATGACAATATTAGCTTAAATTCTTTGACATCGCTATCAGTAACTGAACCATATAGTCCCTCAACTAGCTCGTACAGACCTACACCGGTGTCTTTCGTGGATGAAGATTCACACGAAACACCGAATCCAACCTTAGCTGTTACGCAGGAGGTGAATGCCTTTTTACCTGCGTCCACTAAGAGTGGAAAACCTAGAGTACGCATGAGGTGGAGTAAAGAAGTGAACCTATTCATCATGCGTACGTACTACCAAATCACTAAATTAGAGACAGACATGACAACATATAGGAAACAATTACACGAACTTTTTACACGACACTATCCCGATATCAACGTTACTGAACAACGAATTGCCGATCAAAGAAGAACAATTGTTAGAAATAAACTACTAACCGAGGAAACACTACACATATTAAAAGAAGAAATACGAATGCAACTACATCAAAATGAACACATCTACGAGTATATAGAAAATAATTCGAATCCTCAACTTCACAATACTCAATCAGTAACAACAGCATTACCTACACAGTCACAACCACACACAATCACACAATCTTCACAGATATCCACACAACCTGAGACTATAACTTTAACCCTTGAGAATGATATAGAGATTATGCAAAATGTTAACCCCTCATCAGATAAGATACAAAAAATACAAGACAAATTTAGAACAGCATTAGCGTTATACTCTAAAATGGATCCAATCACTCGACCAAAATTGCCTAAATTAAAATACAGTAGGAAACTTAGTGAATTAACACACTTTTTTAATCATAACATACTACACCAATTTTTATCCGAAGATACACAATTAACAGATATTCATACCTTAATATACTGCACAGCGTTAGTTATAAGTGAAGAACTAAATTATAAAATAATAGATCACCCTAGAAATATACTAAGAAAGAATAGTAAACCTCCATGGCAAATAAGACTAGAAAAAGACATTGAACAACTTAGAGCAGATTGCGGCAGACTTACCCAATATATCAACAACAACAGGTCAAACAAAATAGTTAAGAGAGTAGAACAAATTTTTAGAAGACAAAGCACTCACACTAGACACGAAAATAATAATAGAAAACCCGAAGAATACCTAGACACATTAAAACAAAAATTAGCACTTAAAGTACATCGACTGAAAAGATATAAAAAAGCACAACAGCGTAAAAATGACAACATGTTATTCACCCTCAATGAAAAATCATTTTATAGAAACCTATCGAAACCACAAACTGCTACAACTAGACCCGAAAACATAGACATTCCTACACAGACACAACTTGAAACATTTTGGTCAGGTATTTGGGAAGAACCGGTACAACACAATGATAAAGCAGACTGGATTACAGAAGAAGAAAATAAATGGAATTCAATAGAAGAAATGGAATTTGATTGTATTACAGAAGACGATATTGCACACGTAACAGGTAAACTACACAACTGGAAATTTCCTGGCATAGATAAAATACATAATTACTGGTACAAAAAGATAACATCATTTCACAAACCTATAGCCAAAAACTTAACATATATAATTCTGGGGAAACAGAATATACCTGAATTTATAGGTATGGGTATAACATATATGCTGCCAAAAACCGCACACTCACCACAGCCTTCTCAATACAGACCTATCACATGCTTACCTACTATATATAAAATTCTTACATCAGCAATAGCCCACAAAATTAATATGCACATTGAACACAATCACATAATAGCAGAAGAACAAAAAGGATGCAGGCGGGGACACATGGGATGCAAGGAGCAGCTGATCATAGACTCTACTATCCATAAACATGCTACTACAAAAAACAGAAACTTACACTGCACTTACATAGACTATAAGAAAGCGTTTGACAGCATCCCACATTCTTGGCTTATAAAAATTTTACACATCTATAAAATTAACCCTAAAATCACAGATTTTATGCGCGATATTATGAGCCATTGGAAAACCACATTACATCTAAATATGAATGATAGAACAGTCACGACCCGACAAATCTCTATAAAAAAAGGTATATATCAAGGTGATTCCTTGAGCCCCTTGTGGTTCTGTCTTGCCTTGAATCCCTTGTCTCATTTGCTGCAGCGATGTCAGGCAGGATATCGTCTGAGGAATTCTACAGAAGAAACTATTATTTCTCATCTCATATACATGGACGATATTAAACTATATGCAAAATCCGATAAAGAAATGACAAAACTATTACAAAATACAACAAAGTTTAGTAAAGATATAAATATGGAATTTGGACTGGATAAGTGTAAAACGTTACACATAATCAGAAGGAAAATACGCCCTGGGGACTACGCAGTGGATGAGTCAAGTACGATAGCAGCTATGGAGTCGACAGATTTATACAAATATTTAGGTTATAAACAACTTAAAGGGCTAGATCACACCTCAATCAAACAAATATTAGCTACTGAATATAAAAGTCGAACTAACACTTTATGCAAAACCCAACTTTCTGCTAAAAATCTTATAAAAGCATTAAACACATACGCTATTCCAATATTAACCTACTCATTTGGCATTATAAAATGGACAAAAACTGACATAGAGCAAATAGAACGAACTACACGCACTACATTAACCAAACACAACAACCTACACCCTAAATCCGCCATAGAAAGACTTACTATCAAAAGAGAAAATGGTGGCAGGGGTCTAATAGATATTTATCATCTTTGGCAAAAACAAGTTTATAATCTAAAAACATTCTTTCGCACAAAATCACACACAAGTAACATCCATAAAGCCATAACTCTAAACGACTACAATTTCACACCACTAAACTTAAATGATCACACTGGAATACACAACCCTAATAACATAGACCCACAGGCAGACAAAATAGAAAACTGGAAAAAAAAGGTACTACATGGAAGACACCCTCATGATTTAGAGCAACCCCACATTGATACAATAGCGTCAAATTCATGGCTTAAAATTGGTAACCTATTTCCAGAAACAGAGGGATTTATAATAGCTATACAAGACCAAATAGTTAATACGAAAAATTATAGAAAATATATAATCAAAGATGCAACCGTTACAGATGATAAGTGCCGAAAATGCCACATTCAATCTGAAACCATTCAGCACATTACTGGAGCATGCATTACCCTCACACAAACGGATTACACACATAGACATAACCAAATAACTAACATCATCCACCAAAAATTAGCACTCAAACATCATCTTATACAAAACACAAACACACCTTACTACAATTATACTCCTCAATCTGTATTAGAAAGTAGCTCACACAAACTTTACTACGACCGCGCCATCCTCACAGATAGAACCATCCACTATAACAGACCAGACATAACCCTACAAGACAAAATTAACAAAACCACCTACCTAATTGATATTGCAGTACCGAATACACACAATCTACAGAAAACCATCACAGAAAAAATTAGCAAATACACAGAACTAAAAGAAGAAATAATACGAATCTGGAGACAGGAGAAAGTTTACATAGTACCCATAGTTCTATCTACAACAGGAGTTATACCTAAACATCTTCACCATAGCCTTAAATTAATTAATTTAAATGAATCCGTGTATTTTAACCTACAGAAAGCAGCAATATTGAACACTTGCCGAACAGTCAGAAAGTTCATGGATATTGAAGAGAACGAAACAGCACAACACACACAGCAACCACCATCTACATCTACATAACAAAGGCACACACCTCACTGTATTTACTTGGTTTTGGCCCGTAAATACAGTTGAAACCAGCCTTGAGCTGAGAAAAATTAAGATTACAAAAATAATAATAATAATAACATTTTATTTCATAGTAAAGTTTTACAGTTTCATTACATAGGTTATCATAATAGTTAGTAGTATATGACTTAGGCTATAATCAATTGGAGTGATTGCTGTTCTCCTAGATAGGCAACTAAGTTGCCTGTGTTTAGGAGTTACAGTCCCTCGAGTGCGCATATGGGGGTGAATGTCGTGTGCGTAGCGTGCGTGCGCATGTGTGTGTGTGTGGGTGTGTGTGTGCGTGTACGTGTGTGTGTGCGTGAGTGTATGTGTGTATGAGTGCGTGTGTGTATATGCGTGTGGTTAGGTGTTTGTGGCCTTACTTGGTTTCAATTTTCGTGTTAATAATAATATATATTGTGCTTAACCGTTTAGGAATTGCTCTGTTTCGTCATAATTCAGGTTTTGGAGGTAGGATTTAACAGTCTTTGACAGTAGATGTTTGGGCAAATGATAGATAGGGCACACTGCATTAAGCTTGTTATAAACAGATGGACCAAGGTAGGAAGAAAATCTTTTAAAGAAAGTTGAGCCCGCAGGAGGGATTGAACAAATTCGGTCTTTACGACGTTTGTTAATCGGTAAAAGCGGTGTGAAACGGTGTTGTAATCCTGTTAGGTGTAATAAAAATAAATTGAATCAAATTTTAAAGGAATCTTGCTTTGTATGATTGTATATACTCTTACTGGAACACCACAATTACTATATTACTTCCATATATTATTTAGACCTCAGACGAGGCCTAAATAATATATGGAAATAAAATAATGTTGTTTTCCTGGTGCATCTAGCACCAGGAAGACAACATTACATTTTTAACCTACCTTAAAAGAAAGAGGTTCGTATTCAGCTGTTCTTTTTATATTTGCTACTTCAGAAAGTCGTCTTTTATTGATCAGAGTTGTAAAATTCTTTTTTAATTAAAACTAGTTTCTGCCCTGGGCTACGCCCGTATGTAGGTATGTTGGTTATCGCGGTAAAAAGAGGCCTATGTCCTTCCTCAAGAAACAAACTATCTCCATACTGATTCCCTATTCAAACTTCCACACACTACCGCCTTATCGTTCGACTCCATCGAAGAAATTCTCTAAAGGTTTTCACCTTACATAATTTTGAAGGAATGAAGAAATTAGGTCAGATTTCAACACGATGTAGAGGTATTAAAGTCAGTTATACCTTTTTATTATACTTAATTTATTATTTATTTATATAACTATAGCAAGCAAGGATGCCAATAATACATTTAACCAAATTATACATTAAATAACCCAAAGGTGCAAATAGCGCTAACTGCGTACCCACGCTGAATGACAATGGCTAAACTCTGCACCAGGAACGATCCTGAGTGGGAGTCACCACTCACTTCGTTCAGCCTGCGCCCCAACTCATGAACAAACGCCTTAGCGTCTGTACCCCAACTCCCCAAAGTCCAAAGTCTCCACTGCTATAGGTACGAACCAATACATGGTCTCTAAAGACGCGTAATTTAGCATCTTCCTTACACAAATACACAGGCGTCTTCCGCGGTGGCCGACGGGGAATGGACGGTGCGACACAGGTGACTGGCGGCAACAGTGCTGACGCATGTAGCGTCCCAGATAAGGCACTTTATGGTTAATTATTATAATTTTTAGTAAGATGGAGTTACATCACCTTTCTTGAACCTATAATCGTTTTACCACAGTAGGTACTATACTTTCCATAGACAGACTCGTCATAAGTAATCGTTGACTAACTTAATCACATATATTGTTAGTCATGAATTTGTCACGGAACATCACCTTTTAGACCATATTATTTTTAGTCAATAATTTATTCTTTATTTATTTAATGACAAAATGTATATTTATTATATGAATGTATACTTATTATGTGTATGTATATTACTAAATGTATACTAATTAACATTTAACTTTTGATTTAATAAAATAGAACCATAAATTTATTTATTTTGGATTTATAAGTAAAAGCAAATTTAAATACCATAAAAACTTTATTAGATCCACATAAACGGTGCTGTACGCACAAAGTTCTTACACAAAACGCTATAAAAATAACTTAAAACACTTCTCAGTATACCCACTACAATTATATTCTAAAATCTATATACAGAACAATGAAATAGCTACCGTATTAGTAATTGGACGAAGACAGATGGCAGTAAGGCTAAAGTTGCTTGGCAAGTACATTTAAAGTCTTTAAAATTACTTACTTTAATATTGAACATCTTAAAGTCAAAATTGATAGTTATCTCGAATATCTAGTTAAGGATAAAAAGGCAACTCGTCATAGTCAACCATCTAATGGTTTTTATACGTACTCTAAAAATTTTGTTCGTGTTTTTAAAAAACCGTTAAGAGTTCTCAGAGAGGTAATGAGTTCCAACCTCACTCCTTTAGGTAAGAAGTCGTGAGTGATAATATTTAATATGAACACTTAAATCATTCTTGCGGTATAATATTACTATTTGGCCGATTAGTTACTAATTTCTATTTGATTTCATATTGTCAATTTACCAAAAACTCCATTCACAATCAAGCCAGCAAAACGGTCGGTAAAGAAAAAGATACCTTGTCAATATGAACTGATGACTGATTTAATTAGAATTTTAAACAATCATCAAACAAGTTTTTTGTCATTGACATTGTAGCATCTTGTATGACTGACTCCATTAAAAAACTATTAAATTAATTTAAATTAAACATTAAAAAACTACTATTACAAAGTAATCAGATATATCTAAAAAAGGTAAAATTTTGAGAACTCATTATGTTTTTAAAAATACTGTTGATTAATCAACCTGTGTAAACCGCTAGAAAAGTATTTGTCTAAAGTACACATCAAAATGTGTAAAAACTTTTTCTCTCTTTCTTACAATTCGTCAGAATGATTATGTGAAAAGGGACGGAAGAGTGCCCGCGCTATTTGACTTGACCAATGAGCGCGCGCAATGCTAGAGTTCGCCGTCAGATAGTAGGTAAGATTTCAAATATTACACATCATATTACTGGGCTCACTGTAATACAGGCTCGTTTTTCATAAATCTATCAATTTCAACAAGGTTTTAGCAATTTTACATTTCATAATTACTTTACTCCTAAATATAAATGACAAAAGAACAAACAATTTTATAACTGAAATATCGGCAGCATTATTACATGATTATACATAGAAGGTATCTAATATACAATTAAAATTAAGAAAAATATATCACAAAAGAGGAAATGATAATACAAAGGCAATTTAAAATGATGTTTGTATCCCTAAAAGCGGTGGGCAAAGCATTGTAGGATTACTTAACAATAAGGCAATTTGAAGTATACATGGCAATCAATATTGAAAGTAAAAGTAGTACTTTCTAAAAAAAGAGATCAAAATAAAAAAAAAACATAAAAGTTAACATTATATATCATTCTGATTGACTCATGTTGGCACAAATTGTGTATTTGTGCACATATTTGCATTACATTGTAAAACATTCTGAAATTCATACCAATTTAGGTTTAGTTAAACACAAATCTATCAAGATATCACCATTATATAACTGTCACATAATCCCATTCATTATTGTCACAACAAAATTGAACCTGTTCCACATTTATGTTATCACAGCTATACTTATCATATCAATTGTATCAATCAATTGTTTAACCATTAAGTTTGTTCATGTTCATTTTACAATCGTATAAAACATTTTCTTGTCTTCGTGTCATACATTTTTGCCCTAATAGAGGACAAAAGCACACATTTCCATACTTGACAAATAAATAACAAATAAGTATAAGTACATACTATGAGCTACAGTCTTAAATATTAGTATAAATCTATCTTCATCTCGTCAACTGTCAAAGTCAATAAATTACCTGTACAATTTGCAGAATTTAAATTAATGTTTATTTTTAATTTCATTCATTTAGTTTGTTTGGCCATGCCAATGGTCTTGAGCATACTGTGGCAACTCCATAGGTAACTTATTATACCCAGTGTTCAGACTTGGGCCAGGATTATTAGAAGTATTTTTATGAGTATTGGCTTGTCTAAACTTAGTCGAATATTTGTAAAAATCAGACATTTCGAAAGGCTTAGTTTCTTCCCTATATGGTATACACTTCCCTTGTTCAATGACAGTCAAATTTTTAGGAGATTCCAAAGAAACTGCTCCAGGTGATAAAACAGGTGGACTCTGCGGCATCTGATTGGGGCTCTGCATCGCTGAATGGCGGCCTGATGAAATCATTATTTCATAAGCTTGAGAGTTACCTATGCTAGATGTTCTTTTTAAGCTTGAACTCTTTTTTAAAAGAGGCGCTTCAGATTTTGTTGGTGAATCAAGTGAAGTCTCATACCACAGTTTCTCTTTTACTTTCAAGTCAGTTTGAGAGAGTGGTGAGAATTTACCCAAGCCTGTAGGGTCATAATTATAAGCAGCAGACTTTGTGCTGACTGGTGTCAGAGGATCAGGATAATGCCTCCTATCATCTCTGATATAGTCATCGGTTGAAACTTGCAACTGCATATGCATTGGATTTCTTATTGTATTATGTTCTCGTAAAGGTAGTGTATTTGGAACTGGAATAACCCTTTCAACTGGTAAATGGGGTTGTTCCTGAATATCTGGTTGAGACCGATGTTGGTACACAAGCATTGGCAGCTCGTGTTTCATGTTTTCTAAATGCAACTGATTATAGTCACTATGAGACGTCAAATGATATGTTTGTGTTCTTTGCAAGGTATTTCGACGGACTCCTTCTGGACGCCGTTTTGACTGCACTGGATGCTGATGAGCGAGTCCAGCCAAGTGTTGGCTTTGAGCTTTTAAGTGTGAAGCATATTGATATAACAATGGAGTGTTACGCATGCCATTTTGTACTGGATGGGGTGCCATGCTTCCATGTGTATAATGTGTGGTAATGTCTGGATGACTTGAACTAAAGTGTGTCTCTCGTAACCGGGATGCGTTGTGGGCTTCAGCAGTGTTGTTACAGTATAATTTGTTCATATAATCTGTGGTCATGGTGTGGTGTCTATAAATAGGGCCCTGTTGCAAGTCATTTTGAATATTTTCATTTATTGCATCATGTCTTCCTGACAGAGTTGGATATGTGTGAGAGGTATGGATTGAAAATGTATCAGTGTTGCGTTCTTGTGGGGGCGAAGGAAAAAAATTAGAGCAGCTGGTTTCTGGCCGACGGGTGTGTCTCGAGTGTGCACTTTTTGATGACACTCCCGATATTGAAGGAGTTGACAATCTATGTGATAAATTTTTACGCAAATTCGCATCTAGGTCATGCATGCGATCGCCTGCTGTGGTTCTAAAGCGCCTCGATGAATTATCTGATCCATCTTGTACATCGTTACCTTCGGTTGACCTGTCAACACTCTTGATACTGCCTAATCTTTCTCTTTGCGGTACTTCAGGACTTAAAGGCGCTTCTGGGGGCATAATACCAGTTAATTGGACCTCTTGCACGCATAGTTTGTAGAGCTCTTCATTTTTAGCTGCAAGCATCAGCTCTAGTTCTTTCTTTCGGGCTTGCAGCTTTAGCATTTTGTCCTGCTTATCAGAATGCAAATCGCTACCCATTGTGCTGGTACCCATGTTACTAACGTAATTTAATACACACACAACATGAGTCGAAAGAATAAATACACAAAAAAGTCAATGGTCACCATAAAATAAACAAAGAAAATTATAAATTCTTGATCGTTGACACATTTATCACACGCACATCCGCACCCATGTTTGTTTGGTAAAAAGAAAAAGTCGCGTTCAAGTTTAAATTTGCCTTATGGTTTTTGAATGTCGTTTGTCAGATAATATTATCCTTTTCTTCATAATATCTTCAAATCCTCCTAAATTAAATTTATTCTTCTTTTTCTAAAAAAAATAAACTCTTTGGAATAAATATTTAGGCACTTATTATACTGCGATTGGTATCATCACTGTAAGTGCTTACCATCAGAAAAAATGTTGTTCTGTGATAAGTGTTGAATAAGCGTAGGTTAGACGCTATTTAACGTTAAATTTATTATTTTTTTAATAATTATGTAGGGAATGGTAGCTATTTATAATAAAATAATTACTAGATTTCCTGGTAAAAATGTGAAATAGGGTCTTTATGCATCGTATGAAATCAGCTTTTTGGCGACAACGCGTGAGTAAGTAGTAACCCTAACCTACGATACCTAAATCACCTGTCTTACAGTTCACTGTGATTTTGTCCCATGACCACTGTTGAACGATAATCTTGATTCAGAATCATAAAGTAAAATAATTTTGTCCTTTTAATTATAGACTATTGACTTAATTTGTTCAGACTCCTACAATGGAGCTTATAAAATAAATAACAAATCTGGAATAAATGGCAGATGACAGACACTGACTGACAGCTGTCGTCTTTCATTTAATTCCACCAGGAAGGTCCGTTCGGCGTACCTGTTCTTGACCAATAAAAATGGTCATGTAAATTACCAGTAAATTATTAGTGCAGTAACTACCTACCTACCTTGCCATTCCACCCCTAATTCTCCAGCAACCTAAAAATCAAACAAAATGAGTAAAATATATAAAGGAATAATTTCTGTCGCTGACAAATTCGTACCCAATAAATTCCGACCACTATGGGAGCATCCAGCTGGTAAGATCAATATACCTCAAACTACATAAGATCTAATTAAAAAAGACAATTTTGAATGGTTTTTTTTTGTTGTAGGCCCTAAAACTATATTCTTCTGGGCTCCCGCATTCAAATGGGTAAGTAACGCGGACGTATAATTTCAAGGCCAACTATTTATATTTCAAAGACCTTGGTTAAGGGCAAGTAGGATGTGCATTATAAACGATACGAATAACGTTGTATTACTTTAATTTCAACCAAATATTTACTTGTATACGATCATGATTTCTAAGTACTTCACTGATCGCAATACGTAATAAAATTTCTGCGTAGGTATAGTTACCAGCACGGATCTTGTGCGCTCGGCGGTAGAGTGGGGATCGCTTTGCGAATCGGGTACTTACGGTAAAAGAAAATTCACACCCATTTTTTTTTTTTTTTTTAATTAGAATAGAATAAAAATAGATCAAAACCATGAGACGGTAGTAAAGTTACTTCGTAAGTTCTTATTAGTTCTACCGTAAGAGAAAATAGTTTTGATTAAAGTTTTAATAAAAAAACGTATAAGTACCTTTGTATTTTTGTTTAAGAAATACTTTCCCTATAAATTTATTAGGGTGTAATAGGAATGATCAAATTACCAAATCACTTTCTTATATATGAAGCTGGTACTTGTATGGTGAACCTTTCTTCATCGACTTTATCGTTGTATCGTGTTATAGATACACTCAATCACTCAACTCAATTTTACTCCCAAAACATTGAATTGATGAATAGCGAAAGAAGAAATGATTAAATTGTTAGTTAAAAAAGAAAGACCCTATTAATTTGTTTGGAAGCGTACTCGTCGAACGTACGTATGTACGTAAGTACAAGGACACGAATCAGGAGCAGCAACAATATCGGTGAGCCAATCACTGGCTGACGTTATGATTTAATTGCCTTCTGTCCTACTTCATACCTCCAAAGGGACCCAAAAATGAACTTCAGCGCAGGTGGAGCTCAGCGCTCAAGATCGGTGCCGGTAACTATAATACAGAATTCATTAAAATATTGTAAAGTAATTATGTCAACCTGAACAACAAAATGAAACTTATAATATTTCCTAGTTATAGTTTAGGCCATCTGGCCAGCGTTGTATAGTAGGCCAAAACCTCCTTTCTAAGGAGAGGCCTATGTCCAGCAGTGGACTAGTAAAGGCTGTTGATCATGATAATAGTTTAGGCATGTGCAAACATAGTTATAAAGATACTAAACCATAATCAACACTAATTGCAAGATGCTTAATTATTGGTGCATGATAGTTGTAATGGGAAATATTCATGATAATCATAAATGATTTTAAATGATTGATATTGTCAGTTACAAAGTACCATATTAAAAATATGAAGCTAGTCTATGCTTACTCCAAAATGTGTTTAGTTTACTTACTAGTACTAGTAAAGAACTATGAGCAGGAGAGCTGGATGCTGGCCATCCAGATAAATGAAAATTTATTTATGGAGATAAGCATCAGTTATGTTGATTTGATTTTCTTTATTCATAAATCATGAATATTATATTTGGAAATGGGTTGGAAAGAAAAAAGCGTGTTAAGTAGTCACACAATATTGTCAACAGTGGTGAGAGTTCATAAAACACCTAAATACAAAAGTGAAGTGATATTTTTTCAGGATGTTATATTTTAACTTACATTTGCTAAGCCACGATTGATGCAGTTATCAGGCAAAAGCAGTTGAAATAGCCAGGATCCAATTGAGAATTAGGATAGATTAGGCAAATTTCACGGAATTGCATGGAACTGGTCATAAGTGTGTGTTATTATATGTGTTTTGGTGTTTGGTCCTCTCAGAACTCATCTATTTTACTGTATAAAAATAACTGATTTTGTGTTTTTCAATTCCGTTTATAATATTTATTTTCACAAAATATATATTCAAAACTAAAAAAAAGAAAGGTTTTTTTAGATCTTCAACCTAAACAACACTCCACACATGTTGTTTCATTTAGGATATTCTGCAAAATATCGACATCTTAGACTTAGGCCCGTATTTTAAAAGACGTTTCAAGCAACGGTTGAACTCTGATTGCCTGAAACTAGTTTTAAATGCAGATCAGAACTCAAGTATCGATCTTATTATAGAAAGCGTTTAAGGTTTTACTTAGTTGAAACTACTTTGAAGTATTGATTTGAACTTACAGTCTGTTCTCAATTACGTTTCCGCACGATCTTCATTATTATTCCGTATTACGCAGTTATTTAAAAAAAAAAAAAACTTTTACAAACATCATTTCTGTGAATTTGTTTATAGTATACTATTTGCCAGTGTACTAATGTACGGGCACGCCGTCATTGCGGCGGTAAGACCCGTTATGGAGGATTGGCTCGAGAGGCGTCATGGGACCCTCTCATACCGATTGACGCAGGTGATCACTGGGAAGGGATGTTTCGGAGATCACCTGTGTCTGATCCGCAAGGAGCCAACGCCTGAGTGCCACCACTGCGATGGCCAGACCGTGGACACGGCTCTCCACACGCTGGCAGAGTGCCCGGCGTGGGTTGAGCAGAGGCGAGACCTCGTGGCGGCCATCGGAGTGGGAGTTCTCTCGCTCGATAGCCTGATTGCGGCTATCGTGCGGAGCGAGAGTGCGTGGAACTCTGCCGTCTCCTTCTGCGAGCAAGTTATGCTCGCGAAGGAGACGGCGGAGCAGGACCGGGAGAGGTTTAGAACTCTCCCGGCCCGCCAGGCCCGGGCACGGGCCAGGCAGCGCAGGCGACTCAGGCGCCGGAGGTCGCAGAACGACCTCCGTCCTCCATAAGCGCAGGCCTGGGGGTGACAGGTGAGGCCATCTGTCACCCTAGCAGAAGCAGGCCGGGGTGACGGCGAGCGCGTTGTGAAGCGCGCTCGCTTCCAGGGAGCACAGGGAACATGGGGTTCCCACACGGGGGGGGGGTCGTCTACTCGTCTGTAGATGACCCGAGGTATGTCGGGGCACCAGGGACTTCCTTTCTAGGGTATACCTGGTTCCCCGGCTATTAGTACCCGCCGAAGGCGTGCGGTTTTAGTCGCTTCGAGTCCGACATGCCACCGACAGGTGGTATCCGAGGGGATTTCCGCACGGAAAAAAAAAGAAAAAAGTGTACTAATGTAAACATATTAGCAAGGTTGTTGTTCGTCCAATATTAAATATAATAAATAATAAAATAAAAATGACTAGTTGTCAGCTATGCAGAACGTTCAAGTTATTTATCAACTCTGTTCATTTTGAATTGTCAAACAATGTTTCTATTTTTATATTTCATTAATTTCTATTTCTAGAATAATGTTACACTTTAAACATAAACCAAAAGGATGTGGTGATTTAAATTTAAACAAGTATTGTGTGTGTAAAATGTGAATTTAATTTTAATTACGGTAAATAAAAGTGAATTGATGATGTTATTCTTTCGTAAATAAAGTAAAGTAAATCTTCCAAAATGTCCTAGTAAATCACCGCTTGAGACTAGTTTCAGCATATCTAACGTAAACGAAGATCACATCTGTCAAAATCGATACCTGAGTAAAGATTTCAACTTAGACATCGTTCTAAAATATCTTATCACTTATCACTCACTTTAGTATGGATCGGTGAATCTCGTTTTAAGTGACTCTCTAAAATCTCGGAAATCTGTACTTAAAATTAGTTTTAAGACTAGATTCACGGCTGAGACACCTTTTAAAATACGGGTCTTAGTCAGCATAATCTAAATAGGTCACACATTGTCAGGTCAGGATGCTATTTGTGTTTCACACTAACAACAACTCTCGAAAATGGTGATACATATCAAATGGTTATATTTAAAGAGAAACTTTTTAGTATTGTGACTTTTTGGACAATTTCGGAATTTTTTAAATAAAATCTGAGAAATCGATTAAGGCAGTAGTACCTACTTGTAGAACTCGCGTTACTGTGGGAAACCAACATCCTTAAAACAACGCTTAAAAAACGAATAAGTACTTTGACTTAACCAACGAAATAACTAGAAGAACTTCGTTGTGTTGTACGCCATAGATATGGGTGCGAGGGGTATCTACCTATATATTAATACGTGAAGCGAAAACATTGCACCTCTTTTTAATAAAATTGACTGCCTCAGTGGTAGCGTATGTGACTGCTGTGCTGGGGTCTCGGGTGTGATTCTCGGATCGTACCAAATGTTTGCATGATCTGCAAATATTTGTTGCAGAGTTTGAGGGTTTTCTATGTATAATATATACCTATGTATTTAAAAAAAGTATTTAAGTATTCTGTCAGTCAATATAGCTTTCATAGCACAAGCTCTGCTCAGAACTAGTATGATGTTGTGTGTTAGATGTTCGCAAAAAAAAACGGATGAACGTGAAATTTGACACAGTTAAAGTTTATATGGAGAAGAAGTGCATAAAGCTATTTTTTTATATAAAATGCATTAGAATGATGAAACCTTTGACAGATGTCTTTGACAAAAGAACCCTAATAAAGTTCATACTTTAAATTTAAATGAATCGATGGTCGACTTTCGACTGCTGGACGACCATTAGTACCAGACAAATTCCTCTATAATCTGCTTAAAGACTTGGATTGCTAAGTTTCTTGAACGAATATTCAAAGCGGCATTGTTATAATTATTATAAATACAGCCTTGGCCAAAAGTATTGGCACCCTACATTTTACTTAAAATAAAGGAAAAAAACAACATATTTTTTGAATTGATTTATTACCATTAAATTACACAAAAAAGAATGAAAAAAACTCAAAATCTAGTCGGTCCACCTTTGGATTTAATTACTGCACTAGTTCTAGCTGGCATGCTGCGTACAAGCTTAATACAATCCTCCCTTGTAAGGGCATGCCGTTCTTGTATTGTGCATTTTTTAATGCCGTTTTCGATGTGATACTATGCTCTTTAATCTTGCGCTTCAAAATGCTCCAAAGATGTTCAATTGGGTTCAAATCTGGTGACTGCGCTGGCCAATCAAACAAGTCAATGTTGTTTTCAGTAAACCAACGCATCGTACGAGGGGTGATCAATAAGTAATGATAATCGAGTATTTCTAGAACGCACAAAAACCCAATTTATTTTTTTTCTGCTTGCTTATATATCCACTACTTCAGCTTCAAAAAAATGTATAAATAGGACACCATTACCGGGAGATACATTCATTTGAATACGAACTGTCGAAGAGAAAACATCAAAATGGAGAAAAATGAAATAAGAGCTGTCATCAAGTACCTCTGCCTGAAAAAAATGTCTACCAAAGACATACACAGCGACTTAGAGGAAACATTGGGGGAGTCTGCTCCTCCATATTCCACAGTCGCACGCTGGGCAAAGGAATTTAAGCTGGGCAGAACCTCCACTGAAGATGAACATCGCGAGGGACGCCCTTCCACGTCCCTTACTGGAGAAAACGTCAAAAAAGTGGAAGATATCGTGTTGGCCGATCGAAGGGTGACCGTAAGGCATGTAGCTGAGGTCACAGGGATCTCCTATGGCAGCGTTCAAAAAATCATTGTCAACAAAATGCATATGAAAAAGGTCTCTGCGCGTTGGGTACCGAGAATGTTAACCGACGAGCAAAAAAAGAAACGAGTCGACATTTCGAGGGTGAATCTTCAAAAGTTCCAGGCCGATAAAGAATTTTTTTTGTCGCGTTTTGTGACCATGGACGAGACCTGGATCCACCACTTTGATCCCGAAACCAAACAACAATCAATGACTTGGAAACGAGCTTCCTCACCAATGCCGAAGAAATTCAAAGTGTCAAGTTCAGCGGGAAAGATTATGGCGTCTGTTTTCTGGGATGTAGAAGGAATTATTATGGTGGAATATTTGGAAAAGGGGGCCACTATAACAGGCTCTTACTACGCAGGCCAAATAAGAAGATTGCGAGAAGCTATTAAGTCAAAAAGACGCGGTAAACTGCGCGCTGGAGTGCTGTTTCACCAAGACAACGCCCCGGCTCACAAAGCCGCAGTTGCGATGGCTGCCATTGAAGAAACGGGGTTCGAACTGCTCGAACACCCTCCCTATTCGCCAGATCTAGCTCCCAGTGACTTCTACCTCTTTCCTCGGCTCAAAGAACACCTCCGGGGCACAAATTTGAGGACAATAGTGAAGTGATGGCCGCAGTAGAGGCATTTTGGGAGGGTCAAGACAAAGAATTTTTTTCTAAGGGAATCATGGGCTTAGAAAAAAGATACACTAAATGTATTAACTTGCAAGGAGACTATGTTGAAAAATAAAATACTTTTTTTAATCTAATAGTTCTGTTTCATATTGATTATCATTACTTATTGATCACCCCTCGTAGTCGCTGACTTATGACAAGGTGCATTGTCTTGCTGGAATATAACTCTCGTTAGCGAAGGCATAAGCGCAGTTTTAAGCACTTTTATGTACTTTTCGCTGTTCATACGACCTTCGCAAACTAACATTTCGCCAACCCCATCAGTAGCCATGCAGCCCCAGATCGTTATGCTGCCTCCTCCATGCTTTACTGTCGGTACGACGCAATCTGGATGGTATTCTTCGCCCACACGTCGCCTCACGAAGGTCACACCTGGCGTTCCGAATATCTGTTGAAAATAGAAAAAAAAACACCTTTTTTGATGTTTTCTTCGGATCTTTGATAGATTCGCGTATTAATTTTCTATCCTCGCGCTTCGAAGTCACACGTTTTCTGCCTGTTCTTGGTTTATTAGCGTGACTGCCAGTCTCAGCAAACCGTTTGATAGCAGATTGCACAGCGCAACGCGAACATTTCACTAATTTAGCAATTTCTTTTTGCGACTTCCCTTGTTCATGGAAAAGTTGTATTTTTACTCGGTTTTCCAAACTAATTTCACTTCTTTTCGGCATTTTTAAATAAATTACGCGTCAATTTAATCACTATGTTAGAAATAAAAGCTTGTTTACTCGTTAGAGTCCTGAACACAAGTGACCAAACATTGACTGATAAGTACGCATAAAAACAAATCCTTTGTTTTCAGTCACCAGGTGTTTTATGACCATAACAGATAGCTGCTTGCTTTTCTAGGAAGTTATTTGTGACCCCGGCATGCCATCTAAGATAAGCATTTATTTATTGTTCAATCAGTAAACATGAATTGTGCATTTTTCTGGGGTGCCTAATACTTTTGGCCAAGGCTGTAGGGTTAGGTAAAGGGTATCACAGCAGACAGTGAAGGAGTACGCCTCGCAAGGAGTATTCCCTAAACCTACTCCTAAGTAGCAAGTCAAAGGCGCTGTCGCAGTCGCATATGTTGCCCCCGTCTATCACGCGATGGATCCGGAAATCGCACGGTGAATCCATGGATAGTATACATATCTAAATCTTCTAAAAACATAAACTTCTTATTCATATCTAAGAAAAGAAGACGTGGCACCATAGAGCAACACCAGTCCGCCGGTGGCCTGTGTTGCTCTATGCGTGGCACGGACAGTCTGACCGCAAAGTTGTTGGCCTCTTTTTTTCAATAAGTAGAATTAATACTAGTTACTGTTAAAAATAACCCTCACTTTCAGGGATTGGTGATAGCTGGTTTGGGTGATTTAAAACGTCCAGCTGATAGACTGTCCATTCCCCAGTCAGTTTCCCTAGCATTAACTGGCTTAATTTGGTCTCGATACTCGCTCGTCATAACACCAGTGAATTATAGTCTATTTGCTGTTAATGTTTTTGTAGCGCTTTCGGCTATATACCAATTAGCTCGAGCTTATAATTACCAATTAGAATTACAAAAAGAAAAAGAAAAAAAGAAATGAGAAGATAATAGAAAATAAAATTTCACCTAAACCATAACAGGAAAAAAAATGCAAAAACCATAACAAGAAAAAAATGCAAATAAAAACAAAACGAAAAAAAAAATGCAGAAATGTAAGCATAAAATAAAATAAACCGTGATAGGTAGTACGTAGGTAGGTAAGATGTATGTTTGTGTTGGTTTTTTTTCTTATTTTGAAAATGGTAGGTACACTAAAAATGAAAATGCAATTAAATCAAAAAGTTTTCAATTGTGCCTGTAGAATTAAAGCATTTTCAGTTTTGGTCAAAACTTGTATTTAATCAATTCGTACGTAATATTTCTGTCCTTTTAAACAAAATTGTTAAAATTGTGGTTTCGAATTAATATTATGCATGTTTATGCAAATAAATCGTCGTTAAACCAATTTTAATTTCCCGCTTAGTTAAAAGGTTGAAAAATATTTATTGCGAGTCAAATAACAATTAAAAAGAATTAATGAAATTGGCTCTAAATTGCCGAGCCGTAGCTATCGGTTCTAATTCAAACGTAGAGGAGAGTGAGCTTAGCCTTACTCAACACTAACTAGCCTAAGCTCAGTAAATTAATCAAGGTTTTTTAATATAATAAATGAATTCCACATATGTAACGAAAGAAACATGACATGAAGAAACGGTAGGAGTTTCATTCATATCATGTCTCTTACGAAATATTAATCAGTTTCATAATAAGATTTCTGCATTGATTTCGTATAGTTTCTTAAAATGCATACGACCACGATACATCATATAATGTGATCACACAGCAAACGCCAAATTAAGTTTGTACTAACTTATTTATATTTTTCTGACTACTACTACTCGTCTTAATTTTATATTCCGCGACAGTAGGTCAACGGCGTTGCACATTCTCCTTTGTTAAAATATTATTATACAAATGCCTCGCGAGGCTAATCGCTCTGTGTGGACCCGCCTATTTGTACTTAATCGGTACTCATTCAACTTTTTTTTTTTTCTGTATATAACTCAGGAAGTATTAACACATAATTTACAGGTAAATAACTTAATTTCTTCTTAATTCTAGTAGTTTAGTATTTTACGTATTTAATCTTTGTTGATTATATAGATACTTACTGTAGATACTTTAAGATACATACTTATATATTTATTATGATACCTACTTAACCCATATCCAAATTATCGCTTTCTATTTCTATTCAGACTCCATAGGCGTTCATTCGTGGTTAAACTCATTCATTTCTCCCCAACTGTCTCATACAAAAACTTCTATGTTAAAATATGTAATTCATTCAAATGAGTTTATTGAGTCGTTTTTTCTACTCGAAAGAAATTCAATAACGTGGTATCGTACACCTATTGTTTTATCAACAATTGAAGTAATTAGGAAGGCGCGTGACATAACAAGATCGTAATTAATGTAATGGTTATTAAATTTAAGTTCCATTCTCTTTACGGGTATAGTTGAAACCTGTGAGAAATACTTAACCTGAAGAATAAACCAGCTGCTGTCGACGACATCAACTAATTTAATATAAATTAGTTCTTAGTCGGTGACATTTATTAACAATGAGCCACTTCAGAGTTTTTGTCGTTTCATGTCGCATTGTAGGACGTGACAACACATTAAAAATTTCGGCCTTGAGCTGCTCTTTTTTTAAAAAGACAATTCTATCTCGATTTTCGATCTGTAGAGGGATAATATATACAACAAATTTAAAATTCGGCCTTGAGCTGTCTGCTACAATATTTGTTTCTTTCTTTTTCTTTCTTTTTTAAAAGACTACTCTAACTCGATATTCGATCTGTAGAGGGATAATATATACAAAAAAATATTGTATAGGCTCAATATTTCTACTTTGAGAACGTTAAAATTTTAGTAAACGGATGTTAAGAAACAAAAGTCGAGTCACGAAAGTCTTCGACTTACCCGAGATTAGACTTACAGAAGTTCTACTGTATTTACATACAAATGCATTCATAAGGTATCTGTGTTTATTTGTACCAATACCTATGACATCAAATGCTTTATGCATTCCACACCTTCAAACACTACATGCCTTAACTTTCTGTACAAGCTGGAAAAATGTTTAGATACATTTTTTGTCTATCTCTTATATACTCGTAAACCAGAATTCTCAATATGTATATTTTTTATTTCAAAACACAAAATCACTTACAATATATGTGTTTATTCTCAAAATAACATGTCATTAGAACCTTAGTTTTGTGTTTGTATATGTTTATGGTTCGTGTCGAAACTGGTGTTTACCACAACAGTCTTGGCCCTGATACCTTGTATCGTTCACTTTCAGGGATTGGTGATGGCTGGGTTGGGTGACTTGACACGCCCTGTCGAGAGTTTATCAATACCTCAGTCCGCGTCCCTTGCAGCAACCGGACTTGTATGGTCCCGATATTCCCTCGTCATTATTCCTAAAAATCATAGCCTCTTTGCTGTCAACGTATTCGTAGCTATCAGTAGTTTCTACCAGCTGGGTCGAGCTTACAAATACCAACTAAGCCTGAAAAAGAAAGAAAGTCAGCAATAGAACTATCTTTTCCATATTTTTTAGATTGGTAATTTATAAGGAAAATTGATAGCCAGCCAATAAATGATTGATGACGTTAAGTCAACGTAATTAGTTCTATTTTTTATTGCATTATTAAGTAGATTCATAGTTTTCATCTTAATTGTTGACAAGAGTAATATGTATATTTATTTATTTTAGACGAGATAAATTATAGAAGATAGTATACAAATAGAAAACATTTTGGGGAAGGGAAAAATTTGTTATAACTACGTAGGCAGGTTATTACGTAAAAGTCAAAAAACGTTTTACAAGCCTGCATGATATACAATATAGTCTTTAATATTTAGAAATTTATAAATAATTTATTGGATTCTATGAAAACAGTGAAAATTTATAAGCACTATTATGATGATATTCAAGTGCAAATAAATCTTAAAAAACAGACAAACCTTATCTTGGCATGTTTATGATTTATTATTTATCTTTGATCAAGAAATAGAAATGCCAATCAGATTTCTGTTCACACGTAAATATGAAAAGCCAGATAATTTGACTATTGTAAGTACTTCACGATATCTCTATGGCCTCATAAAAGATTTACGTAAATTGTCTGTACTCAGGGTTACTTGTGATAACGGGACTATCGTGTTTTATGTGGCTGTAATAATACCTCTACAGCTGTCTACCCCAGTTTTAAAATAAAAAGAGCAATATGATAAACCAACACCAAAACATGTGATGTAATGCAAAAATAATAAAAATTTAAATGGTATTTTAATAAACAAAGCTTGAAACAAAAGATACGCCGTAATAACTATGATCATTCAATCATAGATTATCACAATGACGTTAAATGTAGTACCAACTCATGCTTGTTCTTTGCACAAAACTTGCAATGATACGTAAAAGTAAATAATTACTGATTCTGTAGGTATGTGTAACGTTTGCTATAATCTAAGTTGTTTATATCAGAAAGTCGTATATATAAACTGTTCGTAAATTATCCCTGTGTTGAAAATAATTTTAATGTTCGTAATTCTGCTATATATAACTAATCTAAGATACAATGGCGATTGAATGTTATCTTCAACTGTGATATTTGTTACGCAATCGTGGTTGTTGTTGCCTGTTACCCCATTGTATTGTTGTTAATATATTTTATCGTTTATAAAAAGCAAGGGCATTAAATGTTTTTGTAAAAATATATGTCTATTTTTGTACATCTCTTTTTGGTGAAAATATACAGTTTACATTTCAAATGTTTTCTTTTACTTTCATCTCATAACTATTACGTTACTAATACCTTTTCTATGGAGTCGGATGGGGTGTTGCATGAGAGTGATACAATTGTCAATTTGTCACAGGTGTACTAATACTAATTCATAGCACACGCTTATTTTTGTCATTTTTGATGTCTAACATCTTTTATCTCGTTTTCTTGCAATCTATGGGAGTAATTTCGGAAAAAGGGACGGCAGTATGTAACAGGACGCCGAGGCAACACGATTGATTTGACCAATGACCGCGTACGGTGCTAGAGTTGGCCGTCAGATTGTATCTAGGTGAGGTGTCAGATGTAACACATCAAAGCTCGTTTTTTTATTTTTCTAGGCTTTACTTATAATCTAGAAGTTAGAAGAGTGAAATGTAACGGTCGAATGTTTGCACCGCCTATTTTGTTTTAACCCACAATAAAGCACAACGGTGCTGTTTTTCATACTTTTCGCATTCTACTGGTTTGTGTCACCATATGTATAGCTGAATACGAATTAGTTGCCTTAACAAACATATTTTTATCAAAAACGGGTTTTAAGTAACCTATAAGTTAGTATAAAATATTTGCATGTCGAAATGAGTGGCATATCAGATAGAGATTATAATTATAGAGCCTGCTGATCCCGGTATAAGGGTGTACAAAGGGTTAGATGATTATATTTTTTGCATGCATTTTGCTTAGTGTTCTAAATGCAACTGTTTGCAGGTAAGTATTTTTTTAAAAGTGGTAGTGGAGTAGTATCCTTTAAAATAATCGCTATAATCAATTTTTTGCATAATTTATCATCTAATGTTATTAGTATCTCAATGCGTATACATCCTTGTATATGTAGGTAAGTCAATGATGGGTTCTTTCAATGTGTATACTATATTTAGTAGGAATACATATATAGTTTGTATTTTTATTGAAATAATTTAGTTGAAACGCACGTTTACTGGTAAAGAATGGCTTAAGGTACTTAATCCCGCTTAAATAGTAGCAGTTGTGCATAAAGTTAAAATAAGTAAATCACACTTTAACAGTTCATGAGGTATAAATAATCGCAATGCTTGGAGGGGATCAAGAATACGAGCCCTGGCTTGATGGCCAGCGCTCGTTCGTCTTCTAGGACTTACTAATCATGTGTTGCGCAATATACTTCCAGGCCCTTGTCCTGACGTCGTTAGACAGCTTCAGTCGCCCACTGGAAGTGGTGTCCACCTCGCAGTCAGCTACGCTTGCTGCAACGGGCTTAGTTTGGACGAGATACTGCTTGGTTATAACACCTATAAATTATTCCCTTGCGTTATGCAACTTCATGTTGGGTGTGGCAAATAGCGTACAAACCATGCGCGCTTATAATTTTCATGCAAAAAAAGCTATCGCTTAAGAAGCTTATATTTTATCTTTAATAATTATTCTCATTATTTTTCCTTTTCTTATTTTTAATATATGTTTTGGATATTAGATAATTTACAGGCTCGAAACAATTTAAATTTGCAAAATGGTTTTCGCTACAATAAAAAAAATCCTCTTAACTGTAGCTTATGGTATTATGACAGTTCTATTTATATTGAGAACATTGTGTCTATAACTTACTAATAAATGGCATGGTTTTTTTTACACTTTTTACCATGTTCTGTTGTGTTCTAATTTTGATGTGCACATCTATACATAGTTACAATCTTTGATATTCTTGCCTGGTATATTAATTTATGTAAATTACCTAGTTACTAATCCGAGACAACCACTACTGTTATTTCTTGTTAGCACTGTATTATTTGTTTATTCTGTTCCTAACTTCACGTTAAATATGATTTTATTAACTTATAGGTATTTTCCTAACTAAATATATCCTAGCTAAGCAGATTTTTTTTTGTCATATCTCGAAATAATGAAATCATATTTCACTCCAGACCAAAAATTAATAATTCGATATAGATTTAAAAACAAAAATTACGTAGTGAAGTCAATGGTGCCTCATTTTTTTTTCATCATAGGAAGACGTGTTTTTTATTAATTGGCCTAAATGTAAAACGTACGTACTTTTTACATTTAGGCCAATTTCCGAAATATGACATTTCCGATTTCTGCTGTCAATATGTCTATCATTATTATTATTATCAACGATCTAATATCTATTGCAAAGATACTGTTGTCACACCAATAAATTTGGATATAAAATGTTTCCTCTACTCCGCTTACAGTGCCATTATTAGGGCTCAAATAACGTTTTTAATAATAGTGCTAGACTAGACTATATTTTAATCAATTTTATCATTGACTTATGAATAACGAGTTTCTTGGAGGTCATCGTTAAATGTCTAGTAATGCAATAAGATTTTATTCTTATTATCTAAGACTATATGTATATAATACATTTCAAACTAGTAAGTACATATATCTGAATTTCAAATATAATCTCACTTTTTTAACTTTTACACTTTTTATGTTCCATTCTTTTTATTTAAGTAGCTCGAATCTAACCTTAATTTTATTTTCTTTATAGTAATATCGATTTTAAACAAAACTAACTTCCTACCCTTTTGTAGATTTTACATTATTTATTATTTGTTTTTAATAACTCATTGTTTATTAGTTTATACTTTTTACTGGTATATACCTCTGTACAATTAATACATACAAACTGGCTGTAATTTATATAATTGTTTATAAGATCTTACTAATACCTCTTAGGTGCTATAATGTAGGCAGTTGTGTTGTTATAAGTATGTACTATGATATATTAATATTCAACTTCTTGTATTTCTGTTGTATGCCTTCCTATAGTTGTATTTAATGTAGTTCTAGTATGTAAACGCATGCTTGCATGATTAAATTTTAGCAGCGAGAGATGATAAAAGCTGTAAATGTTCTTTTACACACATTATACATTACTAACATTAGAATTGTCACGTGTGGGCTGCAACTGTTTTCTATCTCCCTGCTTGGAGCTTTTTTTATCCAGTAATATATATATAATAATGTACCACACACACGGCCGTCTGATTCCAAACCAGGCAGAGCCTGCATTATGAAAACCAGACTTTCAATAAACATTCTAAATACTAAAGATAAATAACACCCAGATACAAAACAAATTACTGTGGTCATCACCTATCTATTTTTTTTAGCTGGGAATCAAATTTACGACCCCTTACTCATAGTCAGTATCACTAATCACTTAACAGTTCGTCAATTGATGGTATAGAGCGACAATGCAGTCAGTTACCAGCAACCAGCTAAGACGATTGCAGAACTTGTCGCTATCATACCAAACAACATAAACAAAACTTTTACAATATAAAAAAGCAAACGCTCAAGTTCAAATATCTTTGAATATGAATAAATTAACACCATAGTGAGATAATTTACTTTGTCTATTTTAGCATTTACTTATTTAACAAAAGCTTTAGAATGCGTATCAAACCGACTGCTTAAAATAGAGTCAGTTGGTAAAGTTTGATGGTAGTGCCAGTCCCCTGACTATCATAAATTCACATAAGTTTTTTTTCCTGCGCCTGGTGATCAGTCTGTACTCACGAACTAAATAAGAACACAAGCATTTTTTATCAACTTATGCAATTAAAATTATTTATTTATTTTATTTATGCAGTATTTTTTTTCCTTGGATATTTATAAGCACACACTTAAAATTTTCAACATTCGTAGACTCGTAGTTTTTTAGCAAAAAAATATTGAAAATCAATTATTTTTGCAATATTTATGTAAATAATTATATTTTGTACTCATTTTAATAGTTTTCATGCACACATATATTTAACAGTTTATATTTATTAATTACCAGCATTATTTTCATTACGAGCTATTAAAATTAAAATTTGTATTGTTTACGTCTTTTGCCGACTTGTCGACTTGTGGAACGAAACGTAAAGAGACAAGCGTGGGGGTGTTAGGTTATTTTCGTTACGGTATTTCTGGATTCGGTCTCCACGCTCAAGGCCCGCGATAGAAGCTATGCAATAGCTTAAAAAAGTAGTAATTAAATTAACTTAAACATTTGGGCCTTTTTTTAAGTACTTTTGCCATGTGTTTGCAAAAGTACTTAGAAAAACCGTCTACAACACCGACATTTGCATTTTAATAATAGTATGGGGGGGGGGGGGGGGTAGAGAGGCAAGGAGAACCATCTCATATGGGGGAAAGTTGAAAAACTGTCCAGCTATATACTGAAAATAGAGGTCTACGAAAAAACATAGCTGTTGTAGACGGAGTGAAGAGTGCTAAGTTAAAATATTATATTACTTACATAGTCTGAAATTTATTACGCTTTTATTTATTGTCTGTAAAAGTCATTGACTATTTTCGCAGTCTAGTACACAGTTTCTAAATATTATTTAAGCCCATTTAAATTTTTCGCAATGTTATTCTTTCAATGCTTATTTCTATATCCCACTATAACAACTTTTGAAGCTTACTTTAAAACAAAAACCGTAAGCTACTGTAGCGTCCCCAATGTAACGCATTTTGACGGATACTTTATACACTGTGGCGGTATAGATATCACAAAAAATGAAATAACAGATAACACGGTTCAATATACGTCGGTTAAAATAAAAAAATAAAAAATTAGTACGAAAATACAGAAATGCAAATTTAGAACAAACTAAATACAATAAAATAATTTCCGAATTAGAACACCATTGATAACATGAGTCGGTGAACTGTACCTACACGGCAGCGTCGCAATGTCGGCGACATCAAAACGACGCCGCCGCCGCGAGCCGGGAACTTTACATTCTTATTACCTACCTACCAATCACTTCACTTGCTTTTAAAAATCTATTTATAAAGAATGCGATTTTATTCACGTGTTTATTTCGTGAATGCTCGACTAGCTTCCGACCCAGCAGTACGCGTCACTCCTTGAAAAAGTAGTTACCTTGGTTGTCTCGTAATCTTTGTACCGCCCTTACAAAAATTCGGCAGTCTGTAGGACATACACGATTGATTCCATACGTGTCCGTAAAGCAAAAGATGCGTTTTGATAGAGTTTTCCATAAATTAACATCATAGCAGGATATTCCGCGGCTGTGAAGGTCACTCACGGCATTATGGATGTTGATATCGATAACCCAATAAAATTAAAAGACTGATAATGCACTCAGTTTCACACTACACTACACACAGAACCTAATAGTGACTTTTCAAAATAAAATTAGCAGGACTCCTTACATTACGAAGTCTAGCGCACACGATAACATTAATTGTTCACACCATTGCCGTGTATTATGACGAAAGCAATAAGACTAAACAATTATTACCACAAGAAAACTTCTCTAAACAAATATGTATCTCATAAACAACAACAATATTATTATTACGGTTATTTGTCGTGAGCGCATCTACAAGGATACGGAATAGCATAAGCTCGCCGGTGGCCAAGGGCCGACTGACTGTCCTTACTGGATGAACTAATTAAAAACGCGTGTTGCATCGTGATGACGTAATAATCAACATATTTCGTTCGATTCGGGTGTAGTAAAAGCGGCAACGCGTACAGCTGATCGCCGCCTGAGGTCAATGTATTATGACTGCATGTACACATGATGTTGCAATTTACGAAACACAAAAATGAGTCCTGTGGCTAAACTACTGGATATATTTTGTTCATATTTTGCAAATCGCCTAGAAATTAAGGGTAGAATATGTGGCTTAAGTATTTGTGAAAGGAAATGAAACTCTCTGTATACATAGATGGTTCTCCTTGCGTCTACCCTCCATAAACAATAGTCAAGTCTCCTATAATATTAGTAAGGATGAAGGTACTCGTATATAAATTCATTGACAACATTTTTTGAAGATAATGTCAAAGCTTTAAATTTTTATCATCTTTCGCTGAACCCGCTATATATATATTAATTGCATGTTTATGTTTTATTAAATTTTAGTACTACAAAGTTTGTTTTTATTTAACCATGTCAAGCTGTCTTCGTGTATAGAAAAGAAGTTAAATTTTTGACACAGAACATATTTAGTCTTTCCTTTATTTGTCTCTGCTTGATCGCTGAACAATGTATTAATAAGACATAGAGTAGCTGTATATATTGATTATGTATTCTCATCGTTCATCTGTCTTCTTAGTTGCATGAAGTTGCATTAAGTGAATTTTTGTAATGAGTGTAGTGGACGCAGTGTAACCCTTGGCATTAGCCATAAATTACGGGCGGTCTATTGGAGGTCTAAGTTTACTCGAGACCATGAAAGATATAAAAAAATAACAAGCCAATAAGATTTAAAATAATATCTTTAATCTTCCACCATATTCAGTAATTGTTCCATGCTAATCGGGCTGAATGATCTACCATTGTCCGTCGAATACATTATTATGTTCCTTATGACGTAACACTGTAGATTACCAATTTTATACAGCGGTCTTCCCTCCCTACTTTTACCAGCAATAGGCACAAAAGTGATGCCCTTTTCCAGACACCTAGTTTCAAGCAACTCCGAGAAGCTCTTCTGTTGTGTATTAGACGCGAGTACATCAGCAATTCTAGAAGTTTCCTTAGGTTCGCTAAACGTGAAACGAGGCGGGGGAGGTGGCTCGACATTATCTATGTCAGCGCTGCGGTTCATCATGTCTAAAGCTTTTCGAAAAGCGTCACGTACCGCAGGTTCTTTCAGAACTTCTTCTGGAAACATTTTCTGGAAAATAACATAAAGCTATTATTATAAAGGCAAGCTGAAAGCGTCCACTTATAATGTAATAAACCAATATTGGATATGGAACATGTTACAATGCTCAGTTTGTTTGTAATATAAACATAAAAGATTCTATTATGAGATGTGCCTGCAGTCGAATTACTTATTGTTACAATTTCGATCGAAGCGTTAAAACTACTTATTTTCAATAAGTTTGCAAATCAATCAGAATCATTTATTTGCCAATTCAAATGCAGATTATTATTACATACATAAGATGTTGCACGGTTCTAAGTGGTGTAATGGTAGAATCTGATTAGTTATACTATAGGAGATTGCTCCCGGTGGTCATGTTATAGTCAGGTAAGTGGTGTAGGAGGTAACCTTGAAGTCCGTGTAGGAGTTGAGCACGGTGGCGTGCGGCGGGTTGGTGTTGAGCCAGGCGGCGAGCGCGGCCAGCCAGCGCGGCAGCAGCGCCCGCGCGGCCACGCCCGCCACCCCCGCGGGGCCCAGCAGCTCCAGCCACTCCACGCACCACTGCCACGCCGCTGTATCCACACATACACAAATGTACCCTGATGTCTACAGTACAGGCTGTATAATAATGCTTTGTTAAAGTAATTTCTATAATTCTTTTATATATTGAATTATACATTGCTTGGCAAAATTGGTCATCTTTTAATTCTAAAATAATATTCCATTTCTAAGGGAAGAAAATTAATGAATGACTATAAACATATACGTATACTTAAAGAAGATGCTATACTGAGTAAAATTTTGTAAACAAATTAATTGAATATGATTGTTCCTTAGTAGACTTATTAAATAAATTGTTTTAATTTTTTTCTATGTTTTTGTTTTAATTCCAATGCAAAAATATAATCATGATCTTCAAAGATTTTTAGCACCTCTTAATACTTATATATATATTTTTTTAACAGTATTTATATCTAAAATGAAATGATGTAATAGTTAATTTTGGTTGAGTTGTATCACTAAAATTAAAGTCACTTTACGACATCAAAAATACTTACTCTACAGTTTATTAATTTAGGTTTTCTGACGCAGAAATGTTTTCTTAGATGGAATTGATTTAAGTATTTTAACCCAAGCAGTTTGGTTCTGGCACTATTGATTTTTTGAAAGAGTTGACATTGTGAAGTTGTCGTCTAAGAAGTCGTAGGTAAGCTAAGTCGGCATAATTGGCATTCTGCGTCAGAACGCAGAATGCCAATTATGCTTACTGCTGGGTATACTGCTTGGGTTAAAATACTTAAACCGATTCCACGCAACTGATGACGTTTTCTAACCAAATTTTAATCGTAATAGTTCCAGAGATATAAATATAGAGAGAACACGGGGTACAGCTGCTTATAAGTGGTAGCTATACATACAACGAGAGAGATGAATACCCGATAGTTCCCTCTGTCTCTGTTTAGCTAAGCTGCGATTGGCTATCGCGAAATGGGCATGCTTTTGATCGTAGAACAGGTGGGAGATTAGAAATTTCCATAAACAACTATAGAGCTCGACTGTAAAGAGATATAGGGAACTATCTGTTATCCATCTCTCTAATTGCCTACGTGCAAGACCTTGGGGTCTCGTTCACTCTACGTTTATATCTGTATGAAAATAGAGGCGATAAGACGAGACAGTAACCGTTGGTGCCGCCGACGAGGTCGAGCGGCGCGTGCTGCAGGCAGTGGTCGAGCTTGGGCACGATGTGCTGCTGCAGCACGGCGCCGAGCTGCGCGCCCCACGCGCCGCGCCACGCGCGCAGCACGCCGCGCGCCGACCCGTCCGCGGGGTGCCACGCCGCCAGCGCCGCCGCCAGCCGCGACCGGATCAGCGGGTACACCGCCACGCCCAGCGCCGACCCTGGAACCGCCACACCACGCCGCACCGTGTCACGGGGGACTCTACCGTCCACACTCAGAACGACACTTCGTGGATCACACACCGTCGTCCACGCAGTATAGAGAGACGTGATATCCTTCATTAGATCTAATCCTGTTACACCCTTCCGTCCCTTTTCACAAAATCGCTCCCACAGATTACAGGAAAACGAGAGGTACACTTTACACTTCAAAAAATTAGAAGAGAATTAAAATAATATTTAACCATAGTTACAAAATACCTATGATTAAAAATATGAACAGCGTAACACTCACGTTCTAACATTACATCCATTACTTAAAAATCCAAGTACATCTTGTATGTTCTTTTTATAAATTAATGAATTACTTCAACATGATTAAAAATTAATTGTAATCTGGTAGAATTCAAAACACCTATCAATAATATCATTACAAAAATAAACTGACCTGCCAATTCGTGCCAAGGCAAAACCCATTGGTGTACGGGTTGGGTGTCGCCGGTGGGGTCCCAAGCTCTCACCGCAGCCAGTACCCGCGGAACCACACAACGGGTCACGCAATTTTGTGAGACCCACGAAGGGCAGACCTCCTGCCATGCCACTATAGCGCGGAGCATAGGATCCGGATTACGAGGGTTCCACTTCCTAAAATTATTTTAACATATCATAATTTTGTTTTCTATCTCTGCCAATTATAGACGTAAGGCCGGTTTAAAACCAATTAAACCAATCCGTTTAAAACCGAAACAAACCATTCTTTTTCGATTTAAAACGGTATGTGTCGGTAACTATGTTTTTTCTTAATTATAACTACAGTTTCTTGATTTTACCGACATAGGGATATGACAGAGTACCTATGAACTGTGTAAATATTTTTTATATGTGTGATATACTGACATTGATATACTTAGCGGGTTTAGTTCTAGTTGGTCCGTCCGACCAAGCGAAGGCATTACCAACCTAAGTTATAAAAACTCTATTGATAAGTTAAAAAACTCTGTGTTGGTAAATAAACTTTTTTTTTCATTGTTTTCAAACGATATAAATAATCAACCGCAAGGGCGCGACAGCCTTGAAGACTTAAAGTTGTCTCTTTCATACTCAAGTAAAACGGATGGCATTGCGTTAATGATGTCTTCTAATCTAGTGTGTGTAATATAATATAATAAATAAGTATTACAATAAATAAGTATACATACTTAAGTTTTTGTGTGGAAGGTAATGTAGGTACTTTCTATTGATTATCTATAAACTAATTAAAACGATACATGATTTCAGGTGACTAAAAATTGCCCGCAATTAAGTGTACAACACAGTTCTTTTATTTTTGTAGGCGAGTTTTCAACCGTTTAAAACGATTTATTTGGGGTTTAAAACGGTAAAATTTTATTTAAAACATTTTAAATCGGTTGATTTACATCTATACTGCCAATAGACTTCAAGCCAGTAACAGGAGTAGCTTCACGGTTAAAACGCTTGATGCCTATATCCCTGATGTTACAAATCGCACCTTCAGAATGAAAGTGACCAAACTCTTCTTCTTCTTCTTCCTTTAATTCAGTGGCTCCAAAATGCTATTTTCAATTAACAGTAATTTCGAGTTGTCATTTTAATTCTTATAAAAAGGCTATTGAACAAATTATATTACTATTTGCCCAACTTGCACATGTTGTGTGTGTATTCTGTGTTACTACATTCGAAACTTTTTTTATGGAAGATCTTCAGTATTCTTAATTATAGCTCCTCCCTCTGTGGACTTCTGTCGTCGCAGGTTTAGATTTAGGCATCATAAGATCTGTGTAATAAGGTAAACTAAATCCTCTGCACGTGGAGATAACATTAGTAAATAAGCGCAGCAGGCCATATTGACTGTCACTTTGACTTTAATCAATATTTTCATAAGGGAATCCTAATACTGCCGTCTGAAGTCCGTGTGGTGACGGATTAAGAATACAGATTGTCACCACCCCTATTCATCCCGTGGGTGTTGCAAGAGTCAACTAAGGGAAAAAACTACCCAGAACAACAACACTGCAGAGAGAAGGAAAACTTGACACAAACCCTATACCAACCCGTCTGGCCAGCGTGGTATAGTAGGCCAAAACCTCCTTTCTAAGGAGAGGCTTATGTCCAGCAGTGGACTATTAAAGGCTGTTGATGATGATGATGATGATGAATACTGCCGTCAGCTGTCAAACCTCATAGTAGTAGTCGAAGGTAAAACGGTGGTGGTAAAAAGGTAAAGGTGTTCGACTACTTGAAGTAGAACAGTTAGAAAAAAACAATAAATCTGACTTACTCAGCTGCCGAACTAAGCTGTGGCATAAAATGTTGCCACAGTAGACTGTTGAACGAGTCTTCTGTTAGAAGTTTCTTCCACTTCAGAAACGTGGGTATGGGCTCCTCTGGGGCTTGCAACGGATCCCACGTGGCGAGCAGTGCGGACAGCAGGGGACTGACAATGTTACCCGCTATCGTGCCTAGGCTGAACATTTCGTACTCTGTTGGATAGGATTCCTAGAAATAAATTTTTAATAAGTTACTAGTTATGATGATAAGTAAAAATATTACCCTACATTAGTAAAAGTAGTCAAATTAAAAATAAAACATCGAATTTCCACCTGTCTTCAAACTGTGAACATAACGAAAAATTTTGGCTCCCATCTAACCTGAAACTGCCTACTGTTACTTTTGTTAACTCGGAGAAGTTAACAAGGGTGTGACGTTTCTAGAATTCTGTAAAAAAACCCTACACCCCAAACCTTAGATACAAAAACTTCTTTTTTAACTATTCCATTCTGCAAAGAGAAGGAAAACTTGAAACAAACCGTATTCAAACTCGTCTGGTCTGACTAGCGTGGTATAGTAGGCCAAGACTTTGTCCAGGTCCAGCAGAGGACCATTAAAGGCTGTCGATGATGATTAACAGAAAACCGGTGCTAAGCTAACCGAGTAAGTGAGGTTACCGAAGCCCAACGAACCTCCCCCCCCCCCCTATGCAATAACGAAGTTAGGCTGCTTGTTTACTCTCTATGACTTAAAAAATCTTTAACTATACCTTCAATTCTGCCAATACATCATGCGCGCTCTCCAGGGATATATCCGGCTTGTTCAGCATCTCCACACGTGACAATATATCCTCCACTTTGGATATCACTTTGTTTTCCTCTTTCAACTTCAAGTTACATTCTTCAAGATCTCGTTCTAATACTACGATCTCATCCTCGGCTGATTGCAGTTCGCGAGCGTTTTGGATAATATCCTAAAAAAGGTAAGTGATAAGAAAAAGTATAAAAAAGGTAAGTTATTTACGTTGTGTACTTTTACTTTTGTTATTTAATCATATTAGGAAACATTGTGTACGTGTAAGGGTTGTAGGGGTACGATTGTGATTCCTCTCATATTTCTACGACATACCTAATGTTGTGTGTTAAGTTTTCCGAACAAGAAAACTAATACATAAATATATTAATTGCAGATTTTGTTTTACTGATGGATGGGAAAATAAGTTATGTTCAGCACATTATATTTTATATAAACTAGCTACCCCGACATACTTCGGTCTGTCAAAAGTTATTGGTTTGTCGCGTGAACACTTTTCTTCGAACTTGATTTTGGGCAGGCATAGTTTAATATTCATACAGCCTAACCAACTAAATGGGATATCAAAGATAATCGTTTTAATTGACGTCAATTGTTTAACAACTAGATACAGGTGTTTTAATTTAATCCGAGGTTTGTATGGAAGACGAAAAGGGTTTTTTAAAATATTCCTCACAATTTTTGCGTTTTTCTCTCCATAAGAACCGTCTTAATGCCTTAACGAAAATATGAAAAAAAGCATTAGACGACTTAGTAGAGCCTTTCTCGAGTTTTACGCTTAGCAACACATTTGGCGATTTATTTTTATTTATATAGATAAATAGTAATGACCAACTTAAAAGATATATAGCCAAATTATTACTCTATAAGGATCCTGTAGCTGACATTGAAACCAGATTAAAGTATAGACAAAAGTATAATGGAGTAGTGACCTGTTCGCAGCACTCGACCACCAGCTCCAGGTTGTGCATGAGCTGGGGCGCGGCGAAGTTGACGCACTTGCGGCGCGGCTCGTGCTCGAAGCGCGGCGCCGCAGCACGCAGCGCGTGGTAACCGCTCAGCACGCGTTTCTCCTTGCCCGTCATGTCGATCACCGGCACGCGAGACAACTCGTTACTGTAATATTGTATCCTCCTTTATACTACAAGCGAAATACTGAATATTCTGCTGTGAGCAAAAATTACTACATTTATTGATAAAATTACTGTAAATAAAATAATAGAAGGATCCAATTTCGTCCGAATAAACATACACGATTCTCAGATCTTTTATAGTTTATTTATCCCTCCTTGATGGTTTTAAAGCTCCTGAGCCCCTTGAACTTATCACACAGGATTTTTATGCATTGCAGCCGTGAAAAAGTAAAAAATATTTAAGTATAAGAATTAATTTGTGTACGACACCGCTTATATATAAATTAATAAATTGCACTTTAAAATAATAAAAAAGCCGGGTTATAACCTCTTAGAAATTGAGAGACCCTTGTAAATTTTGAACTTGAAATAATGAAGCTCTGATATAAAAACCCGGTATATCCAAATCCTACCTGGAGATAGTATGCATCGTGGGTTTACCCTCTTGTATGACGTCAGCCGCATCGCGGTAGAAGTATCTACCCTTGTGCGACTTCCTCCAGTTGTAAGTCTTCTCTTTATTCCCTTTCTCCGGTTCTTCTTTCTCTTTTAGGCGACGTTCTTCATCCTTTTTCGCTTTTAGCTAGAATACCATTTTAATAGCATCATTTTCGAATATCATAAAAATACAATTATTATAATAATAAGCACACGCATGGTTCAACATTAAAAAATATGCTAGATTTATTATTTTTGTAAATAAATATTACATACAAAATTGCCAGATCAATGGAAATGGACAATAATTGCTCATTATTAGCTCGTAACCGGAATCGAATGCACTACTGACATTCCACAAGGGCACGACTTTTATGGAATGTCAATAGTGCATTCTTGTCTCTTTAAAGATTGATATAGAATAAAGCTTTTTTACCATGTGATTAGGATGTAGTGACATATAATAATAATAATACTCACAGTAGATTTCTCTGGCCCATATGCACCAATAGCTCCCCTGCCCTTTCTGACTGTAGCCTCAATTGGCGCAGAGATACCCTGAAGATCTTTGCCGAGACCCATGCCAGGTTGGTAACCCATCTGATGGACAAATATTTATAATTTTATATTGTTTACATGCACACTTTAACAATATGGTTTCTTTGGAATGCAAATGGAGAATCCTCTGAAAAAGCTATGGTCAGATGGTGTGAAGTTGTATGTAAAGAAAACAGTACTCGCAATACCTATGTGATATAAGATCAGAGTTCTTTGGAAGTCTAAATGTACTTGTCTCTGCTACACTAATGTATATTTAGCCGAATGTGGATGTTTCATGATTAGTTCTGAGATTTGCAACTTATCTTTTTAGCACCAAAAGACATGAATACATAAACCACATTAAACTTAAGATTACAACTTTTTTTTAAAGACAACTGCCACATTAGGAATATATCCTGTGTCACCTGGGACTTTACAAACATACATGAAACGGACACAAAGAACACCCAGACTTAGAACAACAATTTGTGGATCACACAAAGTGTCGTCCCACGTGGTGCGGCGTTGCGAGCTCTGAAACCACTACGCCACGCGTGCAGTCCAAATTTGACTTAATTAGATAGTAAAATTAGAAAAATTGCTCTACTTATACAGTCAGTTAACTAACACTTCAACTGAAAGAAATGACATTATTTGTAACTTGTCAAATAAACATGTTTATTTCACAGTTAATGAAAGCTAATGTCACTCAGATATGGTCTTTCTATATGTATAGGTATTTATTTATATATTTTAAGTGTTCAAAAAACAATACTACAGTACAATGTGCAACAAACCTGCAACAGCAACTTAGCACCAATACCCTTAGTATGCTTCTCCCAAGCTCCCACATTGCTACCCAAGTTAACAGATCTCATTCCTTGTCCTTGTCTCCGAATTCCGGCTGTTTCAGACTCATCTGGATTCTGAGGCGTTTCCTCATCAGAACTGTCCGCAGCAAACTTTGGGCGAGATGTGGATGCTTCTGAAGATTGTACTTCTGGAATAATCAGGATATGAATGAACCATCACCTTATAACCCTGAGTGGAGTCACTAAGCTTATGCTTTAATTTGTACACAGCACACATTCTGAGCCTGTTTCTCAGGAGTCACAATCATGTTGCTGGCCTTTTAGAAAGGAGTATGCTTTTGGTTATATTTTCTATCTATTAGATATCTATCAATCATCTGTAAAGAGAAGGTAAACGAGACACAAACTCTTTACCAAACTGTTTGAGGCTGTTGATTGTGATGGTTTGTAATAAGAATACTGTTATGTATTAAATAAGTTAACAGCCTTAGAGAACATGGTCTCTGTGTTTACACAGTGATACCCATGCATACAGACTACTCTACTAGACTCTGGTAGACTGTAATATATAAGAATCTTTAATTTGGCAAAACTATGTATTAGATTGATGGATTTAAACAAACAGACAGTAAAATTACAAAACTGATTGTTTTAATTATTCAATCCTAAAAATATGAATTATATAAATCCTAATCCTATCCTAAATCAATCCTACAATCATTCTTCTTAAAGAAACAGGGTACATTAACAATGTTATTTAATTTCTGATGATACTGCTTAGTCTACTGCTGGACAAAATGAGAATTTTCTAATTTTTCCATCTATCAACCTTTCTTAGCCTCTTCTTTCTTCTTGCCTGCCTGCTGCACTCCACCGGCCACAAAACCGATAGGAGCTGAGTAGTCTTTCTGTTTGCGCACCCTTTTTCTAATATTATCTTCATTGTCTTCTTCATCACTGTCCTTCGCCCACACACCTGAAATAATTTATACTAAATACCCACTAAAACAAATGAATGATGACATAAGTGTGTAAAATACAGTTCACACTTTGTTTTAAAAAACATAAAATATAGAGATATTAATCCCTGAATATATTACCACTAACTGTTCTCTATTGTTCAATAGGCATGCCTTTTTAGACAGGTAAAGAGGAGTGTAGATTTTACAGATTTACAGACAAAACTATTTAAATGTGTGACTAAACTATGTTTGTATCTTCTTCAAACTTATAATGCACACATACAGTGTTGCGAAAAAAAGTTTGTAATCTTAATGACTAATATAGACTTAGGAGACTTTACTTGAAAATTACCAATGGCATTAAATATAAAATAATAATATTATTTCGGACATCTGACACACAACATTATCTAGTACCAAACTAAGCAGAGCTTGTACTAGGAAAGTTGGATTTACTGATAGAATACTCATAAACTTTTTTTTGTAAATACATAAGTACATATTATAAATAGAAAACACCCAAACACTAAAAAAAATATTTACAGATTGTAAAACATTTGGTCTGATCTGGGAATCGAACCCGAGACCTCAGCACAGCAGTTGCATACACTACCATTGCACTACGGAAGCAGTAAATAAATTAATTTCATAGTATTAAAATCTTAGAATGTCTTAGTCATCAAACTTTTTAGTCCGTGCGTGAAGGGGGCTTAGTCTCAGTAACCATTGTTAGAAGACACAAAACGATTGTAGTAAGATACTCTCTTTAACAATAGACATTTGTTGTGGATTTAGTTGAATGCAACATAAATTCCTTATATTGTTTAAAACTCCTTGATGCCTGATCTCTATTTTACTCCTGACTTTAGTTTTTAGAAAATTGGGGGCAAACAAGCAGATGGATCATCTGATGGCAAGTGACTACCGCCACTCATAGACATATTATGCAACTCAAAAGACAAAAATGCTTTGCCGTCCCTTGAATGCCCCAGAATTAAGGAAGATTTTGGCCCTTATGTGACAAAGCATTTCTATTTCACACAATTCTAGTGTTAAAAGAGGTATCTTACTAGCACTCTTCGGCATCTTGTACCCAGTTATATACTTTATAGAATATGTTTTAAGTTTAGAAATCTATACTAATATTATAAAGCTGAAGAGTTTGTTTGTTTGTTTGTTTGTTTGAACGCGCTAATCTCAGGAACTACTGGTCCGATTTGAAAAATTCTTTCAGTGTTAGATAGCCCATTTATCGAGGAAGGCTATAGGCTATATATCATCACGCTAAGACCAATAGGAGCGGAGCACCAATGAAGAATGTTTCAAAAACGGAGAAAATTTATTACTATTGAGAGACGCAGACGAAGTTGCGCGGGTCAGCTAGTTATAAATAAAAAAATACCGTAAATCTGTTGCTCTTTCTTAGCCCGTCTGTTTCTGTTTGGGTTAAATTCGTTGTCCAAATCGTAATCGGTAATTTCAAAACGAATTACCTCGTCGTCTGACATTTTGTTTGTTCACATAAATTACCTTCAAGGAACGTGAACTAAATGAAATCGTTGAATGGGATAACTTGTTGTAAAACAATTTAATTCTTAATTCTAAAATATATACACGCAAACTTCATAACAAAATGCATTAACACTGTCAAAGTTGTCAAGTCAAATTGACAATCAATGACAATATTGACATATCACGAGGGTTGCAAGTACATTAACGTACTTTACACGAATTTACACTATTCAGTTCTTCGTATTTCTACTATTACACTTCATAAGAAAGATAAGTTAGCCTCCTCATCTAGTAACCTCACCGGGACTCGTACGGTATGATCGAAGCGACTGAAATCACTATGTGTGCCATCACCGAAAACCCTGGCAGACCTTGGCCGCTTGGCTTAATGCAAATTAGATTTAATTTAATTAATTGCTAATTCTTCTGTTAACTAAATAATCATGCTAATCTTTTTTGCTAAAAAAATGAAAACTCTCAGCCCCTTGATAAGACGTACTAAACAAAATAAAATAATCGGGAATGAGTTTGATGCATCAAGCAAAACTTAATGCAGGATGGGAGCAAACTACGCATTACAACAGCCTGTGTAGTTTGCTCCCTTAGTTGACTCTTACGACACCTACGGGATGAATAGGGATGGTGACACTCCGTATTCTCCGTAAAGGATATCAACTGCGATATGGGGTCTATCATTTAATACATTAAAGATCATATACGGAGCTACTTATTTAGGTTCTATGTGCTATGGTGCACCTGTATGGGCCGATAGGGCGACCGTAGGCGCTGTCCGTCGCAAACTGTTACAAGGCCAACAACTTGCACTGATATTCTTGTGCAAGGCATATAGGACGGTTAGCACTGAGGCTTTGCCGGTGTTGGCGGGTGTGCTTCCGGTCGATCTCGAGGTGCAGAGACGTGCAGCCATGTAGTATTCAAGACAACAAAACATGGAATGCGATTTTTTGGGCGCGCGAGATCGCGGTAAAATTACAAGATTGCTTCAACAGCAGTCCGATGTCTATAATGACCACATAGACGAATGGCAACAACGCTGGGATGAATCATCCAAGGGGCGCCATCTTTACCAATTCTTTCCATCTGTCGAGGTTGTCGAGGACATAGCTTGAGGTGGATCACTGTGTCGCTCAATTTCTGACGGGTCATGGTAACTTTAAGAGCAAGCTTTATTCATTTAAATTAGTCGAGTCACCATTGTGTCAATGCTCAACACCTAACTCTCACTATATGAACAGTCTGCTCATCATATCCTCTGGGAATGTAGTCTTTGGTATAATGAACGTAATATAATGCTGAATAGCTTGCAGGTGACATCTGGGGCGGTATACTATGGGGATCTTGAGTCAACTAGGGTGAATTTCCGTGCGTTTGGGCGATTCTGCCATATTATAGAAATCAAATATAGCTCACGTAGGACCCGTAATAATTTGTGGCCGTGGTGCTTCCCTCTTTAAAAGGGTGTATGCCCATTTTACTTCATTTTCTCTCCCGCTTTGCTAAGGAGGGAAGTGGATTTACTGTATTTCCAACTCCACCAATTTTCTTCTGATTAATTTCATTGCGGGTTCCAAGACAGTTTAATTTCTTCCTGGGACTTCCCGAGTGTCATAACTCGGTGTGTTCCTGGGTCACTGCTGTGGATCCTGGTGTACAGGAGTTACAGTGGTGGGCATGTGGGTGGGATTAGTCCCATACTCCGTATTCTTTCTAACGTTAACCAATGAAGCGCCAAACTTTCGGGTACGTATTAATTTATATTTTCAAGAAATTTCACGGCCACAACACATATGCTAATTGCTAAACAACAACTTACAAATAAATATGAGCGTGAAGACTAATTAAGCCATCGCTGGTGCAGAGGGCCTTACCCTCCTTCCGGTTTCGTGAAACTCGTCATGCCACTCTTGGCGACAGTTGCGATTTTTTCCTTCGTCTCTAGTGGTGTGGCAGACCAGGCCGGGCGTCGGGTTGTTTTTAGTGGAAACACCACATACTTCTGGCTCCTGCGTCCCCTAGGAAGGGATTTTTTATCCCGTCAACAAAAAAAAACTACAAATCGATGCTCTCCAGTGATTAGATTAAAACTGAATTAATACATAGTTAACTTTAAAGGTTAATTAAAATAGTTATAATCGTGGTACGCCATTAAGGTGGTAAATTAAAAACAAAGAAATGTATTATTCACATTCTTTATTAAAAATCATTATTTTAAGTATATAAACTCATTTTACACAACATTGTGCTTTTATAGTCCAGGGTTCGAAATTGGTCACTGGATGTCAGTGGCAAGTTAACGATATGGTTGTACAAAACTGGCAAGTTTCTATGAAAGTTATATTAAACTATTATCTTACAGATGTGGTGACCATTAATTAGTATACAAAATCTTCGAACGTATTTAAAAAAAAAAATTTTTTATTACAATTGAATTTCTTGACTATGGTTACTATTTTGTAAAAGATATGATATTCATAAGAAACTTGTAGACACGACATAAAACAGCCGCGAATATATATTCGATGTCTTTCGAAATAAGTCGAATTTAGTCTTATTTTATTATATCACAACATATTTGCATAAAAAGTTGTCTTTAGTGTAAACATCATAAATAATTTGACATTTTAGTAAAATTTTGCGCGAATAATTTATATGGACACTTTTAAAAATATAAATAAAATATATACATCCTTGGGACGAAGATGGACGACATCTATTTTAAAAACCTAAAAGTACATTAACATTTTAAATTTTCAATGTTCGTCAGTATAAGAATTATGTTAATAGTGGTACTATAACCATAGCTTTGAGCGAATTTATAAAAACACAATATAAGTTTTCACTATTCTTTTCAATTAATATCAATATGTTATATTGAACATAAAAATCAAGTGAAATAAATCGTTAAAAAAAGTATTTTAAAACAAATCAAAGTATTCGTTTGACGAAAATAACTAAATGTTAAAGATTTTTGTAAATATTTCTATCAATTAAAAGAAAATATAATTAAAAAAACAATCTAAAATAGTGATGTCCAAATTTAAAAAAATAGAATACATTATTAGTTATATACTTTGTTCATCGTCTTCGTTTCGTTCGTCGAACAATTTGAAGCCAATAAAAGAACGAATATTGTATTAAATTTTACATCATAATTACTGGGGTATAGAAAAATAGTTTTGCAACTCGTATCTCTATTATGACGTTTTCGCAGTACATAATAAATCTTAAGTTTCGTGATGTAAAAGTTCTTGTCACTTATCGGCGGTATATTGCTTACACCCACGAAAGGAAACAAATCAAACTCTTAGATTTACAAAATTATTATTCAGAAGGAGTCATACTCATATTAATTAACGTTACACGATTTTACTCACCAATCATAGTTAGATGCCCGACCACTTTCGACCAGTACAGGAAGGCCATTGCACTTGATAAGGGGCTGACACTACCAAACCTAACAAGGCATACCCTTAATTTTCATGTGAGTAAAACCCTATTACGGCAATTAATATTTCATTTTATCATGTTATAATAAATATCATGTTACTCTGTTAAAAATAAAATCTATACACAAATACATGTTCAAAAACTAAAATATTAGTAAATCACTATTCAAACACACAGTCAAACAAATTATTAGTAAATATTTACCAATTTTTGAACATTACAAAATCACAGTTCAAAATTACGTTGATGGCAATCCAGTTCAAATGCTAAAAATAATTTCTACTAATTTAACTAGTAAAGTTAGGTACCTAACAATTAAGTATGTGATGCTTAGAAACTAAAAAAGTGTACACACGGTACTTCTAAAAATTAACATTTTGTTTTTTATTTTGTTCGACATCAAGTCTGACACGTGGGCCCTTATAAGTTTTGCAAAACCCTGTGTTGTATAATGTGACTCCAGAGTTTATTCCACAAAGAAAAAACGCAATTTCGTTAAAATAGTTAGCAGGGATCAAGATAACGTCACGTTGTATACGATTTTTTGTTTAAATGATTCCCAATAAAAATATCGACATTCGTTAGGGCCCAAATATTTAATACCTATCTTATGAAAAACGCAGATTAATAATATTTACACTATGTTATATGCTTTCACTATACCTAAAAGGCAACTCTCAACACCCACGGTTGTGAACACGTGTTTCTAAAACACTCCTATACCAACTATCAATGTTTCGCAAACTCTAACGAAAATAATGACAGCGAAACTGAAACACGTTATATTATTTACTCCAAACCTCCTAAAATCACATCAACATTTTAAAAAAGTTAACAAAACAACAAATCGACTAATAGTTAAAAACAATTTATGGCCAACACTATCGATTTTCGATATTCAAATGAATGTTTTTATCGATTTTATATTGATGATATTTTTATTTTTTAAGCCACCAGCGGCTTTAGCTCTCAGTCATAAAGCCACGGACTCTATGTAAATCTCATCTTCGTAATTTTCTGCAGATAATCTTAAAGCATGTTCTTCACATAGGGCCGCTAACTCCTTTAGCCATTCGTCTAGAATGACCGCGTTTAGTATTGAACGAAGAGTTATGGATTGATTCCAATATGATTCTTGCGTAAATATTGGACGTTTTTGTGGACTAGCGTGGGTGGTGTTTTGTGGACTGTGCGCGTGGTTTTGCGAAGGTGACGAAGCTGTCAAAGAAATAAAAGAAACACTTAATATTGAACACTTACTTTACTAACGTTGATTGTCACTTAACTGAATCAAAACTAAGTACTCTTACTATGAGTTGTAGAAGATACCTGCTTCATCAACAGCCTTTAATAGTCCACTGCTGGACATAGACCTCTCCTTAGAAAGGAGGTTGATGCCGGCTTAGATCATTTTTATTTTGGAAATACGTATAATGGTGTACATGGAAACACCAAAACCAAAATACAAATTGATGAACAGAGCAGGAATCTAACCCGCGATCCTTGACGACCTTGACTAGTAAAATGCTGCATGGGTTGTCATTCATACTACATATAATAAACTTCATAGATACTTACAAGACAATCTTCTGCCAAATATATTAGACAGGCTATTTGAGAAGCTCCTTCGCTTGGACTCCATACGCTTAAAAGGTGAATCGTCAGGTCTCTGCGCTGGCGATGCATTTTGGCCATGAGCTATGAAAACAATAATAGTAATCACATTTATTTACACAATTAAACATATTTACTTTTGAAGTATTTGTGCGTGTGCGGGCCAGTCCCAACAGCATTTTACGTTGCATTGCCAGCAGGCTTGACTGTGTGTATGTGAACAGCTGCTGCAGGGTTTCTACCTCAGTTGATAAGTTTTGGTACATGATGTAATAGATATGGAATAACATAGTTTGTAAGAAAATTTACTGTTACTTACCAAATGAGTCAAATGTTACTAGAATAATACATCCATACCATGCCATCCAAATAGTTTCAAACTAAGCAGAGCTTGTACTTTGATAGCTAGATTGATTGATAGAATACTTTTTTGTTTAAATACATACATATCATACTTGAAAAACACCCACATTCCGAAATAAATATTTACAGATAATACAAACATTTGGTCCGACACGGGAATCGAACCCAAGGCCTCAGCACAGCAGTCGCATACGCTACCACTGCACCAACACGGCAGTCAAATGCTACATATAAAAAACAGGGACGACTAAATTCATTTTATTAAAAAAATTGAAATTATGGAAATAAAAGTTAAATTTAGAACTTTAATTTACACTCATGAAATATTGACTATACAATATACATTACGAAAAAACTAATTTAATTGAATGGTAAATATGGTAAATATATAACTAAATATGGCCAAAATGACCAGCACTCAATACTAATATACCCTTGACAAAGTAAGTAAAGGTCACTCACTGTCATCGTTACTCTGTGACCTGGTCTTGACCAGCGCCATCTCTCTCTGTATAAGGAAAACCCTCGCTTTGTCCACTAGCTCTTCAGTATTAGGCAAACCCTCCGTCAACTCGTCTACTTCCTCTTTTAGTTTGCTTAACGTCTGAAAAAATAGATTTTTAATGTTTGAATAAATTAATAAGTAATTTATGATGTAACTCGAAGATTGTATAATTTTAAATTGTGTATAAAGGATAAAAAATAAATAAAACAATTTCAAAAAGTGATCTCTCCGGCGGGGAATCGAACCCCGGTCTCCCGCGTGACAGGCGGGGATACTGACCACTATACTACCGAAGACTTGATAAACTTGTCGAAATTTACGTTTACAAGACTTAGAAGTCTGTGACATGTTGAAATATATATTTTGTTATTTAGATACATTTTTCTAATTGCGTAATAATAATGAACATGTTTTTATGCACAGACAGTGTAATGCTTTACTTAAAACTCACTTGAAACAGCGAAGGCACGTTAGGCTGTAACCCAACATTGGGACACAGCATCATAGAGGTCAGCAACGGCGTGGGCAACGACGACAATTTAGAGAGCACACTGGTCACTCTACAGTTCGTTACCAAGTCAGATTCTAAGAGAGTTGAGGTTTTCTTCAGCAAACTACTGACCAATGGGCCTGAAAAACATAGGTTTTTGTAATTATATATGCCACAGACGGCTAAAAATCTAAATATTTATTTTATTATTTATTTTTTTACACTTCCTGAATTACAACTTCCACGAGGCGGACTTAACGCCACATGGCATTATCTACCAGTCAACCATAAGATGGTTCAGTAAGGGACATGGCAGGTGCACATGTATTGTGTGCTATGAAAATATAACATTAATTTGATAATAATAAATACATAACTTTAAAATACATAGACGAATACATAAGCAACTATTAATAAATTATATATACAGTATAAAATAAATACAATAATGTCAAATATACTAAACTTAAAAATATTAAGTTCATGATATTGCTCTGGAAATCCAAGGAACTGTTTAGAATAAAAACGTTAGTGAATATTTGAATTCTCATTAAACGCTTTTTTTTACTGACATGTTCATTTCGGGGATGCCTGTCTAGCTTCGGACTCGACGAGGACCTATTGTTTTTGCGAGAATTTGAAAATTACTAGTGATATCAAAATGTTTTTTTTTTTTTTTTGAATAAAATAATATAAATATCTATTTAAAAATGTTGTTGATTCTTCAAAAACTCAAAAAGTTGAAATTTTGACACGATATACAACATGTTTCAACGATTTTCATCTATTTTTCGCGTTATTTTTGTTTCTGATTTCTCATCAATGCAACCACAATGTGCCACAGCGAAGCGTGGCTGGGTACGACTAGTGTTGAATAAAAATGCTCAGTGAAGAAATACATCGAGACATTATCGATATGGAATAATCGCATCCCTATTCAATGATTATTTATTAGCAACAAATGTCACTTTAAGAACCCGAGATCCTCGTAAGGCGCTTCAAAAAGGCATAAAAACAACTGTCATTACTTATAGAATATTTAGTCCAGCATTCTTGTATGATAAAGGTAAGTGTGCCTCACACCGTGGCACTCTTACACACCATCAACATACACAAGGTTGTAAGACAAATATATAGACATTCGAATAAATCATAGACTTTTTTAATAAGTTCTTTAAACATTCCTTTTCTATTGGTTCACTTACGAATGAATGAAGTATATTTTAAATTGGCAATATTTTGACTATAAATAAATAGTTCTAGATTGAATTCCAAATTATTATTATTACATTCAAAATATTCTCTCTCTTTTAAAAATGTAAGTATAGATTTTAGTGGGATGCACCATTTCATCTTTAAACTTTACGATATTTTACTAAATTTACTTTCTTACTATAAGACATTAGTTTGTCTAACTTTAACTCACCGACACTTGACTCGGCGCTGGCCCTCCAATTTCTTGCCAAAGGCTCTCCATTATATTCCGTTACTTGTTTCTTCCTTACACTCTTTATAAATAGTTCTTCAGCAAAACCTTCACTGTCTTCTCCTTCTTTATACTTAATGCTTTCATAACCACTACTCTCTCCCAAAGATGTGAGACTATCGTGCTCTTTTCCTTCATTCAATACTTCGCTCACTGGTTCATTCTTGGCTTCATCTTGTTCGTTCAATGACGTCAAGCTATGAGGTTGATTCTCGGAACTATCACTTGTTTTAGTCTCGTAGCCACTAGTACAAGATAACAGGCTGTCCTGCTCTTTCGTAAGGGTTTGTGCATCCCCTGTTTCTTTCGTATTGTTGTTCGTTTCGCGTTTATGTAATATGCAGTCATATTTCGATGTCCAATTTGAACACGCTAGTAGTCGGGTTACTATTTGAAATCGTGAGTCGCAAATATAAGCATGGTAGTTACCGTATAATGTTTCGTTGGGGTTCTGAAAAGTTAATATGATAAAAAAAATGAAACCTTTATATTAATTTAAACGGGAGATAAAGTCGAATGAGAGCTATTTTTTTTTTAAATGTGTGCTTGCAACCGAAATTACTAGTATTCGCGGTAACCCCTCTAGCTAAGCTAAATTGCTTGTGTTAGGAGTGGGTTCGCGTCGGTAGTGTACTGGTCAGGATTCGAACCCATGACCTCTTGATCGCAAGTCCAATACCTTTATCATTAGGCTGGCGGCGCTTTGATAAAAATAATTATTTATAATAAAAATGATCATAGTGATAAAGTGGGTATAATATACTACATTTTATTGTTAGAAATAACAATAATTAAGCATACTCAAGATATGGGGGTGTTTCCCTGGACACTGTTTAACTCACTAATCTTTTCCTGTCTGTGCATAACAGATACTCTGAGTGATGTTACAGGACCTAAAACCCTCCTTCCCCTATTTCTGAAGGATGACTCAAAGGACGTCAACGCATTATTGACTTATGTTCATTTGCGGCGGTAGTAACTTTATACCGCTCTGACCCATCTGCTCATATGTCATTAAAAAATAACTTACTCCATAGTTAACTTTAGTTTCATGGGCTAGATTACTCATCGGTAGTCCATCGTGCACTCCGTTTATTCTCCTCTCTTCATTGAAGTCCAGTACTCTTCGCCCACTGATTGCTAGCTCATCGCACCATTGCTTTGTCTGCACAAGTAAATAATAATAAAATAATAATAATATTCGTTGTGTGTATGTGACACACAACGCCATCTAGTCCCAAACTAAGCAGAGCTTGTACTATGGGTACTAGACAACTGATATAAATACATATATACTTTTTTTTGTAAATACATACACATTATACATAGAAACACCCAGACCAAATCAAACATCAAATGTTAATGCACACAAATGTTTGACTTGAGCGGGAATCGAACCCGCGACCTTTGGAATAGCAGTCCGTTACACAAACCACATCCGGTCGTCAAATAGTCAAGTAAATTAACACCCAAATAAAATAAGAATAAATTGACCTATTGACGTATGGTAACATAAGCTTTCTTCTTTACTTCTGCTTATAAAATTGTATGCACCAAGGCTGACTGTACTGAAGTAGCGCCATTCGATGAAAAGTTAAGAAGTAATAGGTTATCTTGGTATGGACATGTCACGCAGAGGGCTGAGAAAAATGTGGCGAGGAAAGTGGTAGGCATGGGAGTTGAAGGGTACAAAAGAGGAAGACCAAAGAAAATGTGGATTTACTGTGTGAGAGAGGATATGGCTAGGAAGGGAGTGAACAGTGAAATGACGAATGATAAAGTAGAATAGAAGAATATTACATACTGGGCCGACCCCAGATAAAATCAGGACAAGGGTAGGCAGATGACTATACTTATATACTTTCTTTGTAAATACTTACATATTATACGAGTACATAGAAAACAGCCAAACTACGAAACAAATATTTGCAGTCATACAAAAATTTGGTCGACCAGGGAATCGAACCCGAGACAGCACAGCAGTATGCGACACTACCACTGCACCACCGAGACAGTCAATGATGGCGACAATGTCGATATTTTATTGAAATATTCTACTGTGAATAATAAGTATCAGTGCGTTTGTTGCAATTTATAAATACCTCTATGACATAAGAATTATTTCTAGTACAGAAATTATCTTTCGTGCAGAAAAAAGCCTATAGAACTTACCCTTTCCATAGGCCTAGAACAGCATTTTGGCGATAAACTTAAAAATGCCACAGCAGCATCCCTGTACTGTGAGGGCTCGGTGATCTTGTGCTTATTGAGTATGAGATGTTGTCCATTGACTAGGTACTTATATACCAAGTCTATCATTACATCCTCGCAGTTCAGGTCGATGAGAGTTTCCATGAGCGCAAGAGAGACCATGGACAGCTGGAACCAGCATAGCATGATGATTAAAATAAAATACAGTTTCATTCAGATTAGTCAAAGTGTGTATACATAACGCACCTTCGGTAAGACAATCCCCTTTTTGTTATTTTACACCAGAGCCCTTTTAATTATTTTTTTCAATTATTACTAAATATACTTATATTTCTTTCCTTATAGCCTTGACTATTGCCTTCTGTAATATTAACTTGAACTCAATAGAAGTGATTGTTTCTGTATTTAAAGGGGGACTTTGGTTTTTTATTAACTACTCTGTTATTTATGCTTTGTCTTACAGAAAGTGCGATACGTAGGTGCTAAAAGTATCTTTTATTTTCTCCATCATTTAATGTTATCAACGTATAACTCTTTTGGATTACGTGGAGCTTTTCCAGCCAGCATTTTATCTCTTGACTCATTCCGAAAACCGTTTGAACAACCGTTCGGTTGTTTGGAATTTATCGCGTTTAAACAGATAGACAGACGCACCACTTAATATGTAGCGATATCAATTAAACCCGGGTAGAGGGCTCGAAATCCCTTTCCTATTACCAACTTTTAATTTCATATTGACCTCTAAATCTCCCTATCCTACTCTTAAAGAGGCTGGTTGACATGAGCGAGAATAAAATTATAGTCGTGTGGGCGTTTAATTCATCTCTTCTTACCCCTTTGGTAGGAGTGAGTGTCTGTATGTATCAATTAAGCCGAGACTAAATATCCCCTTTTTTTCTGTGCGGAAATCCCCTCGGATATCACCCACCGGTGGGGTGATTATGTCGGACACGAACCGACCAAAAACCTCTCGGGTAGCAGTAGCCGGGAAACCAGGTGTACCGTACCTCGGGCCATCCACGGCGTGTAGATGACCTCCTTCTGTGTGGGAATCCCTATGTTCCCTTTGTGCTCTAGCGCGTCTCGCCGGCCTGCTTCTGCTAGAGTGACAGAGGGCCTCACCTGTCACCCCCAGGCCTGCGCTTATGGAGGACGGAGGTCGTTCTGCGAGAATAAATATCCCCTAAAATATTAAAAACATTTGGTACAAACCTGCGAGTTTCCTTCGAGTCTTCTAAGGAGCACATCAATAACCCGCACTCCGTCATACTCGTATACAAAGAGAAAGTGTAGCACAGTCTTCAACAAGCCCCACCGCGTCACACATCGTAGCAGCAGTTCCAGGTACGCCATGGCAGCCGCCTGCTCGTTCGCTCCACTCTGCAATGCGCCCCTTTTCGTCTACGATGCGTACTGCGTTAGTAGGCTTTATTGCGTAGTGGGAATCCAGCGGTTGAGTGACAGTTTTCAGAAAAGGTAGTTTGAAGATGATATTTTTTTGTATTAATCGATATGATATCTTGTTTATATTGCGTTAGAGTATATTATTTGTTGTTAATTTATGTGCAATGTAAAACAGGGTTAATCATGTTATAAAAAAATTGCATGTTTAAATTTGAAAAACATTAATTGACTCATTGCTGTTGACAAGAAATTAGATAAGTATTTAAAGACGAGTTCCTAAAACTAATTGTATCAAATACATGTGTTCACATAAAAGAAATGAGGTCAACCCCATCTAGCGGAGAACAGCCGAATTACGTAGTAACTCCTGCTACTGCATTGCACAGTCAAATTTCTCACGATCATTGTAACATGATCGTGACAAGAAGTGATCATTTTGAGGGTTAGTGGAACTTCACAGTAGTGAACCTGTCATTATTGTCCAATATATTTGCTTTTGATTTATTGTGAAATAGGACAGAATAGCTTCAAAACTATAGGCCCCAGAACTCCTTCCAACTAACTATGACCAATTACGACACCCAGATCACCTCGTGTGCTTTTTTAACAGAGCAGAAACAGCTGGATTTAATCCTATATAATAGGATTTGCTTTCCAAAAGGGTGCAGGATTATTAGATAACCTGACCTGAATCTACAGGGTAGCTTTGTCAGCGCCACGGCTAAAAGTTTAATATTGAAGATATTACTATGGCTTTCCTAAGTTCGATTTCACTATTATAGCAGATATTGACACTATTATCTATGGTAGTAGTACAGGCTGAGAAAGTTCAGTAAAAGTATTAGTTTAAAAAAAAATTGGTTTGTGGCAGGTTTTTAAAGTCCAGCAGGTGCGAAAAACCGGTTTATAAAAAAAAGGGAAAAAACCCGTTATAATAGAAAAACAAAAAAATAGGAGGTTGTTGTGTGAAAAAAAACAAAACTTTTATCTAAAAAAATCGCGATTTTTCTCCCTTCATCTTCTCAGGAACTGACTCGTGTGTGACTCGTAGGACATCTATCCGGGGCTTCAATTATGTTTTTATTACTGTTTTTTTTTGTAGCCGCACAATTTGCGAAAATGTAAAAATAGGTGCCTCGGAAAAACCGTGCGCGGTCGGTAAGAAAGCTGAAAAAATGAAAGGCGCAAAATCGCGTTTTTTTCGAGATCAAAGCGTGTTTTCGCAAAGAAAACGAATTTCACTTCAGCAACTCTCATTTTCTTCGCTTTTTCTCACACTATAACCTCCTACTTTTTGCTTTTCCATAAAAATAGTTTTTTCCATGTATTTTTTTTAATAAACCGATTGTTCGCACCGGTTCGATTTTTTTGCAATAACTTGCCACGAACCGATATTTTTCCAATATTTTTTTTAACCAGCCATTTTTTTTTATAGTCTTGACTATTGCCTTCTGTAATATTAACTTAAACTCAATAGAAGTGATTGTTTCTATATTTAAGGGGGTATTTTTAAATCCTTTGATTTTTTATTAACTGATCTATTATTTATGCCTGTCTGTATTGTCTTACAGAAAGTGCGATAAGTAGGTTCTAAAAGTATATTTTATTTTATCCATCCTTTAATGTTATCAACATATAACTCTTTTGGATTACGTGGAGCTGTAAAGCTTCCAGCCAGCATTTTTTTAATCAGCCATTTATTTTTTAATATGTAGTTATTTTGGGCCGCGCAACTTGTACTATAGTAGAGTATTATGAAGAAAAGACGTAGAATACTGTTTAATGACAGAGGTTTAGGACAATAGGTTTACTGACTGATTGCTCGATTTATTTCTCAGTGCCATATCAGTCAATCTAACTTTCATAGTCTAAGCTGAGATTCGTTTGAAACCAGAAAGCGTTGTGTGTCAATTGTCCGTAATATTTATTTATTTATATATCATCATCAAGAAAGCTAACCCGTTCATTCATAATAACATTCAGATGGAGTATATTAAAATTTACAGAAAAATGAATGAAGTCAATTTAAAAAAAAATTGTTTGACTATTTAAAATACCCTCAATGTCATATTCCTATTCCTCCTTTCTAAGAAGAGGCCTATGTCCAGCAGTGGACTACTAAAGGCTGTTGATGATGATGACTGTCATATTCATCTACCTGTCATTGGCATACACATACCAAGAGGCAAAGACTCCTGATCTTTTCCTAACTGACACCAGCTGCGCACACACGTGCTACCGAGTAAAATGCAAACACTAAAATAACCACTTCAATAACCTCCACCAACCAACTTCACACATCACACACCTGTTGCTTAATCAAATGGAATGTTTATGTTAATGCATGAGTTTATCGATATACTGAATTTGTCGATAGCGATGAATCGATTAATGCATGTTGTTGCCGTCACTTAACCGCTTATCGGCATGGCCACACCGGTGCAGTCCCGTGAGTGCAATGAGAGCCCACTGACGTGATGTCAAGTCACATCATGTCGCATAAATATGATAAAGTAAATTGCATTAAAAACAACGCAAATGTTTTTGATTTAAAAATATTTATACAATAAAAATTAAGCAAACAAGATCGTTTCGTTGTTTTTTAATGTTCAGAACTTTATCCTATAGGTGAAAGTGTTTATTGCCTTTCAGTCGATATAATCGATCGATTTTTAAATTTGTTTTTAGCTTTTGTTTTTGGTTTGTAAAAATGACAATTGTGACATAAGTGTCAAAGTTACGAAGCAAAAGTTATGTGATGACACGAAAAACTGAATGCATTATAGTATCTAACTATTTTATGTATTCGCATATCTAAAATAATATTAATATATAATAACAAACAACAGCATGTTGCGATAACCAACAAAAAACAATATACACTTTCATAACTAATAATAAAGCAGACTGCTATCCGATATTTTATTAAAAAATTATCATAAAAATTGTGTTTTGAACATACATTTTAATTAAAAGAGACATCTCTTCCAAGAATTGTATTTAGCAGAAGGAATAAACATAAAATTAGTAATAGAAGGTGGCAGATGAGTGGAGCGAGCGCCGTGTTGTGTCCGATTATAGTAATCTGCTTTGAACTTCAAACGTTTTAGTAATGTATGTCTAAAGCCGTCAAACTTCATAAACATATAAAAATATTACAATAAAATACATGACCAGTTTCAATGCAATACAATACAATTTTCAATCAATATAAATAGGCAGAGTAAAGTTAAGTCGTCAAAAAACTGAATAATCAAACTCAATATAAAAGGATAAATACATGTAGTAATAAATAATTTTACATACAAATATCTTATATTCAGCAGGTTTTTTAAGGACATGAAATAAATAATATCTGATAAAAGCAAATGATAAAAAATCACTCAACATTTTTATAACCCCAAGCTATACAAGTCACTCTTTTATATATAAAAATAAATATATAACAAAAAACAAAATCAATCCAACACACAATATCAAAAAACTTCATATTAAATAATATTGATAATATAATAACTTAATTTACAATTATAATTTTTTTATTTAATTGTGGGTACTTTTATTTTAAACTACAACATAAGTTAAATTACCATGTGCTGCAAAATTGAGAAACGACCATAATAAAGTGTATTTATAACAAAAAATAATTAAATATGACACATTACTTAAATGCTCACCTGCCAGTACTGAAAGAAACACTACAGTAGTTAGTTTTATACAAATACTAATGACATGACAGTTCTATGACAGTGCTAAGTTGTCAAAGTTAACACTTAAGTTTTATTTGGCACTTAACATATCATAATAATCATATGTTAGATTATACTTGTCAGTATATACATCGGTTGGGATGCTCATAAATAAAATATCTCGCATAAATACAACTAATGGATCAATATTAAATTTGGTATAAACATTATGCATTACCATTATATTCTAATGTCAAGGTTGCTGTACTGTAAGGTTAATGTCGTAAAATAATGATAATTTCTTGTAATATTTCTACACGGTCGTCTGATCCCAAACTAGATCAAATCTGTACTGTCTCAACTAGATTACTGGTAAACATACTTTTATATGTCTAAGCACTTACATATCCATACTAATATTATAAATGCGAAAGTGTGTCTGTCTGTCTGTTACCTCTGATTTATATGAAATTTGATATAGAAAAAGTTCGAGACCCAGAAAGACAGGATAGTTTTTCTCCCAGAAATCAACCTTTAAGCGGGTGAAAGGGGGGGGGGGAAGTTTTTATGGGGAATCACTAACCGCTGAACCGATTTAGATGAAATTTTGAGATATGGAGATAGTTTGATTCTTGATGAAGGATTTGACTACTTTTTACTGTAATAACCGACATACACGCGGGCAGAGCCGAGGGGTAAAGCTAGTTATAAATAAATTACATATAGACACAGAACAAATGAAAGTGCTCATTACACAATTATTTGTCGTGGATATGAGTCGAACTTACGATATCTGGCTCAGTAGAAAAAATCACTAACTATTATTTTTTGTTTTCAATATGCCAGTAGTCTATATTTTGATTGAAGACTGAAAAAAAACTAGCACTTGCGGAGTGCTGACAGAAGTGAAAACATATATTTACATACAGGTAGAGGGAGGGGACGGTAAAGGTAACAGTGTCACGAGTTCAATGGTTTTTTCAATCTCAAGAATGTGTTTTTTTGTTAAACCATAAAATACATTCTTTTTTATATTGTTCAAAAATTTCCAAGGCGCCTAAAGAAGCTTTCACTTCAAAAAATGCTTAATAAAGGTTTTCTTTGAAGCGATCACTCCTTGAGCCGGCCCATATGAGCAGAAGCACGGCTCTCCACTATGCCCAGGGTACTATATTAAATAGCAAATTTAGTTTGAAATAAATACTTAGTAATTCGAAATTTAAAAAAAACGGGCTGGGTGTATGTATGCAAGAAGTGTCGGAAAAAAGTCTTGTTACACATTCTTCGGCGATTAAAAACTTCGTTCTAAAAAACGACTATTCCAACTGCTATAAAAACTGTCCACTACACTACCTAAGATTAAATTATAATATAGTTTTCATTTAAATAACAAATTAGACAATCAATTTCAAAGTATTTTACGGGATTTTAAATAATTAGACATAAATATACAGTTATTATCTAACAACTCTTTTCAGATATAAAGCCCAGCTTTTAACATGACCAAGCTACACACAATCAACGGACACAACTCACTAAAACCATAACCACCATTTTTAACATACCTGTAACAGTGCGGGACCCATCACTGGGACAAGAAATCCTTGGTAGAGCAGATCTAGGAGGTGCTTCTTTATAGATGGGTGGGCAACCTGATGAGGAAATGTTATGTTACAATGATAATGTCTTGGGTCATGTTCCATATTTATACCCAGGACTAAGCACGGTTAAATATACTTGCGTACATTTTGTCTTGTTATGTACGGAAATACGCAGATAAATGCAAGTATATATAGTTTTCATGCATACAAACAGTTGTACTAAACGGGAATTCAACCCACAATCTAATTTTTCGTATGAAAACCCCCAGGTCATCACTCTACCAGAGCTAAGGATGAAGTGGTGTTTCGGCCATAAACCGACTAAAACCACATGGTGTTCAGTCAAAATCTATTGCCGGAGACGCGGGCTACCTGATAATCAGTTACCGTTCGCAATAGAGGTTGTCATTATGAATGTTTGTGGTTTAAAACTAAATATTAAAATTACAGAATTAGGATTGGAAATTTAGAATTTTCTATGGAATACCTGAGCAACAGCATTACAAAACTCCAAGGAGTCGATAAACAGCGTTAATTTGTGTACTTGGTTAACATCGTCGGGCGTGAGCCGGTAGATATCATCGTTTAGCGTACGCGGCAGAAGAGAGTAGAGACCGCTAAGACCTGCAAACAACAATGGACTTTATACTTAACATATTAAGACTTTCTTTAGTACAACACAGTCAGGTATTCAATTTAATTTTACTCGTTATTTTCAATACCAGTATTTTTACTTAGTACAAGTTTTTTGATATCTTTAACATTTATTAAAATTCAACTGTATATATTTCAGGGACGCTAGGCTAGTTGTCGGGGTCCTGGATTCAATTCCCAACGAGGACAAATAATAGTGTGATGAGTACGATCATTTGTTCTGTGTAGGTGTTTTTTTTAAATACAACTTGACTTATTACACGTGACCATCTGATCTCATACTATGCCGAGATAATCATTATCATCATTATCAGATAATCATACTGATATATTCTTAAATACATACATATTACAGATAAACCACACCGAAACATAGAACAAATGATTTTACTTATTAAACAATATTTGTCTTGGGTGGAAATCGAACCCATAACCTTTGACTTAGCATTCAGGATTGCTAACCACTAAACCAACAGTTTGTGCGTGAGATGTGTTTAGTTATTATTATTATAAAACTACATCTTTTATTTGTACTTTGTTATAATACGAGTATAAAGCATACCTGTAGCTAGTACTGGGCAGGTGTTTCCGGACAACATGAAGTCAGCCAGCTCCGGACACCTGGCGGACATCTTAGCACATAACAGCAAGGCGTCCCTTGCTGTCGACCCTGTGCTACCTTCACGGTGGACGGACGCTAATAATAGACGGACTATGATAAACCTGGAAAATGTATTAAAGATACATTTTTATGGTCATTGTGGCAAAACATCTAAGAAATTTGTATTTACAGAAACTAAATATCGGTGGTGTTTGGGTGTAAGATATAAAATAATAAATAAATTCTTTATTGTAAAAATGGTTAAAACTAGCGTAAGCTGTATATCGGGCATCAGTTCCAAATGAATGATAAAATAAATTGTAACAATTATCATGTGGAACATACATAGAAACATGGAAGCATCCTTATAATAATCGTATTTTGTTAATTTTTCGTCGGCTCGCGGCGCTCGTTTTAAATTTGAACTACGTTGTTCCCAGCAATAATCTTTCTACATCATCGTAGCCAAAACTCTTAAGCACTATTTAAGTTGAGTTTTCTATTTGTGTATCACTCCTGTCAAGTCGGCCCATACCGTAGCATGGCTCTTTCACGGAAAAAGAGGATATTAAACAGACCTAACTAACGAATATAACGAATAACGCATATACAATCGAACTAACGAATATACAATCTAATTCCGCGAGTACAGGGCGTAATCATAGCAAAATGAACTCTAATACAATACACGTATACAGTACATTTTCGTATACATCCAGCAAATAAACGATTTGTCCGTCCAAGTAATGAAAAACATATCTTACTCGGCCTGTGACCCTTTTTGCGTGTGCGTCGTTAAGAAAAACAAATCAATAAAATTCATATTCTGCATCAACGCCACACATAGCTGGTTCAAAACCGTCACCAATTCAGCTGGAAAAAATTAAATAGGTATCAAAGTTGTTACTGCCTCACTTTTATGCAAATCTATTGAAACTTACTCTTAAAAAATCGATTCGGTTTCATTTTTATACACTCCTAAATAAAATAAAAACAGTGCCACTCCGGGAGTGCCGACTGAAGTGAAAATGTAAAAATTTTGATTACAGCAGGAAAGAAAATGTTTTTTACGATTCGAAAATTTCCGCCATGAATATATATCTATGTTGTGAGTATATACATAATACCTATATGTTTTTATTATATACAGTCATATTATCAATGTATTTCAACCCAAACTCAAACCAACGCACCTTTTCTTGATAAAGGAATGACAGAGTTCTGAGGTAACAAACTTTAAAAAAACAGAGGAATCGTGAACCTCGTTCCTTTTAGGAAATCAATTACCTGTTAATAGCAGTAATAAAAGTTCAAAAATTGTTTTGTATTTTGTATGGACATTTTGTTAATTTACGTTGGCTTTTCAAATAGACTATTGAAATTTATACATCCGTTAGTAATTTAACAAATAGAATACTTAAGGCTAGTGAGATATCGTGATATATATGATAAATTTCAGCCTCCGAGCTTGTTTCCCAAACTGGAATCTGGATCGATGTGGGGTTTTAGTCTATTACGACACGGCTGATGCTAACTTTGCAATGTGCTGACCACTTCTGATATATAAATACGATAACAAAAATATTTTTAATTTCATACGATAGTAAATCTTATCATTCTTACTCTCAACATTAGGCGGTGGTAACTCGTTCCTGAATCCGCTAAGCAGTTTGAGCAGTGGCCTTAATAATGGTTCTGCAGCTATCACCTGCATAAGTAATAGTTATCTTATTATAACAATGTATAAGTTAGTATAAATTATCCGTGTGGTGGCTGATTAAGAATAAGGAGTGTCATCACTCATCACCTTTGTTAATCCCGTGGGTGGCCTAAGAGACGACTAAGGGAGCAAACTACGCAGCAATGCAAAGAGACGGAAAATTTGAAACAAACCCTATGACAACCCGTCTAGTAGCGTGGTATAGTAGGCTTAAACCTCCTTTCTAAGGAGAGGCTTATGTCCAGCAGTGGATTATTAAAGGCTTATGTATAAATTATTAAAATATATAGATTTTACGTAAATCTCGAAAATAAAAACAATAAAAATTAGTGTTCTCTGTATCTTCTATACTGTAGAAATAAAGCTTCTTAGGGGTGTGTTTGGATCGGAAAATCTCAGTGGTCACACGTTACTTCGATCACATGCTGCAATTCGCCGCGTGAGATTGATATTTCTTTACCATTATGAAGGTAGCTTTTTCCGCAGCTTAATTAATAACAAGGAGTTGAAAGTTGCGTGTTTCATGCTTATAAAAATGTCGGTAGGTAAAGTACGAACAGTACGAAAAGAAGTAGCATAACCTAAAATCGTCAAACGACATTTATTTATTTATGCTATGACACAGAGATATAAAAGAAAAAGAAGCAACTTCAAAAGAAAATTTCTACAAGTGATAACCGCTGTAGGAATTGAATTACACTTTATTGTGTTGGGACAAGAATTTTAACTATTATACTCAGTAGAACTCCTGTTTTAACGCAAATACTGATTCTGTAGTATTTTGTAAAACAGTTTTGCGTTTTCTCGGCTACAGTTTAGTTAAAGTAAGCAGTGATGAAAAGATGATATACCTGCGTGCTATAATGGGTGATGAGGTTCCTGAATAGCTTAAGTTGTTCCAATCGTACGACATTTTCGTATCTGCAACAAACAAAAATATCACATGTGGTCAAATATATCACAGTTATAATTTGAGGTTTATGAACACAAGTATGAATAGGAACGTAGATAGGCACCGGGTATTAACCGGTAGATGACTGCGATTAAATATGACTACTGTTTTTTTTTTAACTTGTTTTATATTCTTCTTGATTTTATATACAACTAAAGTTTAGTTTTTAATTTTAATATTTATGATTTAAAAGCCCGGAACAAAACAGTGGTTGGATGCAATTTACAATTTTTTTTGTTAAAGATTGACTGGCTGTGAATTCGTTTTCCCAATTTCTTCTCATTAGGCTTACCTATTTCGAAATTACATTCTTGTGTGGTGACGGATTAACAATACGGAGTGTCACCACACCTATTCATCCCGTTTCATTCAGGCCTATTTCCAGCAGTAAACTATTAAAGGCTGTTCATGTAATGTGATTTCGACATTGGTGGTTATACATGTCAACACAGGTAAATACGCTATTATCAATTTTATAATATTTTTAATATTCGTGTATTTAAAAAAAAAAGCAAACACTAATTGGTTTGGTAATTCTCAAGTAAAGTATTTCATTGGTATTTATATAGATAGATACAATCTGTGACCGTGAGTTGAAATTCCACGAATAGCTACTACAGAAACTGTCTAGGTTTTTTTTTTAATAGACAATTCTCGCATTAGGAATATATCCTGTATCGCGGGTAACTTTACAAACAAACATGAAACGGGCACAAAGAACACCCGGACTCAGAACAACAATTTGTGGATCACACAAAGTGTTGGCCCATGTGGGGATCGGACCCACAACACTCAGCTTAATAGTGAGCGGCGCGTGGCGACCGCTTAAACCGCTACGCCATCCGTGTAGTCAACGTGTCATGTGCCTCCAACACAAGGGGAGGATCCTCCGACCACGCGAGGTAATCATGCCTGGAGATAACAACTATTCATTATTATGTTGTTGGTATGCTAATTGGCGTGAGAATTATTCATATCGCGATATAGGATTGACAGTTACTCTTTATTTCGGTGTATCTTCGTTAGATGGCGCTGTAGTGTGTTTCTTCGTTTCGCCGTATATTAAAGTCGCCACAAAACTATAAAAATGTCTACTGTAGACAGTTTGTATTTTAAACTGTAGAATAAGGTATTTATATTAAATATAATTTATTGGAATTAAGAATTGAATTATTTATTTAGGTAACTAATATATAGATTTCTACATTACGTTTGACATTAACTTTCCATGTTCATTATAATCTAAGTACCTAATCAAATAGTTGTAATTAGTGTAATTGTACCAATTTATTATTAAAATTATTAGTCACACTAACATCACAAAATCATTGTTTTAAAGTTTAGCTTAAGTAACGGGCAATATTTTATTTATTTATATATTAAACACTATGAGTCATTAACGAATACAGAATCGGTTGACGTATTAGCAGGTATAAGTACCACTGCCAACTTTTTTATCGGTAGAGTGGAATACACAAAGCCGTAAATGCTATGGTAAACAGGTGCAATAATACCCACTATATTAACTGGGTTTCACTATCAATCGATATCTAATATGACTATTAAATAATTAGATTTCTAATAAAGAAATTGTAGAAATAATCATTTTGTGTTTGTCGACGAGGTTTGCCTATTAGCCTTATAACAACTAACAAACCAACGAAAACTTTAAATTTAAAGTGTGCACTACGAAATTAATTTTATGTAAACAGATTACACACCCAAATTAATAAAATAATACCTACTCTTTAAATAGTACATTTAGCACCAACTATTAACTATTTTAATAAAATATAATCACTACTTATAAATCTACTTTCTTGTTGTGTTGTCACTGACTGGTTGTAGAAGTGACTATATCTTATTGGTTGTCTGTTTTCTTCCTAAGCCAGTTAAATAAATCAAAAATGTTTTATCTATTTCTATACAAATGAATAAAATTGAAGTATCTGTTTGTAATGTCAAAGTAATAGTTTTTTTTTTATGCTCCCACGGTTATTTGCAAGATACCTATGCCTAAACACCAGTTTAAATATTTCTTGTCTGTCTGTCGGTCTGTATGTCTGTTTGTTCCGGGAAATCTTCGAAACAGTTGGACCGATTTTGATGGTATTTTACTACCAGGCAACTGTCTATATAAGGAGTAACTTTGGCAATTCTTTCTCTTAGAAAAACCCTATAAAATTTCGAAACCATTAAGACAGCGCTTTTCAAATGCCACGCGAACAAAGTAGTAGGCAACAGCTAGTATGAAATAAAAACGATAATCAGGAAATATTGCATAAGGTTAAAAAATAAAAAGGGCACGAGAACCAGAATGGTATAGGAACCGATCAAAATCTACATGGAGGATTAATAAAAACAAATCTGATGTGAATTAATATTAACACAGCTAGTCTTGTAAAATAGATGAGTCACGCGTCTTGTTGCAATTGTCGTTAAATATTACCACAAAACGTGACTCAATTATCATAGTAGGTCGGCTGTTTGTATTCAAGACAACAAGGGACCAATATATATATATGAGCATGCAAAACATAATTAATAATCAAAAGTAGCACAGAATGAAAAGACAATAACCGTTATCACGATTCATTCACTCACAGATTAAAATTATTGCGATAAGGATTAACTGTGACGGATATAATTCGAGTGTTAATAACGTATTCGAATGATTAAAATAAGTTTTATATGATCGTTTTGTTTTAATTTAATTCTTTTTGAGATAAGTTATATTGTTATTGTCTGTTGTTGTATTTCGACGGGATTATTCGAATTTATCTTGTTTTATTGCTAACAATAAAACATACATCAAAATTTCGAGTTAAAGGCTTGATGGTCGTTTATAATAAGTTATTATAAACGACCATCAAGCCTTTAACTCGTAATTTTGATTATCGCTCATCTATTTTCTATAAAAATAAAAATGAATCGCCGAAATGTAGGTACGCACATTACTTCCGAACGACTGCACCCCTATTTGGATAATTCTTATTTTTGTTTACTAACTACGGATTCGAATTAAACTTTTTTTTAGTGGATTATTTTAGTTGGATAGCCCCTTTATCGAGGAAGGATCACATCATCATCATCAACAGCCGGTCACTGCTGGACATAGGCCTCTCCTTAGAAAGGAGGTTTTGGCCCAATATACCACGCTGGCCAGACGGGTTGATATAGGATTTGTGTCAAGTTTTCCTTCTTTTTGCAGTACTGTTATCCTGCGTTGTATTGCGCCCTTAGTCGACTCTTACGACACCCACGGGATGAATAGGGGTAGTGACATTCTGTATTCTTAATCCGTCACTACACGGATACTTCTTTGTATACTATACATCAAACGAGGCGAGGCAGGCAGAAGCGTATTTTTTCTTTGTTTAAAAAAAGACAACTACCGCACTAGGAATAACTTCTTTGCCGAGTACCGTCGACCGGGCACTTTGGAGATTAAGGGAAGGTAAAATTGAAAAGGAATTATAGTTAAGAAAGGAATTGTTAGAGGGTTCATATTTCTAAGTAACATCCAGTTCGGGTTACAAGTATCCGACCTTGACCTTCTGGACCTATTGCTAATACAACCCTACCCTTCCTTCTTTTGACCTTCTTCTGTCATCGTATATGCAAAAAGCCGGTGATCGCTTGAGCATTTAAGGCGTGATGGCGTATCTAAGAAATCGAGAGCAAGGAACCATAGTATCGTAGTCTAATGTTTCGTAATCTGTAGTAAATGATAATTTTAATTTGTATTGTGTAAGCACTATTCCTATCCTTCCATTACAATTTAATAAATTTGGCGACTTTTTTAAAAAAGCACTTGCTTGCTAACCAAGACAGGTAGGGGTGTAGTTATGCAACAAAAACAAGCCAAGTTACTTCTAAACCACAAAATTTGGTTAAAATTAACGCTAAATTCTTTTGTTTTTCTTTTTTTAGTTACAATGAATTTGCCCACACATTCACATTTGTGTTTTTGATCTGATATAATTTACATTCAGACATAGTCTGATTTAGTTGACTATCGTTGTTGTCGGTATTTCATATGGATGACGAAACTGAAGTCATCAGATGCTTCTAAAAACAATTTTAATAATTATCAGACCAAGAATTAGAAATTTGTATTTCATTTTAAATTTTAATATATGTACAGTGGTTTATAAGTATTCTGAATGTTATTATATTCTTTGAATAAATAACTCACTAATGTTTTTGCTTCGCAATAAATCATTGTTGCAACGAATCGAGTTGCATGAAGTTCCTTATCGCATTGTATATTAATTCCAATGTTGAAGATGATACCGTAAAGTCCATCTATATTAGTCCAAAGGAATGTTTGTTTCATTCTTGCCTTCTCAGACGTATTCTTTTTAAATTTTACTAACCGTTTTTTTTTCTTCACATAATCTATTACTTGTCTACCCAGTAGCGTCGGAAAAGATGGCCTGAGTTCGATCTCCGCTCACACACTTCTGATTTAATGATGTTTAAAATATTGTAATGAAACCTATAAATCAGAGAGTCCGGCTCCCGGAAATAGACCAGGCGTAACGAAATAACACGCCTGAAAAAATAACAGCATTGTTTTAGAGAGTAAGAGGAGAGTTTTGGGTTAAATTCTGCTAAATTCTTAATGTTTCCAGACTTCAATGAGTTCTTTATTTCTTTTTGTAAGACATCTAGTCGTATAAGTAATATTAGGTAGATGTTTTTTCTTTCTCCTCCTGCCAACTAATCTGTCTACGAATTTGGATCAGCTAAAATGCTTTGAAATATGCCAACATCGTTCAGAGTTATTAGAAGATATAATGACAGATAATGTAAATATGTATAAAATAACTTAAGGTACAACAAGTTCACTTTTATCACAATCCAGACGATGTATCTGAAACTATTTAGATAATTACTATCAGTCAGATTAGCTACCAATGTATGATAATAACATGTACGAAGATATTGTAAGCGTGTATATTTATGTGAATTATGTCTCCTAAGTTACACTCGTATCCGTACGATAATACATCATTATAATTATTATCATTAAAATCTTATCATTTTTGTATCTAGGATTTTTTTAGATTAGAGGCGAAATGTTAGAAGTATTCTGACACAATTATAATGTAGGAATTATTACAGAAAATTAATTCAATTACATCTTGGCTCCAGATTGCACAAGATCACGTACATTGTAGGAGGACTATAACCGAGGAGTCGCAACAGGCTGAAGAGAGAGAGTGAATGTGTGTATGTGTATGTGTGAGAGAGAAACAATCAATATATCAATATATAATATCAATTCATACTAAGTGACAAAAGTACGTAAAATGAGTTACGTGGAAGAGCTGTGCATGGGCACATATGGGCCGGCTCGACCGGAGTGATACCATGGCCTGCCAAAAAACCGGTGCTAAGCAATTCGTTAGTTGCTTTTCACTGAATGAGTAAGGTTGCCGAAGGACCGACTTCCTTCCGCCCTAAAACTCTATGGGTAAAGCTTGTTTGATTTTTTAATGGTAAGTTTTAACATTTAGTCATGTTGCAATTATTACTCTACAGAAAGTACCAACTGTATGATTGCACAATAATATTATAGCAGTCTATATCAATAGACTTAATATAAAGTAATAAACGGTGTGACGCTGAATGGTTGAACCAGAATCGATATCATGATAATGATTTGTCAATAAGTATTAAGTGTCAATAGTTTGGAGAATGAAACAAACATTATGATTGCATTTCAATTTTCTGGAATTCTGGAGAACCTGTTGCAAGACTAAGACTGCATTTCTGTCTGTTGGGTCTTAATCTATATATATTAATGTAGTTGGCTACGCAACGGCAAATATGTTTACTGTTCTGTATCTTTTATTTACGGTTTTTTTTGGAACTGGGCACTCAAGAGACAAGAGAGCGTTGCCACTAGGGATGAAATAAAACCACAATCATCTTTTTATAATTCATATATTTATAAATCATATGAATTATTAAAAGTATAATTACACGTGTGAATAATTTACAACATCACCGCTAGTTATGATTATGATAACTCTAGCGCCAGACTCGCGAAAGAACTAAAATTTAAAAAGAAGGTCGTAGTCTTTGATAAAGTTTGGTCTTTCCTTTGCTTATGTTTTTGATGACATTAATCTTTTGTCTTTATCAAATCCCAGTAGTGATTTATCACAGGTAAACCTCAATGTTTAAAAAAAACATTTTAGCATATGATTTTAGCATTAAAAGTAGCAATAATTTTCATCACTAGTTGTCACCCTTTAAATGTCTCTCTAGACTTATGAGGGGGTTATTGCTCCGCTTACTTCAGTCATTCGGTGAAAAGCAATGAAACATCGGTTTTCTGTAAGGTCGCTGTACCGCTTCGGTCGAACCGACCCATGTGTCTCCCACGGTTAAACGTAAAACAAAATAGTAGAGCAACGAACTTAATTCTTATCTTCAAAAAGTATCTTTGTTTATTGTTCTTAGTACGTAATTAGAACAAAAACTAAACCAAAAAAAAAAGTATACGCAATACAAGCTGTCTTTGCGTAATTTCTGCTATTACACTAAAAACTACGTTATAAATATTTATATTTCCTCCGGCAAAGTAATAAAATATAAAACGTAGATAATGTTGAATTAAATAAGTAACAAATGTCATAATATACTAATGGTGGTAATAATAACATTAGAGGGATCGGACTTTCGCCCGATTAACGGCAAAAAGTCTAATACGCAATCATCAACAGCCTTTAATAGTCTAGTGCTGGACATAGGCCTCTGATTAGAAAGGTGGTTTTGGCGTACTATACAACGCTGGCCAGACGGGTTGGTATAGGGTTTGTTTCAAGTATTCCTTATCTTTGTAGTGCTGTTGTCCTGCGTAGTTTACTCCCTTAGTCTGCTCTTACGACATGCGCAAGTGGGACAATAATTATAGTTAGCAAAATATGGGCGTTTAAAACCTCTGGTTACCCCTTTGGGGATATAGGCGTGAGTGTATTTATATCATAATGGAGTCTTGTAAGATTTCAACTGTCAAGTGTAAGTGCATGAACCGTGACTGGTATTATAATTACTAAGTACTCGTACACAGAATGAATTGTAATACCAGTAAATCCTTTATATTGCTTTGCTCAATTGCTTATGATATGGATGCTTGCCATTTCTATATAACATATATTCTTTTTAGGAAAAATACTTTTTAACGGCTTGGCATATTTCCCATATGGCAAGCCTTTTCTTTCGATGCGTCTTATTGCATAGAATGATATTTTTTATCACATTTTTTATGACTAAGAATATAAAATGTGATAAAAGTAACGATAACATTTTTTTTACTAGAAGAACAATCAATCTTTATTAATATTATAAAGAATGTGTGTGTATTTGGAGGATTAGTAACTGTTGCACCTATTTAAAAATATATATCTTTGAAATGGTACATAGCGCTAGACATAATTTGACGGGTTGTTCTATATGTGGTTAGTGACTCTGACTGCTAATTCGGGGATCGTGACTTCGATTCCCACCCTGGACAAATAATAATGTGATGAGCACGATCATTTGTTCTGAGTCAGGGTGTAATTTATCTATGATATGTATGTTTTTAGCAATATTTAAGCATATTTATTAGCAGTCTGGTTACCATAGCACTGGCTCTGCCTAGTTTGGGATAAGACTGCCGTGTGTGAGAAGTTATTCCATATAATAATCAATGAAAATGAAAGAAAACAGTGCAGCTCATGAAATACTTAAATTTAAGAGCCAATTACGTTTATAGATGCCTGTCACAATAGAGAAGTGTCTATTTGTTTGCCTAAGTATGCAAAATTAAAGAAAACAAAAGCTTTATAATATGCCATAGGACACAATACATAAGTCTATCTACACACCTACAAGTTCCTTACTGTGTTATGTTGATGCGGGTATGAGAGGCAGTGTTCGCGACTGACAAATTTACCATCGAAAACTATTTTTTTTGCGATAAAACGAGCAGACGGGTCACCTGATGGAAAGCGACTACCGCCGCCCATGAACGCCTGCAACCCGGGAGACACAGGCGCGTTGCCAACCTTTGAAGAAGGAGTACGCTCTTTTCTTGAAGGTTTGAAGGTCGTATCGGTCCGGCTATACCGCAGCCGATAACTTGTTCCACAGATTGGTAGTGCGCGGCAAAAAGTCTCTTCAAAAGCGCACACTGGTGGTGCGCCAATTATCCGAGTGGTGGGGATGAAAATTTTGCCGTGTGGAACGATGGCGGAAGGTTGCGGCCGGTATTAGTCCGAACAACTCCTCGGAGCACTCTCCATGTTATACATATACGATAGAGAATGTAGAGCGAAGCTACATCTCTACGTAACGCCAAGGGATCGAGCCGGTCGCAAATCTTTTGGCTATCGACGATTCGAGTCACTCTTCTTTGGGGTCCAGAGGGTATTCGTATTCGTAGTCTACTTCACGGGAAAGAATTTTAAAGTATACAGCATTTCTATTGTTTCAAATAAAGTTATAATGTATCGATAGCGGAAATATAGTATTTCACGGGCGAAATATAGTATTTTTATTTAATAACATTATTTATGTTTTTTTTTCTCTTTTTATCTTAAAGGAGCCTGATTGTATTGTATAATAATTTAAAGCAGAAAAATGACATGGAAAATTTTGGACATGGAAAAATGATCTTTGTTGATTTAAAAAATCTCATTTGAGGAGCGTGCAATATACTACGTCGGCTAGGTCCGTCGGGTAGCTTCAGCTTCGTGCGTTCAACTGTATGTTAATATGCCTAGCATGGCGTCCCTACTACATACAATAGAAAGGGACGGTATACTAAACATTTTTTAACACTATTTAGTCAGGCACGACTAGAGCCCTGTCCGAATCTTCGTTCTAACTACTTGATAGTATGGCAAAACCAAATGCTGCTATCTCTTTCTACCACAGAACTTGAAGATATTTTAAACACACTTACTTGCCAGTACACACAGCCCACTCGTACAATTTGTCCAGTAGGTTTTCACTAAGCAAATAGTCGAGGCAAGCGGCCGGACTTGTTGATGTGTTGATTTCTCTCGCTCTTGCTTCTAGTACCAGCAGTGTGGTCAGCTGTTCTAAGTGGTTAACAACGCCTAAGACGTCATCGTGGAGGTGTTGAGGCTGAAGGAATGTCATGAATTGTAATTTAACTGTAGGAGACCCATACTACGGCAGGCTGGCCGCTGGACCGGAGTGACCCCACGGCCTCACAGAAAACCAGTGTAAAGCAATTATTTCGTTGCTCGAAGGACCAACCCTTCCCGTATATTTCTAGAGGGAGTATTAAAACGGGTGCGGCGCACTTGTGACGCTTTATCTGTAGATGTCGGTGGTAGCCACTTATGATCAGGTGAGAAGTCTGCTCGTTCGCATTGTAAAAAAAGTCACAGTTTTATATAATAAACAAGTGTTAATATAACTGTCCGTCATCCAGCGAAAATAAGATAATTATAAGTAACGGTGGAGTATTACAAATTATACTGAATCGCGCAATTAAAGTTCTTAGCGTTTGTACAAAATTCCAATAGCAACTTTGGGGTCGCGGCTTGCCAGTTATGGTCTTTTTACTTGGACGGTGCCTTTGTTGGCAAATAGAGTCTAAAGGCTTTTATATAATCTACAATATATACACACATGTCGCCGGGTCTAGTTCATAATATCGCTAATCACTACATTGATCATCCCTATATCGAAAACAATGTTAATGTAGCGAGAGTATAATAGAGCCATATCGATGGCAGGCAGCATCGACAACCCGATTTAAGCTATATATATAAACAATTTTTTTAAGGGTATGATAACCAAAACTATATTTTGTAAGTCATAGTAGTAGATATTTAATTATTCGTACCAGATTATTAATGACTTTACTTAAAAAGAAAGTACTTAAAATTGTTTTTGGATTTATTCAATTATTTATCAATTTATTATTGAATATCGCTGCAGTAACCTGTCGATGGTTCGATATAGCGACGATCGATGTTATGGTGACTGTGATGTTGATTGGCGATATTATGAACTAGACCCCATGTCGCCATACCAACGAAACTCAAGGAGCTGACTCAGAAGCCAGGTACTTGTGACTCTTGAGTTGCAAGTTTCTACAGGCAGCGGTATTCACTCACCATCATGTGATACGTCTAAAAAACATACTTAACTTATATTTAAACTTATGTACCTGAGATTTAAGTATAATATCGTGTGCTTGTTGCCAATGTTTGCAGAACGAGTTGTAGCAGGCGTGTGGCTCGTAGTCGTGGCGAGGGTCCAGGGAACGCGACAGCTGTCGGGCGAACGAGAGGCTCGTTGAACGAAGCCAACTCATCTTGACGATTTATGTGTTGGTCATCTGTGAAGGAAGCAACTATGTAGGTTGTATGATTCTGACAATCCTGTTGGTACAGTGATTAGTTTTGCTGATTGCTAAGCCAGAGCAGAGTAAATTTGATTCCCGATTTCAATTATTTGTTATGTGTCTAGGAGTAACTTATTAAAAAATATATAAATATGTTTGTCTGTATAAGTATGAATGCTGTGTGTGAGATGTGTGAAGTTAAAGTTTATTATATTTCGAAATAAATAGAGTAATAATGATATTTCAAGAGACAAGTTTCAATACAGGACAGACAGGAAAATTGAGATTAAGGAGGCCATTTACTTGACGGAGGCTAATAGAAAAAGAGAAGCTATATCATAAGGTTCTGCCTTTTGGAAACGAGTTTGCTATAGGTATACATTTATTTTGCTAAATTTTTAACAAAACAGATTGCTGTTATTGTGTGTATTAATCTACGACTGTAGTCTACATAAGAGATGAATTAAAAAAAGGAAGGATTTTATGAAATAAAGATACTTTGACTAAATCGCTATGTTTATTTTAATCTGTATTTACCCTTTCCTTTAATAAATAAAATATCACCTATGAAACCCACATTTCTAACATCACACAGAATATTGACTTGACAATTTCTTAGATTGGTCTATAATAACTAATAGTTTTAATCCACAAAGCGTACACTTGGCCTTGGGCCTACGCACTACGCCCTAGGCACTACTAGCCCGCAAGCTTCGCGATGCGTTAAAGTACATTGCGTGTTTTTTATGACATTCATAAACAATCTACAAAGACGAAGAATCTCTACCTTATATGAAAGCCGAAAGTAGATTGATCAGTGTCCAGGGTAGTATACTAATAGTGCGCGTTGCGTCTGTGTGCATGTAAAATATTAATGTGGGTGTTCAATCTGGAGTTCTCACGTTTGGGGAATACAGTCTTAACCTCCACACATACTGCTGAGTTATGACTATGTTTACTAACGCGCACCTATCTGCTGTCAATCCGCTTTCAGAGGACAACCTTTGGTACAAATATATTTCTAAGCCACACTTTAACACGAACAAAATGGCGTTAGTAATAATCTACGTAATTTAGTACAATACTGCTTGCATAAAAGTGTATTGTTATTTTAGGTTTTGTCTGACATTTTCCAATAGAAAAGAACTCAAATGGTTTACTATTGTTTCTTCACAAAAACCGCTCGTTTTACAAATATTCCTAACAGTTACAGATTCGATTACAATTGTGTGTTTTGACTTTGTCCTTGCTTTACCAAGTAAAGGACAATTATAATTAGGGTATTTAAATTTTTATAACTTATGTTTTAAATATTTAAATACCCTAGTTATAATTGACAATCAATTTTGCTCACAATATGTATTCATGCTAAAACTTTTATCGCTTTGTCGTAATAAGAATATTGAATGAGGCGTTGACGATATTTTTAATTATCTTACACACGGCTGTCCGATCTCAAACTAAACAGAGCCTGTGCTTCTGCTGGTAAAAATACTTAAATATTTCTAAATACGCATGTATGTATATGTTATATATAAATTACACCCAGACACGCCGCAGTTACGCCGAATTCTCTACTCTTAGTTGCCAACTCTTAGATCATGTAAGATATCTGGGATGTCAGTTATGTGTAGTTAATAATTTTGTATGTACTTCGCAAATATTAAATGACAGTTTCCTTTCTTACTGTATAAATAAACATTTATAAACATTTACCGTAAAATATGTTTTAAAAGCAAACAAGAATGGCCGGAGATGGGTCGCCTGACGGTCTTCGGCCGTTTAATAAAACCTTCTAATAAGCCCTTTCTAAGCATAAAGCCATGTCTAAGGGATTGTTGCATAATGTGAGTGTTTATTACTACGCATAGATAACCTATATTATAAGTTCTAGAATTGTTTTGTTTACGATAGCGATGTGTCTTACAAATTTAACACTTAAGTAGAACTATATAAAGCACATTTTTCAAACAATAAATATATATTTATAATAGAGTTAATTATCCTCTTGTCTGTTGAAACACCGGCTCCCGGTATAAACACATTTTCGCCGGAACTGTTGACATACCGGGAGCCGGTATGGGTAAGTGTGTTCTCATAATCGCTCTAAAGCACGTCATTGTATATACCCTATCCTTTCTAACACGTTACAAATGCATAAAGAAGAAACAGGCTGACTAGTGAAGCCAAAATCTCGCGCAGCTTTAGTGAAAAAAAATGTAAACAAGAGTCAGTCAAAACTCCGCCATCGCCTAGGTGACTACTTATTTTTTGTGTTGGTGAAAACTTGTGTTTTATCTTGAAGTGATTCGCTGAATATTAGAAAAAACGATGGAAGGGTAAGTAATTATTGATTATGTATACAAATTATATAATAGTTCTGTTAATTTTCACTAAAAATCGGTCTGTAACTATCAGCATGTTCAATGTCGAACATGTGACGACGATTTTATTGTCGTCATATTTCAACCAAAAATGGATGAAAAGGCAAGTTGATGTTAGATCTAAGACGTAAAATTAATTAGTTTTGATATATTTCATAGGTAGCATTATATTTCTTTCAAAAACATGAAAATATGTAATGGAAATGGGAGTACATAGTCTCATACCGGGAGCCGGTTACGTCAACAGTATACGTTTGACATTTATGGGCAGCCATGTTTTTTGTGTTTCTGGGATGCTTCCTAAGTATGGATATGCCTCAGAAATGTTTTTGTATGCATTAAAATTTTAATTTATTTTTTATTTTTGCAATTTTTTTCATTATCGGTTTTTCTTTTGGTTTTTGTATTGAGCAAAATTATATTTTTAGTTATTACGATACTGGTACTGATTTTCATATTTTCTAAGGATTCCTCCAGACGGGGCTTCATCTTCATCATCAGCCGTCAGGGCTCCTCCTTTGAGGGACGAGGAAATTGCCCGAATCTTGAATCATGGTAAGTGAATATTTTTCTTTCAGACCTATCTTTTAGTAGTATATATATATCTGTTTACATAGGTAAAACAGACTACAGTATATTATTATTATTTACACAGGCAGGGAAGAGGATGCTGACAGCGATGATGAAGATGAAGATTTAGTTCAGCCAGTGCATCTGCCGAGGAGAGCTGAAAGACTTTTTATGTCTGAGGAAGACACTGAGGTGCCACCGATAAACGCTGCTATAGGCTTTGAGTGGCCACCTCAACTTCCCTCCGGCCTGCAGCCCCAACCTAGCGCCCAGCCCGAACCCGAACCCAACGCCGAGCCTGAACCCAGTGCCGACCCCGAAGCCAGCGCCGAGCCATACAATAAGTTTGATTTTAAGTGGAGAGGGTTTTCAGAATCTCAAATTCCTCCTGAATTGAGAAAAAAACCATTCTCCGAAATTAATTGTGGTCCCACAGTTCCATTGGCGAGCGATGTGTGTTCACCTGCTTTGAGCCACATCACACTTAACAGTAACACATCACACAAACAGTATACCTATACGCACAGCTACTCAGGAACACACAGGAGTCTGAAACGCTTTATGTCGCCAGTTCAGTGGGAATTAGGAAGGTAAGTATATTTGTCCAAATCGTGAAACAGTAAGACAATTAAGGCTGTATATGTATATTTATGTATTTGAAAGTAATATTTTTACGTATTTATTTCTTTATTTACGTAGGTTACATTTTCATTAAAAATATCTATCTATCTATCTATATTTATTATTATTAGCAATATTTTGGGTAAAATATATAATTGTAGTTCCCTCGGTTGCGTCATTCGTTTGGATTACAGTCATCATTATTTGAGAGTGCTGCCAACCCTTTTAATCTACAAGAAATATCAGTGCTGCTAACCCTTGTATTCTACAAGCAATATCCCACGAAATCAGGGACTATATTTGATCTTATCATTAGCTATGACTGCAATATTCATTTTTTGAATTAGCAAAAATTTATAAAAGTACTTATACTAAATGTGTAAATATCAACTACTCAAATGCAGTGGTAAATTTATCAAAAAACGTTAGATTTAGCGTTGAAATCATTCTGTTGGCAGCTCTCTGGTTAGTACTTTGGTATATGGGCGTTTTTCAAAAAAACTGACCGTTACGTTACCGGAATGTGACCGGAATCCACTTTTTTGACCTATGCAATGTGTAACATATTAAAGTGCAAAGCTCATATACCCCAATTAGATAAAAATGTTTTGAATGTACGTTAGTAAAAAAACAAACACTATACTCGTGAGAACCATACCTTGAAAATATGTTATACGAAAAGTCGTATCCATACTTTTTTAACCTCTCAGGTACCAAAATGAACCATTTTTTACTACTTTTATCAACTTACATCTTGAAATATTTCTTAGAACTGTATTGTTCTGTTGATTTGTTTTGATGCTTTAATCTATCTCAATATTAGAAAATGTCTAAAAATTCCGTTAGTTGCAATATTTTTTCCAAAAACTATGTTTTTAAATGTATGTAATTTTTGACCCAAATTTTTGAGTTATTTTTGTTTAACTCCTACTCAAGATATATGTAATATAGTGCTGCGATACTTTTGTAATACATAGTTTATAAGCTTAAGTTTCTAATAAACAAAGCATCTTAGTCCATATCAGCATAAGTCATTTAAAATTAGGTTGAAATATTATACCCACTTTTGAGGACTTGTTAAGTGGCAGTTCTTTGTGACTATATTAAGAACATGTGTTGTGTAAAAAATATGTATGGTGGCACTTGAAGTTTGAGTTGTATTTTATACCTAATGTGATAAGTTGTAAATAAAATATTTTATGAACTTCCAAATATTGTTGTAATTAAAATTATAACCGAAACTTATCTAAATATCATAGTACCCTATGTTGAAAGTTCTATGTTAGCTATAATTGAGTATTTATATAGAAATGGTTGAAAGTGAATAAAGATTATTCAATTTCCAATAAGATTTTTAACTTGAATTGACTTGATTCCAACTAGATACGGAGAAAA